AAGAAATTTTATGGAAGATTACCGATTCAAATCCAAATTTGTGTTTAATTAATAATCAGGGAACTACTAGTTAATATAGATAAAAAGTAAATCTTGGAAAGCTTTCAATGTTGATAAGATAAAACGATTTTGAACATGCTTATCACATAATATGAATCCGATCAAGATAAGTTTTTTCGAGATTAAAAATTTTTATTTTTGAGGTTAGAAGAAACAAATGTCATGGATGGTTACCATGGAAACGCTTTCACAAGCAGCTATTATTAATTGGAGTTGTTAGGGAAACGAACTAACTCAAACTTTTAATAATAGATGGCCCAATTAAAACAAAAATTGTTAATCCGATTGATTATTAATAAAAAATGTTGATTAAAAATTGCAAAAATAACTGTTACCAATAATATTTTATAATTTCAATACTTTTTCTTATAAATTATTTAAGGTAGATATCTCAAAAACGTGATGATTCAATTCTGCGCCTCAAAAAGATCTCCAACTCTAAAAAAGAAAATAAATAATAAAAATGTTAATTAATTTCGAAATTTTAACTCTCTCTCGTTTAGTAAAAAAAGTTAAATGAATAAAATAAAATCTACAAAACCTACTGTTGTTTTTTTTTTTTTTAAATATGATATCGTTTCCCTTTTTTGTTACTATTTATATTATCCAGGTTAAACATTAATTTTCGCTTAATTATACATTAATTAGAATATAAAGCTGAGCTTATACACCGTTTATTATTAAGTTATTGTATTTTTTTTTTTTTTTGGATTTTTTACGTTTTATCTCTAATCTATTTGTTTTTAATTTTTAATTTCATTTCGACACGAAAAATAAAGGTACACAAACATCAGACAACGAAAAATCAACTATACAGGGATTATTTTAATTAATAAAAATTTTTTGATTTAATTTTTTTTGTACTATTTCGATTTACCGATTAATTTTTTTATTCGAGCAAAACAAAATTGATTTCAAACTTAATAATCACCTGTATAGTTTAATTCCTCTTAATATAAATCACAACGATAAATTTAATTTTTTTTTGGTACATTAATGCGATTATAGTGATTATACTTTGTATTAAAACGTCAAATTGTAATTTTACTTGTAATTGTACCAGTGGCATATATCGTTTTAATTCTTAGTACATAGATTACTTTTATGGCAAAGTTGTTATTAATTTTTCGTTCTCATTTATTTATTAATTTCTTTTTGGCAATTCGAATCTGAACCCGTTTTTGTTGGATTTAAAAATTTCAATAAGAATTAATTCCTCTCAAAAAGATTCAGAAATTGGGTTGTCAGACTGCGCATTTTCTTTTTAATCCTTAAATATTCCTCGTTTTTAAGCTTACATGATTTATTTAATTTTTTTTTTATAATATACCCTACTACCAGAGAAAAAGAAAAAATTAAAAAGTAAAAAGAAAAAAAATTAATAATAATAATAATATCATAAGTAAAATTGCTAAGTTTCTAAATATACATTTAATATATATTTATTATATTTAATTAATATATTATATTAAATATTATATTGGCATTATACAACTACTGATTAGAAAGTTTTTCATCATGTGGAACTTGTTTGTTTTGTTGTACGACAGATGGCGCCGTTTTTAAGGCGCATCATACACGATTAGGTTAATTTTTTTTATTATTTATTTTTTTGTTGCACCTCATTGTTAAAGCTAAAAAGACGACAAGCTTCTTATTTTTTCCCATTTATCATTAATTATTTTATACACACACGAATAAGAGAAGAAACATTTTCCTTTAAATTTAACCCTTTTCAAATAAAAAAAAAATAATAATAATAATAATAAAAACACGAGAGCAAATTTTAAAAAACATTCGTATCATTTTTTTTGTGTGATTTTTTTTTGGATTTTTTTTATTTATTTTTAAAAATTAAAAAGCCACTAAGAGTCACAGCACAAGTTGTGTTACAATTAAAAATACGTTTTATATTTTTTTTATTAATTTTTTTTGTTTTTTTTATATCTTATCATCGAAAAATGGAACAACAAATTCACTTTTAATTCTTTTATCTCATTTAAAATTTAAATGGTGTTGCGTTTTTCTTTAGTTATTCTTTTTTGTACGAATTGGATTTTTTTTTCATTCTCATTAATTTTTTTTTAACCTATGTGGCACAGATCGTTTCTTTTCTCATTTTCGAAACGCTTTTTTCCATATTAATTATCCTCACCCCCTAAATCAATTAAATAATCATTAATTAATCAATTAACAAAATTAATTAATTAATTAACATCGTACTCTCTTTTTACTTTCTAAGAAGATATAATCTATCGTTTAATAATAATAATAATAATATACCGTAATCTTTTTATCATCATCATCATAATAGTAATAATAATTTTTTATACACAGACTAACGAAAGAAATAGAACAAACAAAAGGATTTTTCTTAAAAATCAGGAAGGTTTTTTTCGCTGACTTAACCCCAAAAAAAAGAACGCAAAATCTTTTTATTTCATTATTATTTAATAAAATTTTTGTATTTTTTTAATAAAACGCTATGTAAGTTAAATGCACGCTTCACGATTAATTAATTAAGATCTCTTTCGCATAATAATCAGTCTTTTGATCACTAGAGTTGGATTAGGTAACGCTCATTTCATTTATTTATTTATTAATATTTTTAATAATATTTAATCCATTACATTAAGAGATTTTGCGTTCTTAATTTTTTCCCCAATCAGCGATTTAACCCTTTAATTAATTATTTAGACTCACATTGGCTGTCATTGCCGATTAATATTAATAGAAAATCGATTTCTTGAACGAATTTTTTTTTAATGTGATTTATTGAACGATTTAACCCCGAATTAATGAAATTAAATCCCGCTTTGAACGCCATCTCTATTTGATTGATTAATACGTTTTTTGTTTGAGGCGACATCTCGTAAGGAGAAGGAAGTTTTTATTGCTTTTTAATTTGAGTTTTCTGAACGATTTATTTTATTTATTGCGTTCAAGCAGGATTTAAAATCGGCGTTAAATTTTAATTAAAATCACAGGTAGTATATAACTCTACATTTACCGTTATTATTATTATAAAATGGACTAAATATAAACGTTTAATTTTCTTTTCTTCTATGGCTAGACACAAAGTACATTTAATTTTTTTTTGTCAGAGTTTTCTGTTTTTCACGACACAGTTATTATTAGTTTCTTTGAATAAAACTTTATATACTACATATCCTCTCTGATTTTTAAGTTTTTCTCCGATTTCATTATTTCTTCCATCATATTTTTCCTTTTTTAATAATTAACCATTATTACTACTACATTTATTTAAATCTTAATACTTAGTAGTGCAGTCTAAGAATTGATTGTGGTGTTATGCAGAGCTTTTTGAGGTTACCCCCAAAATAATAATATAACAATAAAATTATTATCCCTAATAATTTCTTTTTTTTACTTTTTACTCAATTTGTATTTCGCTTATTTTGATATTTTTTAGGAAGTGAAGTAAAAGAGATCACAGGTTTTTATACACATATACATATAAACGTCCGGTTTCCTTCAACGGGCATATATATATACTTCTTTTTCAATAATTGGAGGGGCCATCAACAAAAAAAAACTTAATTTAAAGTTAAACTCTAACATTTAAAGAGGGGGGCTTAATCCTTACAATTTTTTATATCACTTCATCTGATCGTAATCTGATTTATGTAAAATTTGACTAGATTTCTTATTAGATGAATTTATCTCGTAATCGGAGGTTGTAAGAACCCTCCTCAGCTTTAATTCTCCTCATCTCACTGAAAATGATTTAAAAAAGCATTAATAAAATTCTTAAAAGCTCTAAATTAACCTCAAAATTTTTTTTATCCTGTAATAATAATCATAATAATAATATATTTACACATAGAGAGCGATTAATTAAAAAAAAATTAGATAAAGTGATATAAAAAATATGTATTGAACCTAATCATAACTATTAATAATTAAATAACATTACAAATAATATACATATCGCACTGGAAGTAGAAAAATCATAATCAACCCTATTTTTTAATAATAATAATAATAAACAAACAAACAAAATAAAGGTACTTCGTATTTGAATTAAAATCGGGGAAGAGAATTAGATTTTGTAAAGGTTCTTTTAATTAATCATTTTGGTGCGATGATTCGGACAGAAAAAAGCTATTAATTACAATAATAATAATAGAAATCATTACGATTATCGATATAAAACTGAGTTTTGGTCGTAAGAGTAAACCTTGTTAAGGGACTAGTTTTGGTTTCACACATTTTTTTTAAGTGTTGATAAGTCTTTAAAAAGATCTCACCCCTTTTCTGAGCCATAAACATAAAGAGGCAGTCTTTCAAAAAAATTCATTTTGCATTATCATCTCATTTTCATCGTTTAGTGCGTAATGTTGAGCGTATTCAAATCGTTCCCTCAAAGCGTTTCGTCGAAACACTTTACGATTAAATAAGGAAAAAAACTATTCATACAACAACTCGTTATTATTCGTCGTTTTAAATAATTCTCTTTCAAATCATTTAATTAATCATTTAATTTTAACACAGCTCAGTCATCTCAGAATCAGGTTTATTTTGGCTAATACTTTTATAGAGTTTTTTTATCTCACTTTAAACGGAAGTTCTTTGAAAGTCAATTTCAAAGTGAAAAAAGATAAATGTCGAAACTAAAAAAATTAAAGCCCTAAATTATCAATTACAATAAACAACAATCAGATTGATTTCATTTTTTTAACGTTTTTTAATGACTGATGCAGAAAAAATAAAATAAAAATCACTTTGTAAATTAAAAAAAATACTCAGAAATGTAAATAGTTAACAATAAATGTTTAAATCTTCTTAAAAAAAAACAATAATTCTAATAATACATTGATAACAAAATATCCTAGATCTTTAGCGGTCCTTTTTTAAAAATCACCAATTGAAGAGTCAAAAAATATAATTATCGACTTACTTGATTTTTTTCTTTCTCCACTCCTTTTTTTTACTTCCGTTTTTAATTATTTTTTCTTACATAGATTCACCACCCAAAAGATCACCGGGTAGATAAGAATTGAGGCTCGATGGGGTGGCCCTAGATTGATCGGCTGAATCAAGGGCGCTTGATCCCCATAAACTCGTCGACGAAGCATTTGGCCAACCAGTACTCCATGTATCAGCCGTACCGACAACTTGTTGTTTACCAGAGTTACGCCACGATCCGGTTGAACCACCTTGTTGACTCGACACTTGTTGTAAATGAAGACTTGCTTCCCATTCGGATGGATTCTCAGCCAAAATTGTTGTATTACCCAAAACGCAATTATTTAATGCAGTTTGAGCCTAAAAAATGTTTTCATAAATAAAAAAACAATTCTAAGTTCATTAAAAATACCTTAGCAGCTTCTTCGCGAGTTGTGTATTTAATTAAAGCAAATCCTTGATGTAAATGGAAACTCTGTAACGGACCATGTTGCATACAAAGTGTGCGTAAAGTAGAACCGTCAATCTAAAACAAAGAAAAAAAATCTTAATTTCCTTTTTTTTTTAATATAATTAATTAATTAAATATTTATTAATCAGAATTACGTCCTCTTAGTAATAATCATTAAAAAATTCATTAAATTAATTCATCATATAAAACCGATAAACTATCTAAGAATTAGTATGAGAATAATTCAATAGATACAAACCTGGGCAGTTAAATTTTTAAGTAAAACCCATGGAGAACCGCCTCCTTGGCACCAATTCCTTTGGGTTCCACCCCATGGACCCGAAGCATTTCCACCCAAATTACTCGACCAACCGTTGATTCCTTTGGCGGATAGGCCAGGTGGAGGTCCGCGCGGTTTCGGGGCGCCCCACAATTCAGTTGTGACGGCAGTAGGCGTGTTTAAGTCTCCGAGGACTACTTTCGAAGTGGGCAGTTTATTTTGCGGACTAAAAAAGAAAATTATAAATTAATCCCCCATCAAAAATTAATAAAAAAAAACTTTTATTTAAAAAAAATCATTTTTATATTAAATGTAATCAAGAAATCTTTCAGGAATTGGATCCGTGTTTTATAATCATTTAATTTAATTCATTTTTAATGAATATGTTTTTTGTTATACCTTGAAATCATCGTAGCAGTTGATGCGGGCGGGTTAAAACTCCAAGTGGACGAGCTCAAACTGAGAGGAGTTAAATTATCGCCTAATGGCGGACTCTTATTAGCGTTTATATTGAATAGTTCGTTGTCGTTTTTAATCGTGGCAACGGAGAGTGGAGATCGCACGACTGAACCTGGGGTGATGCTTGGATCATCTTCGATTGATTTCATTTGTGTTCCCTAATCAAAATAAAAATTTAAAAAAAATTCAACAATTTAATTTGATAAAAAAATTTAATTTACCTTCCAGGGTTTTCCAGGTTCAAATTCAGGTACTAAATCGTTAACCCATTGGGAAGAATCTTTAAGATCAGGAGCTCCAGCGTCTCCTGCTCCGGAATCTGGCCAACCTGTATCACCAGAACGTCCACTAGACCAAGGCCTAATAATTTAATTGAAATAAATTTAAATAAAAAAAATTATTTTTATTAATCTACCCATCCGGTTGAGTTAGACCAAGAGGATTATTGAGATTCGGAGAACTGTGAGAGGGGGCGAGTGACTTAGAAACGGATCCAGGGGCTCTACTAAATTCCCCGCCCTCCTCTTTATCGAGCGTGGGCAGCTTCCACTGGTTCAAACGAGATTGCTGCTGGCTCTACAATAACAAACATTAACATTTTTATTTAATTTAATTTCATTTACTACCATCTGAGTATCCTTGAGACCAATATCGGCAAAATTGCTTTGTAACGAATTGATGGAATCGTGCATTGCGGTGGACTTAAATAAGTCAGTCGGCGCACCGCCTGAACCCATGTTGTGCTGCTGCTTAACGTAAATTGCCTGTTGAGCTGCTATTTGATTCTTAAAAACAAAAAAATAAATAAATTATCAATAAAAATAAAGGTTTAAAAAAATTCTAAATACATACAAATCATTAATTAATGTCTGAAATTAATTATAAACTTGTAACAAAATAATACAAATCACTCACAATTAATTTCAGTTTTATTTCCTTCTTGTTACTATAGACACGGATAACTTTTTCATTTAGTCCATATCAAATGGGTCAAGAAGGTAACATATTAAAATAAACAAAATTAAAATTTACCTGCAAATTTTGTATTTGCTGTTTAGTTTTTGTAATTAAAACTGAACACTGCAGATAGGTATTATTGGCCTTGCCTCCAATACACTGCTGCTGAGCCATATTCTGTTGATTACCCAATTGCTGTAACGTTTTGATCTGCTGAAGCAGCTGATTCAGTAACACCAACGTTTGCGGTGCTAATGGCTGATTCAATATCTAACGAAACAAAAAAATAATTAATAAAAAATAATTTTAATATAATTTATTTATTATTGCCTGATGATTCAAGTATCCAGCTTGAACAGCCATCTGAATCTGCTGTACCAGCATCCTCAATTGAGCGGTAGATGGTTGCGAGGGGGGTTGCAAAGCTGACCTGGCGCCGGGCAGGTTAGAAGCTCCATAGCTTTGATTTCCACCGCTCTGCGACAGCATTTTTTGTACTATAGCCGGCGACATGTTGTTTATAAGCGAACTATTCGCGCCAGCGGCGGCGCTATTTAAATTGTTCAACAAGCTCGGAGGATTTGCACCCGGGGGGAAATTCATTTGCGCAGCCGGCCCCGTCGGGAATCGTTGCCCCGCGAATTGTGGGTGATCGTAATGATCATCATGCCTGCCTCTCCAGCCGTCTAAATTTTGATTCCTCAAAGTGCCGAGCATATCAAGGGCATCATCCATGTTCATATCGCGCATACGAAGCGCGTTTTCGACGTCTTCCTTTTTATATCCCATATCGACCAACGTGCGGAATTGGCGAGAATTCCACAGCAATTCTTTACTAATTGGTGGTTGTTTAGGTCCCGGTTTGTGACCAACCCAATCGCCGTCGTTATCCCAAATTGGGGCGCCAGGAAGTTTTTGTTTTGGCCATGGACCCGTTTCATCCCATCCCGGACCAGAATCATCCCAAGAACCATTACGACCATGACCCCAAACGGCTCCATCTGGTTTAATGCGCGATTGAGGCATACCCGGTGGTCCGGCTGCGTTGTTTCTACCCATTGCCCCACCTTAAAACAAAAAAAATAATTCAAATTAATCCCTAAATTAAGTAAAAAAAAAAAAAGAAATGTAGATAACTGTGTTGATTTACATTTATAAAAATAATAAATGCAATCTAGATTTGTTATCCTAATATAATTTTCCTTTCTGAAATTGTAACACGCCAATAATAAAGCAATATCACCTTGGATTGAAAGGATTCTTTTATTTATTAATCATACCTTGTTGAGGATTACCCCATAAAGATGTTCCATCATCATAATTAGGAGGAATATTTCGTCTTTGCGATGGTGGTGAAGGCTCCTCCCATCCGGTGTTATTTCCAGGACCCATCGGCATCTTGGGTTGATGCATGTGATGTGTGGTTGTTTGTTGAGCGGTTTGAGTCCAAAATGCGTCTGCTCCTGCTCCATTTAATCTTCCAGTTATACCTTAAATATTTAATAATGTATTTAAAAATATCAATTTAAAAAATTAATAATTTACCTCTAGGATCTCCTCGCATATCTCCCCCAACAAGCCTCATTTGGTCTCTTGGATCAAGCATACGCATTGGATCGGAAGTTCCAGTGCGAATATCACGGTGATCCGGACGCATATCACGAGGATCCATTGCAGCAGCACGTGGATCTGCGGTTCTAGGATCGCCCCAAGCGGCAGCGTTAGTTGCACCACCCGTGCCCCAATCGTTTTCTTTTTTAGGACCTAATACATCAAATTTATGATTATGTATGTTATTTTTTGTAAAATAATTTAGTCTTACCACCCCACATAGCTGTAGTATTGCTTGTATTCCCAGTGTTAGCATTATTGGCTCCACCCCAAGGTTGCTGTGCGGGTGGAACTCCAGTCCATACATTAGAACTATCAGTAACATCATCATCTTCGCCCCAAGTACCCCCAATATTAGTGGAAGGTGTATGCCCCCACGGAGCTTTTTGTTGGGGTTGTGGTGGTGGTTGACCGCCGTTGCGTAAATTAGCCTCCCACAATTCAGTTCCATTATTAACAGTCGGTTTCCAAGCTTGCGTTCCAGATCCGTCCATTTTTAATTGGGGTTCAGGAGAACCAGGAATGTCCCAGTTGGTATCTTGGTTTACGTGTTGCTGTTATTAATAAAAAATTATTAATTTCTTTTAATTAAAATTGTTTTAATAAATAACTTACGCCTCCCCATCCATCGTGACTGAAGATAGCCTCTCGCATATTCGTTAATTGTTCCAATTGCTGTTTGGTCGAGTTCGATTGTTGTCCTTGCGCGTTGTTCGAGTTTGCGTTTGCCGATGGGTTGTTAACGGTGGCTACGGCGTTAGGTACTGAGCCACCAGGTTGGGGCTTACTCGGCTGACCCCAACCGTTGTTCGATTGCGTCGTGGGCGGTTGTTGGCCGTTTTGTGGCAGGTTCGAGTTTTGTTTATTGGCTAAAATTGTTTATAATTAAAATTAAAACAAAATTTAAAAAGAGAACTTACAATCCTGAGAGTTGCCAGGGCCGGAGGTAGGCGGTCTGTTAGAATTTGTGTTCCACTGTTGTGTACCCGCGTTGTTTTGATTGGTCGAATTTGCTGTGCCCCACCCGCTGGTGTTTCCTTGAAACAAAATTTTAAAAAATGTAATTATTAAGGCTTAGTTACATTAAAATTAATTAAACATAATTTAAAATCATAATAAACTTATCGTAATCAAATTATTTCAGGAATTGGATCCGTTGTTTTAATCATTTTGTTTTCAATCGAATTAGTTATTGTGATATTTTCTTACCGTTATTATTACTGGCCTGTTGTGATGGGGGTGTACCCCACCCGGTAGTGCCTGCGCTGATAGAGCTTTCTCCTCCACCTCGTAACCTCAATGGAGGCGCGTACGCCCTAGAATAATCATAATTGTCTTCATAGATTAATTTCGAGGTACTGAAAGTGTTGGTGGTGGTTGTGATATCACGTTGGCGGTAGAATGAATTGCCGAAGTAGGCATTATTAATTGTCGGTAGGTCCGTAGAAGTAGCAGTAATAGTAGGTTCAAAATCGTCGTCATCGTTATCATAGTATTTTTCGAGGAGGTCATCAGACTTTTCGTAGGGAATGTCTTGAGAAGAGAAATGATGGTTTAAAGCACCGATACACTTAATGGCTAAATTTGACTTATCATTATTACGTTGTTGCTGTTGTTTCTTTCGCTCGTCGTCGTAACCCCATTCATTAACTATTACTATTATATCATCGTTATTATCCTTACTATTATTAATAATAATATTATTCTTATTACATTTATTTGGTACGGTAACAGAGTTCAGAAGACAGTTTTCGGTCACAGATTGCATCGTCCTAACGTTATTAGTCGGGTCGCAGCGCAGATCGGTTTTGCCCCTCAGCGGTGGGTTTAAACCGTTCTCTCCGCTACGACCTGAGCCGGCTATCACAGAGTGTATGACGTGGGACGGAGCCGGCGGCGGGGGGTCGGCTCTGCCCCCCCGCTGGGCCCCGGACGCTGCTTGCCGCTGCCAGTGCGGTGTGGATGGCGGCGCCGCCATCTTCATCAACGTCAACTTTTCTATCGGCGGCGGCGCCCCTTCTTCATACTCTTGCTGCTGCTGATGTTTCTGTTGTACTAGGGGTGCGCGGCCCCTCATGGCTGACAGTTGAGGCACTTGAAAGGTAGGAAATGTATAGTTTTTCGGCTCGGAGGGAGTGGGGACGCGCATCGTAGCTAGTGCTCCATGTCAGTTCTGGCCAGCCAGAGATCTAGTAAAAAAAAAAAAAAAAATTAGTTACTTTAAAAAAATTTTGTACACGAACTTTTAGACCACCTATATTCACGAGTGTCAACAATCCAATACTAAGTACCCCTGTATACGGCTAATACGACGCATAAAACTTACTTTTCTACAAATAACTTCTAAGGGAATTCTCCAATGATGGGGGCACTACGATTTTTATTTTTATTAGATATTGTACGTAAAATTAACCACAATTCACAATAAATTCGCGCGATGATTCGGGGATCAGTCTCAGTAGTAAGCGGATCTTTCTTAAAATAATATGTCCGTAGTGCACACGGTACGGGATGAGGAGTAGGAGGAGTAGGACGCGGAGAACGACGACGGAGTCCGCGCACACGAACACACACATACACTGCCAAACAAACCAACACACTCACACACACACACTAACGAGACGGGTTAATTTAAACGGGAACACTTCGAATATATCACTAGTCGATGAGATATCACGCTTAATAGTTCGGCTATCACATGCGGATACGATTTCAGTCTTTATAACCTGCTTTGTACTTCGTTCCAACTTGAAATTATTCTTCTTCGTTGAACCGACAACGTACGCTTGGGACGCACCACCATTTTTATACGGACGACGACACGATCGCGACGTCATCTGACGGCCGAGACGTGAAACTCAATATTAGAGTGTCGCGCGTACAGCGTCGGACAAAAGTAGAACAAACGGTTTATTTTATAAAACGATTATTTTGCGAATAAATAAAAAATTATTTATTTATTTATTATTATAAAGATTTTTTATTAAAAAAATTTGTTAAAAAAAATAATACTAAAAATAAATAAGAATTTTGATTTAATTTTTGATTAATCCTGTACGTAACCTTATTCAACCGCGAGATAAACTAGACACATTTTTGAACAGGTATCATCACCGAAAATAATCTCATCCACTCATACGGTAATAAAAAGCGAGCGATAAAGTTATAAATTTAAGTTAAGATTGCGTGGCACTTTCTCAAAAATATTCATTCATAATAACGAGGGAATTTTTGTTCGCTTTTAAAGAAACGTCCCGTCCACAGATTTGCGTATTGATCGGCGTCGAAGGGGAGAGAGAACAGGAGCCATTACAGTACACGTTGCTGAAACGGGACGTCCTGTGTGACTTTCGATTCCCCGGCGGAAGACAATTTTGATAAATCGACAGCCAGCAACGGCGCGTTATTTAGCTTAGCCCCCCGTATTTCATTCTACAGAGAATAGAGGGGAACTAATTGCAGTAATGCACAATTTCTTTCTTTCTTTATAAACAAAATGAATGGAAGAGTTTATTTTGATATCTCTTAATTAATTAACAAATTGGAACTAAAAATAACACCATGATCAACAAGTATTGATTCTAAAAAGTGACATTTTTTTGTTGCTATATTCATAACGTAAAAAAAATTTTTTGAGGGTTGGTAATAACGGAATCGAGAGAGAGAGATGAAACGAATTCACCAGGACGGAACACTTCGCACCGATAAATGTGCCATGACCCAATTTCCCCCCTAGAAGGTCACACCAACCCAAGCCTGACCCGATAGTCGCTATATTCCCGACCTTCAACCTCTAAATTTAACCCCCCTTTTAGCTACCCTTACAATATAGGTCAAATCATAACACAAAAATATTGTTAAAAAAATAAATTAATTCTAACCTCACTTTTTCGATTTTTCCTCCTTAAAAGTTTTTCAGTTTGAATAACATTTTTTCATTGATACAGAACCACGCAAGATATTCACAGCTGTTTGTTTACTTATTTGAATGGCAACACGGAGAAAGAAAACAACAATCGGGGTCTGGAACGCGCGTTATAATAGCTTTTACTGTTGCTATTGAATTCGCGTGGTGTTTTGCAACAACTAAAACCCGCGACGCGTCTGTTGTGTTGTGATTCTCGCCACCTTCTCTCGCAACGTAGTACGCCCTCTAGTTGCACTTTTTCGCGTTACTATTACAACCTTGACTGTTTCCATAGAAACCCTATGGAATAAAATCTAGAAAGTCAAGAATTTATCTCAATATCATTTCAAATTGAGATTTAAACACTTTTTTACTCAAATTATTATTTTTACGATTAAAAAAATCATTTAATTTATTATTATTATGTGACGTTGTCATTTTGCAGTTAACTTTATTATTATTTAACCGAGGAAATTAATCTACCCAGAACAGACCATGACATATTGAAGCACCTCGGTTAACCCTAGCACAGTTTTACACTAGCACTATCACTAGAACTAACATTAGACCTAGAACTATTCCTAAAGCCGAATGATTCTTGTTCCAGTCTTATGTTAGTTCTACATAGTAATAGTGCCTAGACCTAGAACTAGAATCACTCGGGTTTAGCAATCCTAAGAGACGTTTGGCCATACGTTTATACCAAAATGTTTCTACATCTAGGTCTCATGTTAGTTCTAGTGATAGTGCAAGTGTAAAACTAGTGTAACAGTCTACCTAGAACTAGAATCACTCGGGTTTAGCCGTCTTTAAAGACGGCTTTAACGAGACGTTGGATTTTCAAAGTCGAAGAAATCCTTTTTTATTTTCGATGCGAGTAAATAAATTTAATATTCCTCAAATTCAATCTAAAATAGACACTTTTGAGTTTAATCGTTAATCTTATCAAACTTAACTTCATATATTTGCTGTAAAGTTTGCTTTTCTCTCAAAATCCACAAACATTTCTCTATTTTTGATAACTCTATAAAATAAAAATGTTTTAAAAAAAAAAACACTCAATCATCAAAAATTTATTAACAATCTTGTTTGGAGCCTTTTTCGTCTTTTTTCCACTCCTTTTATAACGGTAATTACGTCACGCGGTGAGGTTAAAGATACCAATTCGGGGCCGTACTAAAAACTAACCTCAAAATGGGTCAACGTTTATTCTAAATTTAATAATTTTAATTGTCAAAAATTGTGTTAGTTATAACCAAAAAATAAACAAAACAGATTTACGAAAATTACGTAATAATCAAAACAAGCGGTGCAATCAAAACAAATGAAAAACGTTTTGTTTTGGCGAGAATAAAGAGAGGTGGCAAGTTAGAAAAAAAGAGACGAAGAAAGGTTGTAAAGTGGTGGGGGGCGGCCAGAGGAGGTCGGTTGCAATCAAAACTGGTTTCTACAGACCTGGCAACAGCGTGAATTTAAACGTAAACGACAAAAAAAAATAATCTAGAAACCTGCGTTTTCATTTGGATCTATTCCATGGAGATGAAGAATAAAAAAAATATTTAAAATATATTTGCGTAAAAATAAAACGTAGTATTATTTCAAAGTAAACAAAACTTACTTTCACTTTTTAAACTTGGAAAAATTTCTTGGAAATTATTCAAAACAATACAACACTTCTTTGTAATTACACACTCTACGATCTAAATATCTAATAATCTATGTTTTTATTACCTCGGTAGCAATCGAAATAAGCGGAATTAATTTATGGAAATAACCCAAAAAAGAAAAAATTAAATAATATGGAATATAAATAATAATTAAGGAGTTTTTATGTACTTATGAAGTACTTCTCGAGTAGATTCCCCGAGAAAAAAGATCTTTACTAAAAATAACCATCATTTGGAGTTGGTCCGCCATTTTTGTTAGGGGGGCCTATTATACAATACGCGTAAATACACAAAAAGGGGGCCAAAAAGAACCATTTAAATATCTTCATCGTGCAATTTTAACTACTCACCTATACTGAGAAAGTCTTTTGGATAAAAATTCGCACAAATATCACTGCAAAAATCACACAGATTCAGATGAAATTCAAGTCATATAACTAAACGTATGCGACCATACGCCATTGTGAATACCGCTGCTCGACTGTTTTCTACGCAACATGTACCGCGCATCCGTATTGTTTCCGTTTCGAATCTTATTTGAAAATTTAGAATTTAAAATGAATTCTTTTATGTTTTTTAATAAAGAAAAAGAAACAAAAATAAATATTAATTAACTAACTCTTAATTAACTTTTATTAAAAAAAATTGATGTGTCTATTAAACGCCAAATCTACCAAATGAATACTTCAAAAAAAAAATTAATTATTTAATATATTAATTTGTTATTAATTAATATAAATAAAAAGATTATGTTTTAAGAAAGTTATTTTATAAATATAATAATTTAATTTATATTTTTTTGGTTGACAGATAAATGCAATGAATTGTGGGTAAAAACCAAAAAACCACAAAAAAAAAACAAACCCTGGTCATTGTGGTTATAAAATGGAAAATTTACCGGGCGAGATTTTTCAAAAAATCTCTTTGAAACGAGCTGAATTAGCTAAGTATAAAAGAATATTAGAGTTAGTTGATGAGTGCGCTTTAGATCCCAATCTAAAAAATAAAGTCGATTACTTAATTTACTCGAAAGAAGTTTCCCCTTCTATGAAGTTAAACGACGATAACGTGTTGGGATTATCCTTAAAACCGGAAAACTTAACAATCAATGAGCAACAAAAACTTCACAGATTAGTCCATTCGAAATTATCAAAAGAACCCGATTTAAAACATGAAGAATTTAACGAAGATTTTAACTTTACGAAACCCAGCAAACAAGAATCGGAATTACTAAAATTAAAATTAGAGTTAGATGAAATACAAAAAAAATATTACGAAAATCTTATTGGTTATCATAAGATGTTGGAGGAAATCTTAAAAATACGACTAAACGATTCCAAGGATTTAATCAACAGTAAAATCGAACATAGCAAATTGCAATTTTTAAGTTTAGAGTTGAAGGTGGAGATTTTACAGCAGCAAATTGGCACTGCCGTTTTCACCGAGGAATCTATGGCAAAACATGCCTATCAAAAACTACTCGATGAAATCGTAAAACAACAAATTAAAGTTAAAAATGAAATTAAAGAACTCGAAGAATTGAAGGAAAAATATAAGTCAGTTTCCAGCAAAGAGTTTAATGATATTTTGAAATCTTATCGATTTTATAAAGGAGAATTAAAAAAGTTTGAAGAAACGATGGCTAATATTGATTCTGTTTAAAACTTATTATTTAAACTTAATTTTCGAATATAAAGAATATATTTGTTTAATATTGGTTTTAATTTACTCTAAAATATGCCCTAAAATAACCTAAACGTTAAAATTTTTTCTTTAAATGAAATTTTTTTGACAGATTAAAGTGAGGTTATGTTCATTTTGGTATGTGAACTTTGAATTTAGTTCAAGAAATAATTTCGGTTTTAATTTGGACCATTTTGATAATTTTTTATCGTGTTAGAAGTACTAAAAGGATATAATATTAAAGAAGTGAGATAAAATGACTTTGTTAAGAAAGAAAAAATAATTGAGGTTATGTTATTTGATTGTTAAGTAAAATGATAAATTAAGCTAAGTACTTACATAATTCGGTGAGATCCCTTTTTATTGAGTTAAAATTAATTGTAGGACTTTTTTCTTCTTCGGAGCGTGGATTAACGGAGATGGATTAAGTAAGGGAAACTCTGGAATCAGGAAAAAAATTCAAGGAAGTTTTATATTTAATTTTTAAAGAGGAACTTTAATTAAACTTGGAAGCTTCAATTAGAAGCTTAAAAAATGTTTTTATTTTAAAATATTACTTTAAGATTATATTTGAAGATTTGCTTCGGAGGTAAAAAGGTGTCATTCAAATAAACTCTCAAATTTTGACATAAAAATGACATAATTGTTAGGTTAAAATTTAAAAAATTTCATAATTTGAATTAATGGAAAATTTTCGCATAATCTAATAAAGTTGTTAAAATAACGATATTTAATGCACCTGTTACGAAATATTTCTTCTTTTCGTAATCGATTTCGATAAAAAAATCAGCGCGATTAATCTAAAAAAAATTTCGTTAAAAATACCTTTATAAAAAATCGTCCCATTAAATTTTTTCCACATTTATCATTCGTGGTTTTTGTGAACTAGTTGGGGCCTGATTGTTTCTGATTGTTCAACAAACAAAGACTTAATGACGACGAGTGGTAATCACACCGCGAATTCAAGTGCCTTCCAACTGTATATAAAAGCTAATTCATCGGCCCTTTAATAATATTACCAATAAAGTTTTATAGGGTTACATTAAAAAAAATGTTTATAAAAAAATCAAAGTACGTTCAATATTTAGCTGCGTTAACAGGTAAGGTTAAAGCAAACAATAAAGTAATAAAAAAAATGTTTTGGTAACTTTTTTTTATAGCTTCCTTAACAATCGGCTCAAACACGGCTTATGTGACATGGTCTTCACCGATTTTACCTCAGTTAACATCGAAAAATTCACCGATTGGGGTTCAAATCACAAATGTAAATGATTTAATTTCATTTTAAGTTATTAATGACTTATTTTTTAGGCGGAGGCTTCATGGGTTGTCTCAATAATCCTCCTCGGAGGGATCGTAACATGCCCATTTTCAGCGAGTTTCGTCAAAAAATTCGGCCCCAGACGCTCATTATTATTCTCATCAATTTTTATCATGCTCCCTTGGATCCCTATCACCTTAGCAAACTCAGTTTGGATCTTATACATCAGCAGATTCATCGCCGGAATGGCAACGGGCACAATAACAGCGGTAAAATAATCTTCCCCACAACAAAAAAAATCATTTTCATCCTTATTTTTGTTATAGGGTGTCACAATATACAACAGCGAAATAGCCGATCAAGAAATTCGCGGTAAACTCGGTACAGCTTTCACCATAATGAAGTTAATGGGGCACTTTGTCGTTTTGACTTTTGGCCCGTTCGTTTCCTATCAAGTTTTATGCGTGATTTGCGGTGTGATGCCGTTAATTTGTTTTTGTACGATTTATTTTATGCCGGAATCGCCGTATTATTTGTTAAAAATTGGGGAGAAGCATCGGGCGAAAGAAAGTTTGGCCATATTGGGGAGTGACGAGTTAAACGAGAATGATCTTGAACGCAAAATGAATGAAATCGAAAAAGTTGTTAATGAGGATATGAGAAATAAATCCGGAATGGTGGAGTTATTTAGAAATCCTCGATATCGGAAAGGTTTATTAACTATGACAGGTGACATTTGAGTTAATTTACTTTTTACGTAAATTTTTTAATTTGATTTAATTAGGTGTTAAAGTATTGCATAGTATGAGTGGGACTGTTGCTATTGAATCTTACATGCAAAGTATTATAGGGTCGAGTTCCAGTTCGATATCTCCGGAAATCTCAAGTATTATTTTTGGGGCCATACAGTTCCCTGCAGGTAAAACATCCTATTTTATTAATAATATTAATAAATGAAATTAATCAATCTCTTTTTTAGCTTTTTTAGCAAGTGCAATCGTAGACAAACTTGGTCGTAAACCACTTTTAATAATCTCAGCCTTCGGATGTGCTTTAGCTTTAATATCAGAAGGAATCTATTTTTATATTCAAGATGTACTTAAATCAGATTTAAAGAATATCTCTTGGATCCCCACAACGGGGATAATCGTATTCTTAATAAGCACTCCGCTTGGAGTCTCTTCGTTACCCTATGTCTTAATGGGTGAATTATTTCCGGTTAATATTAAAGAATCTGCTATAACATTAATAATTTTTTACGGTGTTTCTATGTCGTTTGTTGTTTCGAAATTTTATCAACCAGTTTTAGAAATGTGGGGGTTGTACACGGTTTTTTGGATCTTCGGAGGAGTTTGCTTAGCGGGGATGGTTTTCGTTTGGTGCGTTGTCCCAGAAACTAAAGGTAAATCATTTGGTGACATTCAAATCAAATTGAACCGATCAAAAAATAAAAATAACCTCGATAAGATCGAAAATTTAGAGGGTTAATAACTTTTTTTACTCACTTAAATAAAAACTTAATAAGAATTTATTAAATCCACTTCATTTTGTGTATTTATAAAAACCTTCGCCGGATTTTCTTCCGAATTTTCCTTCCTTAACCAGTTTTTTCATTGTTTCTGATGTCTTAAAGAGAGGGTCGTTCGGGAACTTTTTCTCCCAACCATCCATTATATGAACGCCTAAATCTAAACCAGTATAATCTTGAAGTTCAAAAGGCCCCATTGGGTATCCAGCCCCCAATTTCATTGCAATATCGATATCTTCAAAACTAGCATCACCTAAAATCAAAAAAAAAATTACTTATTAAAATAATCTAAACATCAAGAATAAAACAAAAATCAATCTAATAATAATAATTAAAAAGAAATTACAATAAGAATTCTTTATTAAAAAAAGTTACAAAAATATCACTCTGTCAAAAAAAAAATTTGAGGTTATATCAATTTTAAATTTAATTAAAACTTTAAAACAATTTCTTATTACTTTTAAATTAAAATATGAATGAAATTCACCTAATTTAACGAATAAAATTAATTTAATTTCATTAAAACCACTAATTACAAACGCCAAAATAAATTTTTGACATAACCTCACCTCTTTCTAACCTCAAATTCAATTTAAACTATTTTTTGTAATTATAAAAACCCTCCCCGGACTTAACCCCCAATTTCCCCTCTTTAACCAATTTCTCGACGGTTTTTAATGTGTTAAAAAGTTTTTCGCTCGGCATCTTTTTGTGCCACCCCTGCAAAATAAAATGAGTTGTGTCCAACCCGACGTAATCGGCGAGTTCTAAAGGCCCCATTGGGTATCCGGCCCCTAACTTCATCGCAACATCGATATCTTTCACCGAAGCGTCCCCTAAAAACAGTAAAATCACAAAATTAACTTTTACGATTCAATAAAAATAAAAGATTTACTCACAACTACTTACTATTTATAATTTTTAGCATGCAAATCACTCAAAATCACCAAAAAACTAACTTAATTTAATTTTGTTAATTACTTAAATTAATTTTGTTTACCTCTTTCGTATAATCGAACTGCTTCGGCCATGTACGGAACTAATAAGCGGTTAACGATGAACCCGGGGGTATCTTTGCATGTGACGCAAGTTTTTCCGATGGCTTTTCCCCATTCCATGAAGCTTTTATAAGTTTCATCGCTCGTTTCCGGGATTCTAATCACCTCCAAAAGACGCATCATCGGAACGGGGTTGAAGAAATGCAATCCTCCGAATCGGTCCTTTCGGTTAGTAACAGAAGCGATTTCACCGATTGATAACGAAGAAGTGTTTGAAGCAAATAAAGTTTTTGCTGGAGCGGTTTCATCCAAAGTTTTAAACAGTTTATGTTTGATATCGATGTTTTCAATGATTGCTTCAACGATTAAATCAGCATCAGTTACAGCCGATTTAACATCGGTGGTGCCTTTAATACGACTTTTGGTGTCATTTACGAATTTTTCAGCTTCCGAAGCCGGTTTATCTTTAAAAAGCTTCTTAGCAACTCTCCCCAAACTAACTCCAATGTTTGATTCAGCTTTTTTGAGGATATCTCCGTTAACTTCAACTAAAGTTACATTTTGGCCTGCTTGGGCGGTTACCTTGTTTATTAAATTTTTATTAATAAAATAAATAAATGAATTTAAAGCGTTATTATTATTATTACCTGAGCTATTCCTGAGCCCATCAAACCCCCTCCGATCACGACAACATTTTTTATGGCATTTTTACCAACGGTCGTTGAAAACGAACGTTTTAAAACGGAAAAAGACATGGTTTAATGGAGAATTTGCAACGAAAATGATGTGGAAGACGAATTGTAGCTGTATTTGGCCACCCGGTTTAGGGTCAAAGTACAAAATACACTTTATGAGATAATAAAAATCTGATAAAAAAATTTGTTGTAAAGGTTAATACTTTAATCTTATACAGTGTTAGATTTACGCAATTTATGGATTATAAAGATTGTGGATAAATATTTATAACAAAAAATGTTTACAAGGATTAATTGTAAGACTCCATTTTTGTACCCTAACGATATGCAACTAAATTTGCATGTTAATTTGAGTGTATATTTATATTTATAACAATAATTATGATAAAAATAGCATATAAACCAATAAATCTAAAAAGTAATAATTTAATTTTTTTGACCTATAACTGCATATAACATCATAATATATCGTTGTTTATGACAACCTTAATTTTCCTTTCACTAGATGTCACTACAATGTTTACAATTAATTTATGCTTAAATTAATATATATAATAAAAAGCATAATCGATTCTCTTAATACTGAATCATAACTCCATCACGCGAATTTTATATTTGAATTATAAAATTTATTAAATTGTGCTTAATAAATTTGTGACATGTTTACTCTAGGTGGCAGCACATAACCTGCCATCGTGTACACCTTCATTTTTAGAGAAATTTCTTAAAAATCTAACTGAAAATGGTATTAACTGAGATAGACCAAAACAAACAACAAGAAGAACCACCGCAAGAAATCAAAACAGAGTCGTTAAACCCATTTACTCTCGAAAGTATCCTTTAAAAAAACATAACCTAAAAATTTGACATCTGTTTAAAATCATATTTTCTTTAATAATTCTTTTAGTACTGAAAGTGGTAAAAGAGCAACATCAACAACATGGATTACGTCACGGGGACTACCAAAGATATCGTGGATATTGTTCCAGGCGTATACGGAGGTTGAGAAAAGTTTTGAAATTGCCGCAGGGTGATCGGAGACATTTTAAGAAAAAAGATGTCACTGAGGGACATATTGTTAATATCAAAGCCGATGAGAGATATTTACACGTTCCGTTGATTCTTGCAGAAAGATGTTGGGCGTACGCAATGCAATTACGCCAAGAAGCCAATACGGAACCCCGAAAAAAATTTCATTTGATACAAAAATTACGAAAAGCTTGCGGTTATGCTTTGCAATTAGAGGAATTGTGTAAAGTTGAGCGATGTGACGCTCGAACGAAACTTGAAGCGCAAGCTTACGTTGCTTGGATGCACGGAACGTTGCATTTTGAGCTCCAACTTTGGGTGAAAGCCAACGAAAACTTAAAAAAGGCGCAAGTTATTTATGAAAAGTTATCTTCAGCTTTATCGGAGGAAGAACAACTCCCGTATAAACAAAAAGTTGATGAAATTGCGCCAAGTTTGCGTTATTGCGCTTATAATATTGGTGAAGATAAAGGGGTCGATCTTTTAGAGTTACGAAGTCAAGGGATTTTGGAAACGTTCGAAGCTTTGGTTGCTCAAAAGAAGGAAAAAACAGCTACGGTGTTGCAAGAAATTCGTTGGTACGGGGCTAAAGTTTTGATTAAAAATGAGCGTGTACGATTATTTTTGGCGAGTATTGAGAAATTAGATGAATCGATTGATCGTGCTGAAGATAATCAAGGGAAAATAAAAATTATCGAAGATACATTTATTGATTTACGCGATATTATTTCTTTGGTACGCGAGGAAGTACGTAGTGATCCTAAAGAACAAATAGTCCTTTCTTATTTGCTTTCAATCCGCATCGAAAGAACAGTACAAAGAAATTTATTTTTGATCCAACAGACGCGGCGCTCACAAGAAGTGTGTCGATTATTTGACATAATCATTCAACAAATCAACGAATTAATGTCTTTGGAAAATTTGAAGGATCAACAAGAAGCTCAAAAAAAATACACCGATGAATTACTTGCGTACAAAGCACTTAGAGCGTATTATATGGGCAAAACCCATGCTACATTCCGGCGATGGAAAGAAGCATCCTACGTTTTCCATCTATCTGAAAATATGGCTAAAGAATTAAACACTAAAAGTTTCACAAAACTTTTAAAAACGATGGTTACAAACTTAAATGAAAACGCAGCTTTAGAAAAAAGCGTCGCAATGGCTAATTTGGCAATTGAAAAATCTGATGAAACCCCAGCACCCGTTCCAACGAAAACATATAAAAGTAAAAAAGTTTTGGCTGAAAGACTCGATGAATTCCGCGAAGACCCGCAATTATTATCTAAAAATCCGAATGTTGTTCAATTACCACCTCCGATGGTTCCCGTTGAGGCTAAACCTTTATTCTATGATTTAGCATTTAATTACGTACAATTCCCGAAAATGCCCGAAAAAGAAGAAGATAAAGAAAAGAAGGAAAGCGCGGGACTTACTGGTTTTGTTAAAGGACTTTGGGGATGGGGCAAAAAATAATTTTGATTAAAAAAATTGAGGTTATGATTTAAAATTTAATTATAAATCACACTGTGTGTTTTTTTTTAAATGTATTTTAATGGAAATAAAGTTTATTTGGTTCTTTTTTTCATTCTTATTTATTCTTTTATCTTTAATCATAATTTTTAAGCGCAAGTAGGCAACCTGCATCACACAGAAATTATTTTTAACTAAATTTGATGTATCCTTTTTTAAATTTAGTTATCATCATCCATCAAATTTAATTTAATATTTAAATATAATAACAATTTGTTTATAAAACATTAATTAATAAATTAAAAAGAATCGAAAAAAAAATTAAGTTGGTACGATTAATTTTGACGTTAGAAATTAGAAACGTCATAAACGTCACTTTTGTGTACACACATTACTCATTTTGTTGCGTTAAAAATTCCATTTCTTAGAAATCTTACGCAAATTTAAAGTGATTGTATTCGTTTCTCGCCTAAAAAATGTCGTTAAATACGGCCCACATCAACGGGGGGGTTCTAATTCATAACGGGGAGTGGTGAGATATAAAATTTGTTGTCTTAGAATTGAGATTAATTAAAAGATTTTTTTTTCTATTTTTACTTAGTATTTTGGTGTTCTCGGACAAGGTCACGATCGAATGGCTTGAATCAACCAACGACCCGGCTTTTAAGGGTACTAAAAAAGGGAGGATTTATTTAACAACACATCGAATGATTTTTAATTCGTCAAGTAACGATGATAAAATGCTCTCGTTTAGTTTCCCTTTTGTAACTTTGTCGAATGTAAGTGGGTTAATGATGATTTGATTTATAAATTAGTTAATTGTTGTGTAGGTTGAGATTGAACAACCGGTTTTTGGGGCCAATTTTATTAAAGGGATGGTTGTTGCACAACAAAATGGAAATTGGCAAGGACGGCAAACGTTTAAATTAACTTTTAAACATGGTGGGGCTATTGAATTTGGTCAAGCTATGTTAAAAGCAGCGAGTTTAGGTTTGTTGATAAGAAAAATAAAATTTGATTTTTAACTTAACTTAAAAATTAGCTAGAAGAAATGGTCAAAATGCTCCCCCACCTTACGTACCATCAATGGGGCAATCTTACCCGGCTCCACCCCCAGCTTACGCTCCCCCACCGAACGGTTATTATGGATGGGTTCCCCCTTCGAACGTATTCCCGGATCACCCCCCCCAAAACTCCGTTTATATGAGCGATGCCCCACCTCCGTATCCCGGAATTAATCAACAACAAGGAGGTAATAATTAAAATCAAAAATAAATTTATTTTTTATTTTTTCTTTGTGTTAATTTAGCGTTTTATCAACAAAAATACGTTTCAAACACGTACTATTAAGGTAAATTTTCAAATTAAAACGACTTTTTCTTGAGTTGTACTAATTTTGGTTGTTGAAAAAAGGGGCGAAACGCTTTAAAGCCACACTTTTTTTATTAATTTTATTGTACTAACCGTCTAAATAGTTAGTTATTTTTGTTTTAACATAAAAACTATTTAACTTTCGCACACAGTAACACCGAACACACCGGGGGCGTTTGCTAAAGCGGCCGAGGCAGCACAATCAGCGTATTACGATCCTAACCAACCTCAGATGGCCTATGTGCCACCCCCGGCTTATTACGTAAGCTAAGAATCCTCTCAAAAACGTAGTTTATGAACGTTTTTTTTATAGGAAAACCCCCCAACGTATGATGAAGCGACCAAAAAGTCTCAGTGAAACGCCTTGAATAGTGGGATTTCAATGGGATAAGTATTCTTTATCCTTTTATTAATAAATACTGATATAATGAGATTAGATATATTTTTACTGCAAAAAATACTAAGGCGAAAAGCATAATTGTATATAAACATTAATACAACAACACAAAGAAGATTAAGGGAAGAAAAATATGTTAACGTTATTAATTAATTATTAGTTTTATTTTATTGCTATAAAGCGCATTGTGTAGTATGTTCTATGTTTATAATTTTTATGTAGATTTTTAGGGTGGTATTTTTTATGTTTTAAATGTTTAAATATATTTATAGGAAGAAATTTTGTATTAATATAACCTCAATTTTTTTGACAGTTCAACCTGAAGTTGGTGCTTATCAAAAAGTGGTTTGAATAAAGTATTTATTTTAATTTACGTAATAAATACTTTTATATAAAGAGCTTATATATAAAAAAATTAAAAACTTACGGATTTTTTGAAGTATTTCGTATTTTAAACCACATTTAGCGCCACCTTTGGTTGATGTTCCACAATATAAGACGGACTCTCAAATGTGACAAATTCCTATTTTATAACCTAAAAATGAAAAAAAAAATAAACGGATTAATTAATTATTTATGGTTTAATTTATAAGAAAAATGATGTAATTAAAGTAATAAAAACTGAACAAACAATTTAAACCATGAATTAATATAGTAAAACAAATAACCTTAATCTCCATAATTTAAGCGAATAACACAAAAAGATTATAAATAATAAAATTAATTATCTTGTTAACTTTTCTTTAATAATAAAAAAAGTTTCAATGATAAAACTTGTTGTTTAAGATATTTTCTCGTCATTAAACCTTTATTTTATTTTTGCGTAAAAAGTGAAGTATTAACAAGATTTTTAACTTAATTATAATTAATTTCTCTTTTAGTGCCAATAGAAAAGTGTATTAACCTTAATAACATCGTATTAAATCGTGTTACGATCTTAAAATGGATCACAAAATACAACAAAATCGATTTAATAGCTGATTTAATCGGTGGGGTAACTTTGGGGGTTACAATGATCCCTCAAGCGATTGCTTACGCTTCTTTAGCAGGAGTTCCCCCTGAATATGGTTTATATACGGCTTTTATGGGATCGATCATTTACGTATTCTTTGGAACAATCAAAGAAGTTTCAATCGGACCAACATCACTCCTTTCAATCTTAATTTTTTCATATACCGATGGATTATCTCTCGATCATGTTATTTTATTATGCTTTCTAAGCGGATTAATCGTCTTTTTGATGGGTGTTTTAAAGTTGGGATTTCTCATCGATTTTATTTCAACTCCTGTTACATCAGCTTTTACAACCGCTACATCAATCATTATATTATCCAGCCAAATTAAAGGATTATTGGGGATTAATATCGATGGTAAAGGTTTGGTCGAGTTGTATAAAAAAATTTTTCAGAACTTGCATCAAACAAAAATTCCTGATTTCTTACTTGGATTATCGGCTATATCTTTCTTATTAATCATCAGGGTAAGTATATTTTCTACCAACCTTATTAACAAACTAATCAAAAGTTTTAACTTATTAGTAATTAGTTATTTATCTATTTAAGTATATTTGCCAAAAAAAAGTTTCCAATAAAAAATGGAAAAAAGCATTGTGGTTATTATCAAACAGTCGAAATGGATTAATTGTAGCAATAACTTCATCGATAGCCTACCAAATGATTCAAAATGGGAAGAGAGTCCCGTTTATATTAACCGGAAACATCCCCGCGGGATTACCACCGCTATCATTTCCAAATACCACAACAATCCATAACAATCAAACAATTAATCTGCACGAAATGATTTTAAATTTGGGAAGTGGAACAATCGTGATTCCTTTAGTGGCTGTTTTACAAAATATTGCAATCGCAAAAGCATTCTGTAAGGAAATATTATATTAAAAATAATGTTTATTTATTTATTTATTTAAGCAAACGGTGTTGTTGATGCAACTCAAGAAATGATTACATTAGGATTAGCGAATATGTTGGGGAGTTTCGTTCAAGCGATTCCAGCTTCGGGAGCTTTTACAAGATCCGCTGTTAGTAATGCAAGCGGGGTTAGAACTCCTTTAGCTGGGTTCTACGCTGGTATTTTCATCCAATAAAAAAGATTGTGGATTTAATTAATTTTTTTAGCATCTATAATTTTGATGGCGCTGGGATTTTTAACACCTTATTTTTATTATATTCCGAAAGCTACTCTTTCCGCTGTTTTAATCGCTGCAGTTATTTTTATGATCGATTATAAAATCGTTTTTAAATTATATCCAAAACATAGTAAGCTTACAACAAATTTATTTTGTGTAAATTAATTTTTTTCTCGTAGAGTTTGATTTAGTGACATATTCAACAACGTTAATTCTTTGTTTATCATGCGGAGTTGAAACCGGATTATTCGTAGGAATAATTATTAGTACAGGAAATTTATTGGTCCCTTGGTGCAGACCCAAAATCTTACTTAACGTTAATTCGGATAAAAACGGGATGAACTACATTACCGTCAAATTAGAAATGGGATTTTATTTTTCAGCCGTTAATTATGTAACCGAAATTATTAAAAATGAACCTAAATCGTTACCGATTATTTTGGATTTTAGTAACATTAAGGATGTTGATTTTACAGCTGTAGAGGTAAATGTGGAGGAAAAATTAACCTTAAAAAATTTGTTTTTTATTTTAGGGAATCAAAACGTTAATTATGAATGCGAAGAGGAAAGTTTTAATTTATAAACCAAATGAGAGCGTTCAAAATAAGCTACAAGATGCTCTAATACATCAAAAAGTGATTTTTTATGATTTTGACAGTTTGGATCATGATTTTGAGGTTATGACTAGCGAGGAAAATTTTCTTTTAAAATAGATTGAATTATAATTAAATATAGAAAAATAATAATGCATATATAAATTAATTGAGATATGACGATTATATTTATTAAAAATTATTAATTTAATCAACTAATAAAAAAAAAAATCCATATGACAGCGCCATCTCTGTATGGAAGTTCAAAACATTTTCAGGTTACATTTTTGAGTTATCTTCGTGTTGTATTAAGTTTTAGGGATATACGAAGCCCTATACGTTATTTGAGTGTAAATTGGATCCTAAACTTTCGAACTCAACCGTTATTCCAACTTGGTTAAGTGAAAATCAACTAAATAGTGTGTGCCCTATTTGATGCGATTTAACGCAATTTTATTCGTCTTATAATGATTTGAGGTAAGTGGAGTACTAAATCTTATTTCATAGTTATCTACTAATAATTTGAAACGGGATTGTGTTGATTTGAAATGAAATAAGGATGAAAAAAAAATCCTAACCTCAAAATTTTTTAAGATTTTTTTTAAATTTATTTCTATCATTTTCACAAAATAAAGAGATTAAATTCTCTTTTATATCTTAATAAACACGAAATAATAATAGACTTCTAATTATGTTGAAAAAAAAGAAATAATTAATTCCTCCTAGTGCGATATTCTAATACGATACATATTGATACAATACATTCTCATTTTTAATTCTTTAACGGTTAATAAACTTTTTGAGCGATATTTCAATTAAAAAAATAAAACGATTCACTTTTAATTTCCAAAAGAAAGAAAATTGGCAGTTTCTACTTTTTCAACCTTAACCTAACTTTAACATTCCGCATTTAACTCTAATTTGGTTAAGTTTATATTCATACTTTTTCTTTGTGCTTTAAAATAACATGTACAGATATTTAGTTAATTTATATAAAAATATTTTTCTCTACTTTTATTATTTAATCTTTATTACTCGTTTATTTATCGATCGTTATTACTAATTACTTATTTTATTTTTAATTAAATTAACCTGAATTTAATGTGATGAATCTTAAGTAATAAAAAGAAATTAAAAAAAAAACTCGACTAGTTTTTAAACGTATTTAAAATAAATCTGCCAATAATTAAAATTGAAAAAAGAAATTAAGAAATATTGCACGAATCTCACGGGTTATCGGGTAAATCGAGTATTTCTGACACGAAAGAAGCAACGTCAACCTCTTTATCTTTATGTTCCAAACAAAAAGGATGATTTAAAAGTCCTTCATAATGAGGCCGGTCAACGTATTTTTTTTGAAGACATTTTGCGATAAAGTCTTGTAACTCAGCCGAGAATCCACCGTCTGTGGGTAAACGGGGCGGATCATCTTTAACAACTTGCTTTAATTGCTCAAAAGGGGTACCCCATTGGTTGTAAGGAAATTTCCCTGTTGCCAATTCAATCAGGGAAATACCAAAGCTCCAAACGTCTGAACGTATATCGTAATTCGATTGATTTCCTTGTGGATCAATCCGCTCGGGCTAAATTGAATGCATTATTATTGATTAAATAGAACTAAAAAGTACTCACAGCCATATATGGTTTACATCCAGCATCAATCGTTTTCGCTATAGAATCGACTAGATAACCGCTAATTCCAAAATCGCACATTTTCACCTCTCCTTTACGATTAATTAAGATATTTGATGGTTTTACATCTCGATGAATCACTCGAAGACGACTATAAAGGTAATGAAGAGCACTAACTACAGCTATTGATATTTTACCTAAAAGAAAAATTATTTTCTAGGTTATGTTGTTGTTTAGATCTTAAAAAGAATGCTTGCCGCGAGATGGCGCTTCAACTAAATTAATTATTTATTATGAAAATTTTTAAATCTTTTAACGAATAGCATTTACCTAAAATATCCTCAGGTATTTTCCTATTATTCTTATAAACTTTAGCATAAAATTTATCCAAACTCGTGTCCATAACCTCCATACAAATCCAAACGTCACCCTCGCGAAATAGTGCCCCATAAAATTGCACGGTGTACGGACAATCGCTACTTCTCATTGAAATATCCAAGTCCATAAGTAATCGTTTTTGTTCTTGTGTATTAACCGTGGCGGTAATCCGTTTAACGGCCATAATTGTATCACTCGGAACATGTCGCATTTTTTCTACAATTCCATAAGCACCTCGACCTAAATCGTCGGTTTTCACCAGATCATCGGCTTCAACATCGAATGTACGATCCCCAATCGTGATTGTGGTGCGTTTATCTAAATTAGCTGGAGGAACTCTGCATTAAAAAAAAATTTAGGTTATGTTAACAATTATTATTATTAATTCGGAGAGATTTAATTACATTTTCGGTGGTTCTTCAACGCTGAGACTGATCTTTGGGAAAGGTTTCTTTCTGCCCGATTTAGGGGTGGCCATCGTTTATCGCTTTACGACCTAATTGATTGAGAAGAAAATCCGACCCTACAAAGATCGGGTTAAAAATAATTCCACGAAAAGTGGGAATTAATTTTTTTAAATGTTTCGATATGAATGATAACTCTTAAAACGTCGATAAATTACCTTATTTGTATACGAAATCGGGCAAAATACGGCACCAAGCTTTACTATAAATGATGTTAGGGAAAAATTTAGGGATTTTTATTTTGAAATGTTATCAACGTTTTCAAGTACTAGGTATTTTTTTTTATTTATTTATTTTATCTTGCATAAATAATTTTTTTAGAAACAATTTTAGATTAAAATTAATTTAGTTTTAATTGTTTATAAATAATTAATTTATATTAATTAGAAACATTTTTTAAATATTAAGCGCCATCTATGAACAATAAAATAACGCAACATATATCAATTTCAATATTTATTAATTAATTAATTTATGATAAAATTTTATTTATTTTAAAAAAATAATAATAAATGAATTATTTTTTTTCAATTTATTTTTATTACTAATAATATAATAATTAATTAATAATTATGACCAAAAAAGTTTGACAGATGTTTTTGTTTTTATTTTCGTTTTTAACATGTCATCTTAGAGAAATTTCACGTATAAAAATATGTTTAAAATCGTTCTAAATCAAAATTAACGTTAAAAATAATCTTCAAAAAGCACCTCTCTGGGTGGTATTAATATATTTTCATTTGTACTTTGCCTTCGACTAAAATTCTCGTAAAATCTCGTCGTGTCACGATGGTGTCTAAAATGGTGTTTTTCCGTCGCTTTAATAACATTAAATCATCGATTTTAGCCAATATGGTTCGAAAGTATGCGAGTAACGCCGCCCATAAAGACTTGATTGTTGAAAAACTCGAAGGTGTAGATAGCGGAATTACCGTGTTTGGATTGAATCGCCCCAAACAGAAAAATGCCTTCAGTATGAACCTCGTAAATGAATTGTCATCGAAATTATTTGAAGCTTCCATGGATTGTAATCTTAGGGTATTAATAATCCGAAGTTTGGTACCAGGAGCGTTTTGCGCTGGTGCCGATTTAAAAGAACGTTTATCAATGAGTCCTCAACAAGTTAAAACGTTTGTCAATCAATTAAGAAGCGTCATAAACACTGTACATAATCTACAAGTTCCTGTAATCGCTGCTTTGGATGGTGTCGCTTTAGGAGGAGGTTTAGAACTTGCATTAGCTTGCGATTTGCGGATTGCATCATCAAGTGCTAAATTAGGTTTGGTTGAAACTAAATTAGCTATTATTCCGGGAGCTGGAGGCACTCAACGATTAACTAGGTTAATTAACCCGTCAATCGCTAAAGAATTAATTTACACCGGGCGAGTTTTCGATGGTGACGAAGCCGTTAAAATGGGCGTCGTTAATCATTCATTAAAACAAAATGATGGTGATGATGTTGCATATCAAAAATCATTAGATATTGCGAGAGAAATTGTTCCAAATGGCCCCGTTGGTGTTCGAATGGCGAAAGCAGCGATTAATAAAGGATTAGAAGTTGATTTAAACACGGGATTATCATTTGAAGAGGCTTGTTACGCCCAGGTTATCCCAACGAAGGATAGAACGGAGGCTTTAAATGCTTTCCATGAGAAAAGACCACCCAAATATATCGGAGAATAAAAAAAAATTTATACATGTTTTATTTGTATTTGAAGAGGTGCTTTTTGATCATATTTGTTGAAAATAAATGTTATTTTTTTGAATTTTCTTTATTTACAATTACGATGTAATACAGAGTTTATTTTTAATACAAAATAAGAGCAAAAATTAAAACAACTATCCATTTTATCTTAATTTAAAAATTTATCATCGACTATCATTTCATTAATGCTTAACCTCTTTACTTATTTAATTCCTTGATAATCTTTTACTCTTATTAATAGCCCCTTCTTAGTTAAATATAAACATTAAAACTTTGATTCTTTCTGTTTTTTAACGGCTTGTACGCATTTTGCCATTGTAGAGGATGCTCGACTAATGGAATCTGTCATGTAAAAATCTTCTAATTTCTTTTGTTCAACATCCAAAGGAGAATTATCGATTTTATTTTGTATTTTCTTGTTCATTTCGAGAGCCTGCTTGAAGAAATTTGCATCCTCAGCTGTTCCATATCTCACTAAATGTGGTGAAACCTCTTCTAACCTATAACGAATCTCCTCCAAACTGTCATAAGGTAATTTAACCCCAACAAATTCGGATAACGCCCTAATTATTTTCCAATCTTCTCTAGCTTGGCCTGGAGGGGACACGGCAAGTAAAGTTTGTTGCGCCCTTCCTTCCGTGTTGACGTAAGTGGCTTGTTTTTCGGTGTATGCAGCTCCGGGTAAAACAGCATCAGCAATTGTTGCGCCATAATCGCCGTGATGTCCTTGGTAAATCACAAAGCAATCTTTAGGGAGATCGGAACGGTCAATAGATTTATCATCGGCCCCCAATAAAAATAGAACTTTTAGGTTGGGATTAGAACGAATCTTCGAAACTCCCGCGGCGTAACCTACATCTAAAGCGGCAACTTGACTTGCAACTTTATGCAAAACGTTAACAACCTTCCAATTTTTATCTGCTTTACTTTGAGCACCCAAAGCTTGAAGAGCCGCTAAAATAGCCACTCCATCTTTACGCTTTAAAGTTTCTGAGCCAACAATTATTACAGGTTTCTTAGCGTTTTGTAATTTCCTCGCAAACGGGTGTTTACCACTTGTTAATTCATCTAATACTTTAGGTTCAGCGCCTAAATAATCGTAATCATAACGCAAATCGACTTTTGGACCAATTAATCCAATCTCCGATTCATTATGAATATAACCTTTACGAATACGAGTGTTTAAAATCGGAGCTTCTAATCGCGGGTTAGTTCCAACTAATAAAATAACATCAGCTTCTTCTACAGGTGCGATTTTTGTGTTTAAAAGGTAATTTGAACGAATATCCGTTCCAGAACCGTCCATCGGAAAAGTGTGTTCAGTGCATAAAGCTTCAGAACCTAAACGATTTAAAAGGTCTTTTAATGCTACGAGCGCTTCTGCATCAGCGAAACCACCGGCGATTGCTCCAATGTTTGATCCTATTATAAAAAAGAATTTAAAAAAAAACTATAAAAAATATAAGTGATTCTAACCTGCAAATTTGATTTGTTTAGCAACCGTAATTAAAGCTGCCTCCCAATCAACCGGTTTTAATTCCCCAGAACAATCTTTTAGCATCGGTGTAACTAAACGTTGTCTCTTTAAACCATCGTAAGAAAACCGCGATTTATCTGAAATCCTTTAAAAAAAAATTATTTAAACATAACCTAAAAAAATGTTTTTTTTAAATAATTTTTACCATTCCTCATTAATTTCTTCATTAACTCTCGGCATAATACGCATAACTTCTCCCGTCCGCGTAGAAACAACGATATTTGACCCCAAAGCGTCCAAAACATCAATTGAATCGACTTTACGAATTTCCCAAGGTCTTGCGGTAAAACTATAAGGCTTACTTGTTAAAGCCCCAACCGGGCATAAATCAATTACATTCCCCGATAACTCAGACAAGAAAAATTTCTCTACATAAGTCCCCACTTGCATATCAGACCCACGCCCCGTTGTTCCTAAATCGTCTATTCCAGCAACTTCGGAGGCGAATCGAATGCATCGGGTGCAATGAATGCACCGAGTCATGATTGTTTTTATTAATGGACCAATATCTTTGTCTTCGACGGCGCGTTTTCCGGAGAAATCGTTATCTGTGAATCGAGAACGATCGGAGCCGAAAGCCATCGATTGGTCTTGAAGATCGCATTCGCCTCCTTGATCGCAAATGGGGCAATCTAAAGGATGGTTTACTAATAAAAATTCCATTACGCCTTCTCGAGCTTTTCTGGTCATATCTGAGTTTGTTTTAACTTTCCATCCTTTCATAACAGGCATAGCGCAAGCGGCTACAGGTTTAGGCGATTTTTCTACTTCCACCAAGCACATCCGGCAATTCCCCGCCACGGCTAATCGTTCGTGATAACAAAATCTTGGAATTTCAACCCCAACTAACGCCGCGGCTTGTAATACTGTGGTTCCCGGCTCAACCATCACAGATTTATCATCGATGAATACTTCAATTTTCTCCGGGGGTTTTGCAACATCAGCGTAACCTTGGGCTAATACTGCTAGTTGTTTTGGGGCCCTTAAGGCCTTGCTTAGTGTTAAACGCAGCATGATTTTATCTGAAAAGGGTTGTTTTTGATAGGTTTTAATTATGTAACAAAGTTAACATAACCTCAAACTTTTTATATATTAAGGGATTTAAAGGTTTTATTAAGGGAGTTGGAAGAAAATAAACAAGGGAGGTGATTAAAAGGGATTTATTTGAATTGTACCTTGCTTTTGATGAGATTATTTTTTTTCGTAAACGTCAGAAAACCGTAAATTTGACAGCCATTACTTGCGACATCTATTGAAAAATGTGAAAGAGAAAGTAAAAAGTATTGATTTAATTACATAAAGAGTTATTGATTTAATAATAAATTTAATTATTATTGAAAATCGATTTAAATCATTTTGTTATTTATTACAAATCCATTAAAATACGTTTTAATTAAATTAAAAACCGGAAAGATTATTGCGCCATCTACGTGACGTAACCCTTTCTTTTCCTGTCAAAAGCCGGGTTCGTGTCATCGTGTTAAACTTAATTAAAAATCTTTTCAAAAATGACTTTCGGAGATTTAAAAACCGAACAAGGCGTGAAAGCCCTCAATACTTTCTTGGAAGATAAAAGTTACATCTCTGGGTAAATTCGAATTAATTTTATGATCCTAACCTCACTGTTTCTTGTTTAATTCTTATTAGATTCGTTCCTAGTCAACTCGATGTAGACACGTTTAAAACGCTTGGAAAAGCACCCGGAGATTCTTACCAACACGCTTTAAGATGGTACAACCACATCAAATCATTCTCGGAAGCCGAACGTAAAACTTTCGCGGTGGGAGCTTGCCCCATGAAAACGGCCCAACCAACAACTAACGATGATGATGACGACGTCGATCTTTTCGGGTCTGATGACGAAGAGGAATCCGCGGAAGCAGCGAAGATTCGCGAGGAACGCCTCAAAGCTTACAACGAAAAAAAATCAAAGAAACCGGAATTGATTGCGAAGTCAAGTATTGTTTTGGATGTGAAGCCTTGGGATGATGAGACAGATATGAAAGCTATGGAAACGCAAGTTAGAACGATCCAGATGGATGGGTTAGTTTGGGGCGCTTCTAAATTGGTTCCAGTTGGTTATGGAATTAATAAATTGCAGATTATGTGTGTTGTTGAAGATGCAAAAGTTTCTGTTGATTTGTTAACAGAGACTATTCAAGAATTTGAAGATTTTGTTCAATCTGTGGATATTGCCGCTTTTAATAAGATTTAAAAATGATTTTGATGTCTTTGAATTAAATAATAAAGAGATTTTTTGAATGCAAGTTTTTAATTATGGTTATGTAATAGTGAGATAAAGTAAAATAAACATAATAAAGAATTCATATATTCAAACAAACCAGTTCTGTACAATGACTTTTAGAATTTTTAGATTCCAAACAAGGTTTTAAATTAACATAGAACGTTCTTGATAACACTTAAACAAGTTTGTTGTTTAATTTCCATACTGGTTTTTCAAGATTTCTTATTTAAATAATGTTCATGTCTTTGGCTGTTTGAAATCACGCCATTTATATCTTCCAATCACAGTCTTTAAAGTGATTTAAACGCATCAACATGAACGAGTTAAAGGTAAGGACACATTTAGTGGAATTTTTGAATTTGATTTCTTTGTAGTATTTAAACGGATTTGATTCCGAGTTTCAATCTGAAGATCCTCGACGTCCCAATTCGTTACCGAAAGGTCAAAATAGCCCACAAAAATGCCCCTATGGGTTGTACGCCGAACAATTATCTGGGAGCGCTTTTACGGCTCCGCGAACCGAAAATAAGCGCACCTGGTTTTATCGAATTCGACCATCTGTGGGGCATTTTCCATTTAAAAAATTTTTGAAAGGAAATGTTACTCATGATTGGAATGAACAAGATCCAGATCCTAATCAGGTATTAATTTATATCTATATAATATATGTTTATCTATTTTGATTAAATTATTATTTTTTTTTTTTTAGATGAGATGGAATCCTTTTGATTTTCCGAAAGATCAAATTGATTTCGTTGAGGGTTTAAACACAGTTTGTGGAGCCGGGGATCCTAAGATGAAATCAGGATTGGCTATACACGTTTATATTTGTAATGTATCGATGGGAAATCGCGCATTTTACAATTCAGATGGAGATTTTTTAATTGGTAAAATAATTAAATTTAAGTGGCGCCATCTAAAATTGAATTACTTAACACTTAATTTGACACATTTGACATTTGTAAAATTAATAAATTATTTAAAAATTAAATTAAATATAACTATGACTTTATGAATAACTTAATTTTAATAATTTTTATTCTATTTTTAGTTCCTCAAAGTGGAGTTTTATTTATAACAACAGAATTTGGAAAAATGGAGGTGGGCCCAAATGAAATTGCTGTAATCCAACAAGGAATGCGATTTAAAATCGATGTAAACGAACCTTCTCGAGGTTACATATTAGAAGTTTTCGGGCAACACTTTATTTTACCGGATTTAGGCCCGATTGGGGCGAACGGATTGGCAAATCCTCGAGATTTTCAAACACCCGTAGCATTATACGAAGACATTGATGTTGACAATTACGAAATTATCGCGAAATATCAAGGAAAGCTATTTATTTGCCACCAAAATCATTCTCCGTTCGATGTGGTTGCTTGGCACGGGAATTACGTACCTTATAAATACAACTTGGAGAATTTCATGGTGATCAATTCGGTTTCTTTCGACCATTGTGACCCCTCTATATTCACCGTTTTAAGCTGCCAATCAGAAAAGAAAGGTACAGCAATCGCTGATTTTGTTATTTTCCCTCCGAGATGGTCGGTGCAAGAGCACACGTTTCGACCACCTTATTATCACCGTAATTGTATGTCTGAGTTTATGGGGTTAATTTTGGGGCAATACGAAGCTAAAAAGGGAGGATTTTTACCTGGTGGGGCTACTTTACATTCAATAATGACACCACATGGCCCTGATTTTAAATGTTTTTCTGAAGCTAGCGAAGAAGCTTTAAAACCAACTCGAGTCGCTGAAGGAACTCAGGTAAATGAATAATATGTTATTTAAATGATAACAAAAATACTTTTTTTAAAGGCTTTTATGTTTGAAAGTTGTTACGGTTTAGCTGTAACGAAATGGGGGTTAAAAACTTGCGAAAAACTCGATTTGGATTACTACAAATGTTGGCAAGGTTTAAAAAAGAACTTTAATCCCATTTAATTTTATATTTTGTCTTTTTAATCCACACTTTTATTTTAATTATAGAAAAAATTTCGATTAAAATTAATTACAAACTAACCTCAATATTAACTTCGAAATTATCTAAACTAAAACTAAAAGAAAGACAAAAAAACTAATGGGAAAAATGAAATTAAATATAAACACTAAAGTTTTAATAAAAAAAAGGATTTAACTTGGAGCTGCGTCCATATCGGAAACAGCTTGATCCGGATCATCATCGTTATAAACATTTTCAGCCATTTGCCAAACTTGCATAATATTATCTTCGGATACAGAACAAATAACCCACGGTTCATTGGGATTCCAACTAAAATCTGTTAAAAAAGAATCAATAAATAACTTAGAATCGAAAAATATTATTCAATTTCATTAATATTGTTCCTTTCCATCTTTGGGAATTTAATTTGAATAAAACAACTATGTTTGTTGAGATGGATTATATAATATAAAAACATTAAGCCAAAAACTACATATTAAAATCTCTTACTGTACTGTACTAAAATTGCAACTATCGGGTCCCTTGACAACCAACACTCCTATCCTTTCAATGCTTCTATAAAGATTTAATTTCTTTTTCAACCCTAACCTAATTACATAAATTCCCTTACCATTCCATAATTATAATAATTTAAATTTGAAATAGGCGGATAACTTCACACAATTACAACATAACCAACAAAATAATTACAGGAGGCGACGATTATAATACACAGAACGAAATAAGAAAAAGATATAACAGAAACAGATCTCGAAGTATAATGAAGAAAATAGTTTTGGATTTAGGATATTTGAAATATAATTGACGTAAGTTGGTAGACAGATAAAGATAACCTAGAAACAACATGTTTATATGTATAAAAAAGATTTTGTCCATGACTACCTTATAAATGAGTTTTTTAAAACAAAAGGGTAGTCATTTTTTACAGAGTGATTAATCTGGATTAATCATTATTCACGGGTAATCAACTTGACAGACTAATAATAATCATTTCAAAAAACGTCAATTTAATTTAATTTTTTTAGTTCTTTCTAAAGGCTTGACATTAAAAAAAGTAAACAAATTCCGTTTTGCCTATGATTTAAGCATAAATTAATTAATTCTCTTAAAAAAACATGACGTTTCATAAAATTGACATTTAATTTTGACAAATTGTTGTGAAGAGTTGGTAACATTGAAGTTGTGTCACAATGCCATTTAAAATTTATATAAAAAAATAAATTTATGAAATCAATTTCGATAGTAGTTGTGAAAGTATAGTATTCTACTCATATGTAATGAGCTATTATTCATTCAGGCTCACTCAGGTTATAAACTTAACCTTAGTGAATAATAGCCTTCATTATATGCTTGTATAATAATAATACACTATTAATACATATGTAGTGTTTGATTTAATGTCTTTATATTATATAATAGGTGGCAAATTTCTCCTGAAGATGACTACATTCAGTAGTCGAAACCGGTAGAGCCAAAAAATAAATATATAATCCATCTCAACAAACATAGTTGTTTTATTTAAATTAAATTATTTAATTTACCTGAAATTTTCGCTGTGTGTCCACCGTGAATAAATAATAATTCAGGTGGCCCATCTTCGTTATCCTCTGGAGTTTGTTCTTCCCCTATTTTACTTAAATCCCAAACATGAAGTCTCCTATCGGTACCGGATGAAGCTAAAATAGTCTCGTTATGTGGCGACCATTGAACTTGGAAGATTTCATCTTTATGTGACTCAAAACTGTGTAATTTCAACTTTAAATTTCTTAAATCCCAAAGTGCCACGGTCTTATCTGCACTTCCAGTTGCTAAAATAAACTCCGAGTACGGATTAAAACTCAAACAATTCACTTCGGCCGTATGAGCATCGACTGTATGCGAAGGTTTTGTTGTGTTATTACACCGCGTGTCCCAAATCATTAATTTTTGGTCGTCGGCGACTGATCCGAACAACGATTCGTGAAGTAAATGCCAAGCGACGTCTTCCACAACAGCCGTGTGTCCGGTAAAAATAGTTTTGGCATCAATTATTCGATTATCTTTCGGTGTTGCGTTGATGTCCCACAAACAGATTGTGTGATCGTCACTCGCCGATAATAAATAACCATTTAAATTCGGATTCCACGATAAACCGTAACCTTCCTTTTGGTGGCCCCTTAAACGCAAATCCGGGTGACATTCTCCGCTTGGATCAGGCTTACTCGGATGTTTTGTATAATCGAAAACCAAAACGTCGCTTGACGGTGTTTTAGTGGCTATCACACACGGATTTTGAGGCATGTACCTCGCCCTGTTCACTTCCCCTTCGTGATTTATTTTTATTTCAATCTCAATTTTACCGGAAACCGAGCCGAAACCGCCAAATTCACCTTTTTCGTTATCGTAATGTGAAGCATCGAACTGAGCGTCTTCATTCGGAAGTTGCACGCTGGCTATTAAAAGGTGATTTTGCTCATCCGAAGTGTGAGTACCCAAAATTAAACGATGTATCGAGTGGTCTTTTCCATCGGGTCGTGTTACATCCGGTAACCATTGTGCGGTGAGCGAGGGCCACTCGAGGGCATGGGTCATCACTAAATCGTAGAGAAATGGAGTGTTCTTTTTCCATATTTTGTACTCTTCGTTTATAACGCGCTCCTCAACAGCGTCATCGAACGTTTCTAAATCATTAAATAAACAGACACATTAAATTGAAGTGAAAAAATAACGAACGGAAAAATACGGAAAAATAGATAAAGAATTAAGGATGTTATATAAGTTTTTAATTATTGCGGGAATATTATAATATTAAAAAAGGTTGTAAATTACTCACCCGCGTCTCCTTTATCCCCCATTGGACCCAATTAAAGAAATTTTCGGCGTTTTTGTTAGTGTGTAACAAACTGACGCTATCCCGCCAAATTCTGCAGCTAACTTCGCGTTATTAATAAAAACCCAACCCAACGTAAACCGAGTTTAAACGAAAAATCCCCAAATATTTTAAATCTTGTTTATTATTTATTGCAATAAAATCACGAATACATTGCAAATTAAATCGGTTATTTAAATTAAATAATTATAATTTTGATTTAATCGATTTAATAAGAGAAATTAAAATTTTTATTCTTTAATAATCGAAATATCCCTAGATTGCACCTAGATTGTATTTTAATATGACATTGACACATGTCATAATTAAATTTAGTTTTAAACTTAAATTGATGAAAACAAGATGAATAAACCAACAAAAAGGACGTTTGTAAGAAACACGGAACAAAAATTACCCGAAATAACCGTAAAAACAACCCAATCAGTGCTTAAAAAACCATCTTCAACAACTCAACGAAAAACAACTCAATTACATCAAAAAACGGTTAATTTCAACGAACCTAAGTTAAATTCTTCCAAGAAAATCATCAAAGATATTTGTGCGATTCAAAACGCGATTAAAACCGAAAAAAATGTAAAAAAGTCGGAGGTATTAGAATATAAAGTAAGTGGGGTTAAAAAACGAAAATTAATTCTTATTAATCATTAAAATTGATTTTAGATTACGAAACGTATGAATTTTCCAATCGACAAAGTAATTTATAAAAATTTAGTGCCATTATGTACAAAGAAGGAGCCACCTTGTTATAGATCCCCACGGGAGCCTTTACCAAAAAAAGACATCGAGCCGAAATTAAGCGATTATTGTGATCCCTTAAAAACGTTTAATTACGTTTTCAAAGTTGATGTGCCACCGATTAGATCTGAAACAGAGGAGGAAGGTGTTAAATTTGACGGTTGTTGTTTAACGAAACATTTAATGTTGTGGGAGGAAGAACCGGAGTTGATAGAAAATTCTGTTTTGGTTTCTGAGTGAGTTTAATTATTATTAAGTGTAATTTAATTCAAAAAAGGAAAAATGTTATTTGTTAGCGCCATCTATGTCTCAGGGGGAAATGAAATTGATCATGTGATTTCTAAAACATAACCTACCTTTTTTATAACAATAATTAAATCGATAATTACTTAGATATTATTAAATTAATAGAAAGGTGTTATTTGAATTAAAAAATGATTTATATTAAATTACGATAACAAATAAGGTGAGTTTATAAAAACGAAAAATTTTTTGTAAAAATTTTGTAGGTTAGAAAATGTTAAGATTTATTTTTTAATGCTTTACGTAATAATAACAATTTATTTTGTACTAAGATATAATACATGCCCTTATTTTCTAAATTAAAATTAAATTTTTGACCTAAAAATTATTAAAAGAAAAATGAGGTACATTTCATCACAGAAATCGTTAAATCAAAATGTACGTAAATCTAAAAACAGGAGATAATATAAGTAAGATTAATTTCATTTTTTAAATTCGCTTGGTACAAACATTAAAATAAAAATTGTGCCGAACCCAGCAATTGCGGCTAAATAAACGAATCCCAAATAAAATGCGTGATAAGTAATAATTACTTGGAACAATTTCGTCGAAACGATAGCGCAAATGCAATGTAAACCGACTTGTATTCGATTTATTGATTTAATCGAGTTGAGTTCAAAGAATTTCGGGGCCATAATCGATGGGATAAAACCCATTCCGAAGGTGTGAATAAAAATGTAAATAACTAAAATTAATGATTTGACGTAAGCCCAAGATGGTTGTGGGTAAAAATGGTTTAAATAAGCATTCGCGGACATTAAAATGGTTGAAATGAAACAAGTTGAAAGTAAAGAATATTTAACGTGGATTTTATGCGAGTAAAATGAGGTAAATATGATTGAAATCATATAAAAAAAAATATAAACGATCGCGTATAATTCAGGGTTGTGACACCCGAATTTATCGAAAATTATGTTTGAATAAACTAAAACCGGAGGAGGACCAGTAAATTGTTGGAAAATAACTAAAATTAATAAAATGGGAATCGTTTTTAAGTAATATTTATTTTTCACCATGTCGATTAAGCCTAACTCATTACTTTGATTCTCTAAGTTATTCTTAAACGATTCAACATCCGTATTTGGCCTCAAACAACTTAATCTTTTCTCACCTTTCTCTGGTTTATTTAAATTGAATAATTCGCTCGGTGAATAGGGGATAAACATCAAAATAATCGATATGATTACACTCAAAATGAACGCCGATAAAGAAAATATCCGGAAATCTAAAAACGGCCCCACACAATACGTTAAACAAACCCCTAACATGATGAAGAAATAAGTAAACTTTAATAAAACCAACCGAATTACATTTTCGGTTGAATCGTTGATGTATTCAGAGATGTGGGGAGTCACGTAACCGTTTCCGAACCCAATTAAAAATCGTCCGATTAAAATATAAATGACGTCGAATGATTTCCAGATTATTAGCCAACCGATTATGATGGGAAACGTTGAGACCAATATCCCGTATTTTAATCCGAACGGTTTTACCCAAGAAAATGTTGTTCCAAACAAGTTTCCGATCATTAAAAATCCTGCGATTAAAGCCGTTTGATCCCAGGTTATTTTAATTGGGGCTGATTCTTGGAGTAAATTTGGAAATGTTGGTGATGGCCATCCTAACATTAATCCGAATGATAAACATGGTAGGGAAACTAAAAACAATTATAATTAAAGAATGTTATAAACTCAAATTTTGATGATGTTAAGTTAGGTTATGTCGTTTACAAAAATTTGCGCCATCTATTAGTTATTTTTGTACTCGAAAGTTTGATTAGTTAGATTATAAATATTTGCAATTAACAATTTTAAATCTTACCGAGTAAAGATGGAAATATTTTCCAAAATGTATTCTTAACATTATCCATTTGAGGTGGTTTCTCAACGTTAAAAACATACGTTTTAACTTCTCCGTTGACCAAATTCGATTCTAAATCTTTAATTTCCATCTTGCTGATTATAAAAGCAAACTTACTTCTTGTTTCAATCCAAATTCAATAAATCTGATGGATAAATAATGAGGCGTTAACGTTTTGAATATATTTATAAATGAAATTTTAAGGAGAATGACGCGCGAAAAATTGTTTCTTTTTTCGCAAAACCTTTCAACAATGTGAGCGAATTGTGTGAAAGTTAATCTTTTATTTCTAAAGTGAAAGTTGTAAATTTTGTTGCTATTTTTAATGTTTTTGGGAAAAATTGTTTAATTTTACTTACGTTTTTTTACTGTTAATTTCTGTTAGATGTATAAAAAAACCTCATAAAACACGCCGTGTTGTTCAGAAAATAATAAAAAAAATTTTAGATTCTCTCACGCAACGATTAATAACACTCAAACCAATTGTACCGCAAGTTGTTTCGTAATCGAAACAAATAACGTCACAATAATTTAACAATATCTTGAGCCAATTAAAAGGAAAAGTTAGGGTTAAATTGGTTTCAATTGGAGATCGCTTTTTTGTACGTGCATATGAATTTAAAAAAGTATCACTTATTGTTAGAGGCTTCAGCCAATTTTGAAAAGTTTACAGAAATTTCTTGGCACGTTTTAAAGTTTATTGAAAGAGACGATCAAATTGTGAGGCGATTTCTCGGTGTAATAATTCTAATAACGGTCTCGGGTTATGGTCACGTCGAGATTTTGGCCCCAAGGCTAATTTTTTGCACCTTTCTAAAACGAAAAAAAAAGTTTAGGAGAGTATGTGATCCTTTTTTATGTATTTTTAGATGTTTTTAAAGGCCTTATCTTTGATTGTTTGGGATTTTTTTTTGCGAGAAAATTTATTGCTATTTTTTATTTATTTTAATAGCATTTTGCGTTTAGGTTATGTTATGTCAAGAAAATATAACCTCAAAATAATTTTTTTTAATTTTAATTATTAATTCTAGTTTTCCCCATCAATTTAATACTTTATATTTATCAATTTGATTTTTTCTTATTATTATTAAATATTAAACTGAATAAAGTAGTAAATTAATATTAAAAAAGTGAGATTCTTCAATACTCTCAAGATGGAGCGTTGATTTAAAAGATTTGCTGCTAATATCAAGTTAAATCGTCATAAACAAATCAGATGTAAATGTCACAATATAACCTCAACATTTTTCGATAGAGTTCTTTTTGTGTTTTTGGTATGTTTTTATTTATTAATTTATATCATAATATAAAGGGGCAATAAAACCTACCTTACTGTGTTAAATGGATAGGCGTAAAGATTATTTTACAAGTAATAATATTTAGCACTTTAAAGGAAGAACTATTAAGTTAGGTTATGTTCGAAATTGTCAAAAAATTATTTAAAAATTTTAAATTATTTTTAGATTGATATCGAAATTAAGCAAAGAAAAATGAAATAAATTTACAATTCAAAATTTTAATACAAAATACCTTAATATGAAAAGAAAATTGTATAATTACATTCGAAACATCTTACCAAAACTTATCGTTAAAAAACGACTGATATGAATGGAAAAACACTCAAAAAGCCTTAGCTTATCAGAAACAAAGACGACGTTGCGATAAAAAAATTGTAATGAAGGCTGCTGAATTAGATTAACCTCAATCGTAAGTTGTAAACATAACTTAACAATAAAATAAACAAGTAAATATTAGGAAACTAGTTATTATTATTAGTTATTTAACATTTCATAGCAAAATTTGTTATTCATTTCGAACTTCAGCGTTTTGATTTGGACGACCTTCATTACCCCATTCGAAACCGCCAGGTCGTTCTTCCGGTAAAACATGATATTCTTGTTCGTTTTGTCCATCTAATAGTTGCTTTCTAAAAATTAAAAAAATAATAATAACGTCAAATCAAAACGTTTAAACTTACAATATCGAAGGTGTTTTTAACACCTTAAATCCACCCCGTTCCCTCGGAAAAACGTCCTCTAAGAAATAATAAATATGACCGACGGCTATCCCCATTAAATCGACATAAACTGCGTTTCCTAATAGAAGTGAGAATCCCAAAAGAACCCATGGTAAATAAGGAGCCTAAAATGAAAATAATTATTAAAAAATTCCTCTTTTGCTATTGTAACTTACGTAAAAATCTAATATTCCAAAAAAGTTCATACGAATAGCTGGATTTCTCCTCGACCAAATGTAAACTAACATAATTGTAAATGCTTGCCCCAAGAATAAGAGATTAACAAAAAAGGCGAAGGCCTAAATAAAGACATATTAATAAAAAAATATGTTTTGTTTTCCCTCTTACAATCATAAATATTCCTCCAAACAAAAACATCATAACGAAATCAGCCGTTCTATCCCTAAACGATCCCTCCTCCAACATTCTACAATACCGATACGTAAATATCATATTAAAGAAGAAATTAAAACCAAATGTTCCGAAAAATAGAAACGCTGTAACTAATCGATGAACTTGACCCTGTCTCAAAATCGAAATTGGGTTGAAATACAATTGAAATGGCGTTACCAAGTCCAATTGCTATGAAAAAAAATTAAATTATAACCTCAAAATTAACATAACCTAAAATTTTATTTTACTTACGACCGCTAATGTTGTTAGGACACATGCCGTCGTGTAAACTCTCGTCACAGGCGGTATTTGCATATATTCTGATCTAAATGAACGAAAAGCCATGGTTTATTATATTTTTATGTGTTGCTTTACCTCGAGGGATCTTCGTTAATATTTAGGTATACTTATTTGTAATTAGCCTCTTTTAAACAACATTGCTCCCCACTATTATACTATTATAGTATCTTTTGGCCACATCAGTGCAACAATAATTTGCGTACGATAACAAAACGTATGGGTAAAGTCATAGCTGTCAAAGTGACATTACATTAAAAAAATAAACAGTTTTTTTTTCCTTTTCTAGTAACTTTTTTTATGTTTCAGTTGGTTACATTACCGAGAAATGTCAAATGTCAAATTTTGACGTAAGCTCTGTAAGTTGTGATTTTTTAAAAGATTGATTTGATTGAGAGGATGGTTTTAACGAAGGAATATCGTGTTTGTATGCCTATGACTACTGAGGAGGTAATTAATACTTTTTCGGTGTTGTTTTAAAATTGAGGTTGATTTTTTGTTAGTACAAAATAGGGCAGCTTTATATGATTGCGAGACATAGTTTGGAGCAATCCGGAGATGGGGAAGGAGTTGAAGTTGTCGAAAATAAAGAGTGTAGTGATCCCGAACACGGAACAGGGCATTACACTGAAAAAAGGATCCATTTATCCAGGTTAATTTTAATCTGTACAATTTTTATTTAATTAATTTAAATTTAATGTTTTAGTCGATTACCGTATTGGATTCAAGCCTTAATCCCAAAAGTATTTTATATAACGGAGCGGGCGTGGAATTATTACCCATTAACAATAACTGAATATGATGTAAATTTTGATTTAACCTATAAAAATTAAATTAATTTTTATTTTTTAGTGTTCCTTCATTCCTAAATTTCACATAACGATTCAAACTAAGTATGAAGATAATAATGGATCTACCGAAAATGTAATATAATTCCTTTATTGTATTAATTTTATTAATTAATTCTTTTAGTGCTTAAATTTAACTCCCGAACAATTATCGGAGAGAATCGTCGAATACATCGATATAGCCTACGATGAGTTATCCTCAAAACATTATAAAGAAGAAGAAGATCCTTTATATTTCCAATCACGATTAACCCATCGTGGCCCTCTCGTTGATGGTTGGAGGAACTCTTTCACACCGGTTATGTGTTCCTACAAAGTTGTTAATGTTTATTTCGAAGTGTGGGGGCTCCAAACGAAAGTGGAGGACTTTTTGCATGCTGTAAATTGCTTTGGGGGAATTAAAATTTTATTTAAATTAATTTTTTTTAGTCGATAAGAGAAGTTTTGTTGTTGGGGCATCGACAAGCTTTTACTTGGATCGATGAGTGGTACAATATGAGTTACGAGGATGTTAAAAAGTATGAATCGCAATTGCAGAAAGAAACGAATAATATTCTTCAAAACGAGGATGATAAAAAGGTTGTGGAGGAAGCCAATAACAAAGATGAAGATGTTAATTTAGAATCTCCTAAAACGCCAAGTAAAAAAGGATATTTCTCGTGGTTTTAATAATTAAAATAAAATTAAAAAAGAAATTTTAGTTAATTAATTTATTTTTTGTTGGGTTTGTATTCGAATTATCTTCCTATTAATTACTGTTGATCTCTACCTTTTTTAATTTTTAAGAATTGTTGATCTGTTATGAATCTATAAAGAAAATGATTTATAAAAAATTGTCTTATTTTTTAACTTTTAGGTTTATTCATACAAAATCGTATCATCCCTTCCACCTCAAAACGAATTCTGATCCCGGGGACATCCCAAAACCCTTCAACTCAACAAAATCCATATCCTAAACGCGTAAAATGAACGCATGCGTCGGTTTTGCATGCGTTTTAAAACGTGTTAGTGTTGGTGGCGCGCAGCATTGGAAGCCACTCGAACAACAAAGAGGACGAAACGTCGACGAGGAGAGGTAGTGGAGAAGGTTTTTTGGAATTGGTTGGTTGGAGGGGAAAAGGAGGAGATACCGCGTCGCGGTACTGGAATCAAGCAACCTTAGGTCAGTTTGTGGTGTTAACTAACAGTACTGATCGAGCAACCGTGTGAGGGCACCGAGTTAAACCGTAACCAAAGAAACGCGATACATCTCTACTATTACAACAACATTTTTGTTTGGTTTTCTTCGTTTTTCACGTTACAAGTTTTTGCGGTGATTGAACTTGAGTCGAAGAAAAGAAATCGAGAAAATTAATGATAAGGTGAGTTTTTCTTTAATTAATTTATTATTAATATGGTTTTAATGCATTTCAAGACTTTGTTTTTCGCGTTGTTAGGTTTTAATTTTTAAATTTTATCTAGAGTAGGATTAAATTTAAAATCAATGGAGATTAACATAAATTTTCCCAAACAAATTGATTTCTGGTTATCTTAATTATCTTAATTTAATTAGGGGAGTGCGTAATTATTTTATTGTGTTTTCTGTGTCAATGTGAGGAGGAATATAATTAATTCTAATTCAAGGTGAAGTCAACGGAGTGAACCAACCAAGAAAAAAGTAAATTCTAGTATTAATTATTCCTCTTTTACCACTCATTACCAGGACCGGGTTTACTTATTTATTAAAAATTCATTATTGCAACTAAATTAATTAACATCGAAGTGTTTACTTCGCGGAGGAGAATGACCTCTAACGATTTCAACTTATTTTGAATTTCCGGCATCTATAATTTCCGGATTGACGATATAAAATATGATGATTCAAACCGACAAGGCTTGAAAAAGCGTCGCAGTGTATATTTTATCTAAATGGATCGTGTTTTTAATATTAAACAAGCAATTTTTGTTATAACTTAAAATTTAATCACGTCAAAAAATTGACATTTTAATTTTAGGTTATAACCTCAAAAGGTTTCGATGACATCTAAAACGATGTGAACATCGTGTTTACTACGAAGACGCTTAAAACAGTGTGAAGTTGCATTATGAATATTTTAATTGACAGGTGTCAAGTGATTAAATCAACTTTCGGAAATTATTTCAATTATTTAGATAAATATCAACAAGTAACTGTTGTATATTTAAGAATAAGATAACAAATACATTTAGATAATAATTAATTAAGATAATAAGATACATTTTTATGAGTTGTTAAGCAATGAAGCCAAAGCGCTACAATCTAAGCTTTTAAAAATACAAAACGGTTAAATCGGCCGTAAGCGACCTCGGCTTCATTCCCTCAATTAGTGATAACAATACATCGTGAGGCTCAGTATTTAATGTTATGTCAACCTAAATGTGCTCATCATATTGTAGTACCTCTAATTAAGCCGAGGTCGCTTGCGGCTGAGGCCCAGTTTTTAATCTTATATTAACCTGATAGTGCTCATATTGTGGCGACTCTACTTAAGCCGAGGTCGCTTGCGGCCGAGGCCTAGTATTTAATGTTATGTCAACCTGATGGCGCTCATATTGTGGCACCTCTACTTAAGCCGAGGTTCAGTGCTTAATATTATATCGAATTGACACTGCTCATCATATTGTACCGTTTCTAATTAAGCCGAGGTCGCTTGCGGCCGCCGCCCAGTGTTTAATGTTATGTCAACCTAAATGTGCTCATCATATTGTTGTACCTCTACTTAAGCCGAGGTCGCTTGCGGACGAGGCCCAGTGTTTACTGTTATGTCAACCTGATGTTGGTCATCATATTGTGGCGTCTCTAATTAAGCCGAGGTCGATTACATCCGGGTCATCACGATCTAGACCTTTAAAAGTAAAACCTTTAAAGTGCGATTAAGGTGAAAGTAAAACGTGGTGACCTTACTCATCAGTAACTATTGTATATCAAAGTAGCGAAGACATATTATATTTATGCGTTGTTAAAGATAGGTACCGAGGTTGATGCGGTCGAAGCACAATAGTCTAGACATTTAAAGTACCCGCACCCGCAAGCGACCTCGGCTTAAGTACAGGCGCCACAATATGAGCACTCTCAGTTTAATAAAACATTAAATATTGAGCCTCGGCCGCAAGCGACCTCGGCTTAAGTACAGGTGCTACAATATGGGCACCATCAAGTTACCATAACATTAAACATTGAGCCTCGGCCGCAAGCGATCTCTGCTTAATTAATATCGACGACATCACTTGATTCGTTTTTCAACTTCTCTCGTTGTGTTTAGTTCCCAATCAATCGCTTTTAATGCACGTAGCACTTTAATTTCCAAGTTTTGTTGTGTGTCGTCGAGTAAATCGTATTTAAAAGTATCAGGACGTGACTTTCAAGTATTTAATTTGACGTGTGACAATTAAAATACCCATAATCCAACTTCACACTTATTTAAGCGTCATAGGAATTAACGCGATGTTCACGTCGTTTTAGACGTCATCTAAACTTTTTGAAGATATTATAACCTAAATTTGTTTTGACGTAAAGAAAATTTAAAATCCGTCTCTGCCTGTTACAGATAATAAATGCGTTAAATTCCCGGTTAATTCATTCAAGAAATTTTTTACTGTTATTTACGTTTTGAAAAATAATTTTTCCCCTCCAATTATTTTTATTTACAATTTAAAATGTTGGAATCGAAAGTTCTCCCACAAAAATGAATTATTAAACAATTATAATTGCGTGTGGGAAAGAAATTTAATTTTGTTTATTTATTTTTGAATGGGAAAATTGGCTAAAACATTTAATGAGAAAATAAACGTTACATTTCCACGTTGATTTGTTGATATTTAATTTAAATTGAATTACACGAACGTGTAAATTGATTAAATTCGCAATCGTTTACGACCCGGAAAAATTAATTACCGATATTAAATTAAACGAATTCAAATCGATCACGTAATTAATTAATATTTTTTAAATTTTATTTCGTAACCTTTTCGATTTCATCAAAAAAATCCTTGAAATTTAAATCTTAATCATTGTAATTACGTTTTATCCATTTTTTTTCTCACCGAAAATTGTGCAACTTCGCATGCAATTCTCCAATTTATTTATTTAACTAAGAGATCTTTAACAAACGGAAGGATGCTAATGAAATAGATATTTACCGCGGTTAAACAGATGCGGATTTAACGTTGCCAAATCGAAACTCAATTGCGAAACGTTTTTAAGCCGAGAAAAGATTAATTAGAAATGAGAGCCCGTTTTAAACGAGTGAAATGAGTTATTTTTTATTTGCTAAGGAAATTTCTAACAAATTTAAAAGTTAAAAATAACTTGGAAAAAATAAAACATAAAATTTATGTTATGTAGTGATTTTATGATCGTTTGTGGGTGCCAATTTTTATTTTAGTACTATTTCTGTGTTTAATACAACCCTAAAAGTGTTACTACATAAATTTCCTTGGCTTAATTTGGTTACGTTGGGGAAATTGGGGCAATTCAGCGGCTTAAAACCTCGTTAATAATTCGATTACACCAACAAAAAAATTTAAGTATTCAAATTGAGAATGTCTTCTTGGAATATATGAACCATGTGACATTTTCCTCTCGCAGCGAAGAGAACTTTCGTAATAAAACTTTCCAGATGGAAGTAGTTTTCTGTGATGACATACGAGAATTGACTCATCTTTTTATTACAACGAAGCATTTTCAATAAAATTAAACTAAAGAAGGATTTTAATTTTTTATGCGATTCATTAAAAAATGGGAAACGCGAAGATTACCTACCCCGGAGGGGTTTATTTTTATTTCCTACAAACAACGAGGACGCACTCAACCGGATAATTGAGAATTCTTGCTACCGAATGAACCAAAGGTTTCCAGAGCCGTTCGAACGGGAGAATCATTTAAATTAATTCTTGGTTCGCTTCTTTCGATTTTATAAAAATGTCCCCTTCAAGATAAAAAAAATTAGAAAAGGATTTCGAAAATAAAAAGAAAAAATAAATCGTTTTTCATATACGGTAAGTTGACGGATTGTTTCTCGGCAAACATAGCAGCCGACTTTCGAAGAATTAACAGTTTTGTACGGCATCACAACTTCCGTTTGAGTGAAAATTATTGACCTCAATGCCAAGGACGAAGACGATTTAAAGAAAAAATTTCAAATTCTCTTTGATTCTTCTAAATACACATCTATCAATGTCTATCAAGTAAAAACATAACCTATGTTTACGTTGTTTAAAATGTCAAAAATCTATTTTTACGTATTTTTTTTTAAATTAATTTAAAATCCATTTCTACTTACAAAGATAATAAATATGTTAAACTCAGATTTTATGAAAATTGTAAGTGAATATTTACGGTTTGGTTCTTCCTATTCGACAATAAACTTAACCTATTTCACACTGTTTTAAGCGTCATCTAATTTAATGCGAACTTCGTGTTGTTTATATGTCGTCGGGAGTTTGGAGGTTATAACCTAAAATTAATTTAATTCATTCAAAATCAATCTCTACTTATAATAAATATGTTAAACGCCAAGTCTTTACGGTTAATTTCGATAAAATAATATAAAAAAAATTTATATAGAGTGTTTGCATAAATTACTCGCCACCTTCACTCACGAGATGCAAATCGTGCATACTGTTATAGGTTATTTTTTCCGTTCAACGTTCCTTGGTTCCCTTTTATTATTTAAATTGGCCCACGGCTGGTATACCACATGATCCATTCATTACGTTCTTCGTTCATTTCCCCCGGTTTGCATAAACGCACCGTTTCAAAAGGCACCGAATGGGGCGAATAAAATAAAACTAGAAAAACTTACTCTATTTAAGTACTCGATTATTGGAATAAAATTGAAATGTATTCAGTAATATTTTGCTTTTTTGAACTTCTAAAGTTGTTTTTGTTTATAATCGATTTTAAAACTTATATTTTTGACGTATGACAAGTAAAATACACAACCTAACTTCACGTTGATTTAAGCGTTATCGGAATTAACGCGATGTTCACATCGTATTGAATGTCAACTTTTAGGTTATTTTTAACCTAAAATTAGAATTTATCAACAATTTTCTTTTATTTATCAGAAAATAACTAAATTAACTTGGTGTTTATTGACCATACTAAATTTAAGATGTGTTAAATTGAATGTAATATATCTAAGCAGCGTACAAGTGTTTGTGGTTGATGTATTTATGACTATTTATAACTATGCAAGGTTGCGATTCCTTGAAAAATGCAGGAGTTGAAAGTCAACGAAAACGAAAACGATGAGATTTCATTCGATTTCATGTGTAATCAAAAAATATTACGTTAATAATAAGCGAAGAAAAGAATAAAAATAAAAGTTGAGTTAAATGTCAAATAAACGTCCTATAAAAGAATCCGGTTTCGTGTAATGAAGGTCCTTTAATAACGTCTTTAAGCATCACGTTCTTGGTATATCTTCTTGTTTTTCTTAAATTAACCTTTCTTTTTAATTTTATTTTTTTAAGTTGGTTCTAATGAAAAGTTAAAGATAAATTTCTTAGTCAATTAAGTGGCGAAATCTAATTAATGCAAATTTATTTAGAATTGATTAAAAACTTTCCATTTTTAAAGATTTTTTAAAGGTTAACTTTTTTAACCTCAAAACAATTTTTTTTACTTAAACGTCACTTTGACGTTTATAATTTTTGACGTTAAATTTATTATTTTTGTAATAGGAAGTACCAAGAATATTTTACGACTCGGTTTAAAAGTCATCGGGAGATGGTGAAAGTATGAATTCTCGCATGGTTACGTATTGTCACGAGAAATGCTATTAGAATATCCTCCTCTTAAGTCGCCTCGTTGTGCTTTACTCACTTCGTCGTCGCGAAAGGTCAAATCTTCTTTTTTAGGTTCGAAGGTCGTCTTCGTTTATCCGTTTACCGGTTGGGTTTTAACTAAAACATCTTTTTTAGGTATTTTCTAAACAAACATTCAAAGCTTTCCAATATGGGCAATAAGATAAGGATGACGTCAATTTGTTGTGTCTATCTTTTGTGTGAAACTTTCGAAAAGTGAAAACGAGATTTCATCGAAATCGAGTTATTTTTTTCCGAGTTAAATTAATTTTCATCTTTTTGACATAAAACGTCACCCGTGTTTGCGATTAATCCGATTTAGCCTCTCAATTCGAGGCAAAATGGTTTTTGAGGGATCGATACAAACTAAAATTGTTATTAAAAAGTTTTATTTAGTTAAAAAGTGTGTAACACTAACTCCAATTTCATTTATTATCAAAACTCGGTCGGACGACGCGACGTTGGGCGTACTCTAAAAACGGAAGTTGCGGTTACGTCCACTTAAAAGTTGGGCCCCAAAAGTTCCTGCGTTGTCGTAATTCATGATTTAGCGCAATTATCTAAGCCTTGGTGGCGGTTTTGACACTTAACGCAAACTAGTAATCCGGTTGATTCACTATGTTACAGTTTTCAAAACACCCTGTATTAACCAAGTTTGTGAAGTTAGTTTTGTAATATGTCCCTATGGGGGTTGAGGTTACAAATACACCTAAGCAAGAGTTAAGTTGGAAATTAAAAAAGTTAATAAAAAATAGGAAACTAAAAATGTGAGAGAAAAGTGCAAAGTACGCGATTTATGACTGTTCGTAATGAAAATGTCCGAGAAAGGATTTCGTGGAGGACGACAATGCGACCTCGGAAGCTATTAAAAGCGAGCTTTATACGAAGCTTTTCGTCTTTTCGTCTTCCACCCTCTAATAATAACCACGTTGGTAGCTTAAAGTAGGAGATGTCATTTTTATGTTGAAGCACTAAATCATACGCGAAAAGTTTAATCTTTTTCTTGGCTCAACTTTGAATTCCAAAAATAAAATTATAACTTAGGTTATGATACCTGTCAGTGTCAAATTTAAATAAAGGTCAAATCGATTTAAAAACGACATAATAAAAATTCCCCATTAATATTACCAACTGTTATTTATTACACAAAAAAAAGAAACTACATATATATAAAATGTCAAATTGAATAATTTAATTTCCACTCAAAAATTTAATTAATTTCTTTCTGTTCTAGATAAAAAAGAAAACCGTGTCAACAACAGGAAATCTCGCGTTGATATCGCGGTCTCATTAAAAAAAATTAAAACTAGATGGACGAAGATATCGTTTGATAAACGAGATCCAATTAATCGATAACGATGACATTTCCCAACTTTTATTCGACGCGAATTCATCTTAAAACTCAGTTTAAAGCGCGTCATTAAACGAAAATTGTGATAAAAACGTTTAAAGTGTTTTAAATCGAACTGAAAAGGAAAAAAATGTTTCGGTTTAGATAATTTTGTTGAAATCTAGTCAAGGGAATTACAATTTTAATTAATAATGATGGGTTCTTTAACTCGGAGAAGATCGCTTTTAATAAAAGTGGTTGTTGTTGTAACAACAGCGTGGTTTACGATTGCTTTTTTGCTGTACACGGATAATCAAGCGGAAAACACTCGAGTGGCTCTCCCGTTAGAAGATAATAACGAAATGAACAAGAGGGAAGTGAATGATGTTGATCAACAGGCTCCACTTGTTAGAGTTAATCCTTTTCAAAATGAGAAGAGTTCCAGCGAAGATAGTGTAGGGAGGAAAGAAGAAAATAACGAAGGAGGGGTGTTATTACCACCGCAAAATTTGCCGGGGGAAAACGGCGAACCGGTTACAATTCCACCGAATCTTCCACGTAAGCTATTAAAGTTATTTACATAAATAAAGCCATGTAGGTATAGAAAATATTTAAATAATGCATACGCGTAAAGATAAAGAAAGTATTCGGTTCGTTGTTTTGCGCAAAACGTTGCGAAAGAAAATTATTTAAATAGAAAATAAGTTAAATGATTTTTTAAAATTCCATTTTTTATGTCAACTTCAAAGTGACATTTTTATCTTCAAACAACATAACTTTTTACTTTCCTAAAAAACATTTGTTACAACAAAAACACATTTAATTTCATTGGAATTAGATTGATATTTAAAATAGGGTTTGGTTCATAATCTAACTTTCATTTCTAGATCACTTTAAATAATTCACTTTGGAAGGTTTATTTGAATATCTCAATAATGCATTAATAACGTCTTAATTAAGTTGTTTATTTGATGTTTAACTTGTTATTTTTGTTGGAAAAAAAGGGTTTTTTAAAAAGTTTTTTAAAACGTCTGCGATGAAGAGGTTAAAAAAATGGGGTGGTTTTCCCCGCGGTAGTTTCACTTCACAATCCCAAGGGGTCGTCGTTTCGTCTGCTTCTCACGTATCCATATCGAGACCACCCCGGAAACCTCAACCGGGCGAGGAAAAAGCCAAAGTATTCCGACCCAACTCAATCTACTTCTCGGGCGACCCCCCTTTCGAGCGGCCCCTCTTGGTAAATATCGCTATACTCGACGACGCTGCGTGAATTTGATGCAAATGCTAAAGCCTCGGAGCTTTCCAGAAAAACGGATCTCTTGGGACTGTTTCGTATTCTTCATCATTGAATAACAAAAAAATAAAATAAAAAAAAAGGAAATATTTTTAATAATAATTTAGAATAAATTTAAAAAATTAAAATAGGTTATGTATTGGTTGTTATTAGTTACCGTTTAATAACGGTCACTGCTGTCAAGAATAAATAGGAATGCCTTAATCTTTACACGAATTTTATCGCAATCAAATAAAATCTATTTACTAGTTTTGAATTGATACAATATTATTGGCAATATTTTTATTTCGTTAATGACATTTTTATCTGTCAACTTGACGTTTTTGTCTGTCATTTTCAGTTTTTCGTTGTCAATTTTAATTCCAATTTTATATTATCATTCATTATTTTTTATTTATAATCGTTTTATTTACTCAACATAATATTTAAATAATTATTTAACTTTACATTCATCATTAATTTTAGTATATTTCGTATAACATCAATGTAATTGTGATTCAACATCAGTAATTCACTTCACGTTAGTCAGTTACCATGGTTACCATTATAGGCAAAGATTAAATAAGGTTTTTTTTAATAATGTTATTTATATAAATTATTTCTTAGTTAATTTAGGCAATAAAATCTAAAAAAAAAAATTAAAGTAATAACAAAAAATAATAATATTTTAATAACCTACAATCAAATTTATCTGTCAAGTTGACTTTTGAACTGTCAATTTAAATTTTTATGTCACCTGTCACTTAATTTCTTTATTAATTTAATTAATTAAATTTATGTTTTGATTTCAGCTGAAGAAAAGAAAAAATACGATGAAGGTTGGACGAATAACGCATTTAATCAATACGTTAGCGATATGATAAGTGTACATAGATCACTTCCGGATCCGCGAGATGAGTGGTAATTATCATTTAACTTTAATTAACATTTTTTCTCATAAATTAACACCTCATTACAATTCGTTAATAATTAAGAAATAAAATTAATAAGAAAATTCCCTCATTACTCAGCATAAAAACATAAATTCCCGCATAAAATATTAAAACCAGCACGAGGTTGTTTCACCAAGGATATGTATTTTCAAAACGTTATCGTCCAGCTTAGTTTTTCCTTTTTTATCGTTACTTTTTCCTATATCAATCATCGTCGATGTGTACATTTTGACATTTTCTAGATGGATGATACACGGAGAAAAGAAAATTTCCTTTTACCCCATCGCAACTCGATTTGGTCGCTTTTTACGTTTATAACGAGACATCGCATTATATAACGCGATCTGGTTCTCGATTTCTGAAAATGTGTAACGGTTAAAACCATCTCTTCGCCTCGTTACGAGACTCGACTTCTCTTCTCTCGGGTGGCGAAGTGGCGTAATTAAGCGCAATTTCCTTTCGTTCACATCTCCATCAACGAGACACTGTTACGCAAAATTAAAACGACCAAAAACTTTAGTTAGTCTCCCTCGACTCTCATTATTTTAATAAGCGCTCCGTCAGATTTTTAACTATTATAAAAGTGTTTAATTAAAAATAAAAACGTATTAAAAGACTGTTTTATTTAGTTATGATTCAATTTTAATCTTAATTTGGATTAAATAATTAATTTTGATAAATAAAAAAGTGGGTTATGTTTATTTGTTTTTTTTTTAATGACAGATAAAAGTAATTTTGAGGTTATGTTCTAATATTTATTTTTTTATTATTATTTAGGTGTAAATCTCCTGATCGATATTTAAAGAATCTTCCGAAAACATCGGTGATTATTTGTTTCCATAATGAGGCTTGGTCCGTTCTTCTCCGGACGGTTTATTCGGTGTTGGATCGCTCACCGTCCCATTTAATCAAAGAAGTTATTTTGGTTGATGATTTCTCGGATATGCCCCATTTAAAGGGGCAACTTGAGGATTACTGGAAATCGGAGCCGAAAGTGAAAATTGTGCGGGGGAAGAAACGGGAGGGATTAATCCGAGCGAGACTTTTAGGTACGTAATTCAAAACAATTAATTTGATATAAGTACCAAGGCTTTCACGGCCGGTGTTAAGTAAATTAAAACTAAAATTTGAAATAATCAGAAAATTTTAACCTAATTTGATGTATCACACTCTATATCGTTTACAAAATTTAAAATTATAGATGACGCTAATCAATAATTTTGATTTCGTATATCTTGATTTTATAAAAATTATTATATTTCGATGTGTGGGTTCACTTCACACGATTCATGATAAACACTGCAAATCGTAATCGATTTAATGAAAAAAAAATGTCAAAAAAGAATCAAAAATATTCAAAAACATCAAAAATAATAAGATTTTCGTAAAGATCGGAAAATTTTAACCTAATTTTAAGTATTATACTCTATATCCATCATAAAATTCAGTTTTAAAGATGTAAATGACGTAATAAATTAGTGTTTTGTTTTCGGCCATCTTGATTTTATAAAAACGATGATGTCTTAGGCGTTTTTACACTTAGATATGTCGAGTTTGGGCTCATTTTGTAGCTTTTTTAATTATCTACGTCTCTAGAGATGGCTAAACCCGAATATTTGTAGTTCTAGGTCTAGTGTTAGTTCTAGTTGTAGTGCTAGTGCAAAACTAGAACTAACACTATACCTAGAACTAGAATCATTCGGGTTTAGCCGTCTTTAGAGACCTGCGGCTAAACCCGAATGTTTCTAGGTCTAGTGTTAGTGCTAATGTTAATTCTAGTTTTAGTTTAATTAATTTGATTTAATTAATATTCCTTTTTTAGGCGCTAGACACGCCACGGCACCGGTTTTAACATATTTGGATAGCCATTGTGAGTGTACGACGGGGTGGTTGGAGCCCCTTTTGGACCGGATAGCGCGGAATTCGACTACAGTGGTTTGTCCCGTTATTGATGTGATCGATGATACCACCCTTGAGTATAAATTTAAGGAGGGTTACGTAAATGTTGGCGGTTTTGATTGGAACTTGCAGTTTAATTGGCACGCCGTTCCCCAAAAAGAAAAAGCGAGAAGGGTTCACGCTTCCGAACCAGTTCATAGCCCTACGATGGCTGGGGGTTTATTTAGTATCGATAAGGTAACTTAAAAAAAAATGGAATTCGATTTGACCCATATCTGTATCACCGTTAGGTACATTCAAATTCCGGCTTCCTACCCATTAATCAACTCACTTTTTCTTTTTTTTTTTCAATTTTTTTTCATTCAGCTCATAAATCTTTCATGATACATCCACAATAACGTTTTATTTTTTGGTTTAGGAATTTTTTGAACGGCTTGGTACTTACGATAGTGGATTTGACATTTGGGGTGCTGAAAACTTGGAACTTTCGTTTAAATCGTGGATGTGCGGTGGTACTTTGGAGGTGGTGCCGTGTTCGCACGTCGGGCACATTTTTAGGACTCGATCTCCGTATAAATGGCGCTCGGGGGTGAATGTGCTGCGTAGGAATTCGGTGCGTTTGGCCGAAGTTTGGATGGATGATTATGCTAAGTATTATTATCAACGGATTGGGAATGAAAAAGGCGATTATGGAGATGTTGCGTCGAGGAAAAGTTTGCGCAAAAAATTGGGGTGTAAAAGCTTCCAATGGTATTTAGATAATGTTTATCCAGAATTGTTTATTCCCGGGGAAGCCGTTGCTTCTGGAGAGGTAATTAATTCAATAAAAGTCCTAATTAATTAATTTATGATTAACAATCTTTAATACAGTTTTATTTTAATTAATTTTTGTGGTTAATTAGATTCGTAACAACGGTTACGGTGGGAGAACTTGTTTGGATGCGCCTTCGAGAAAATCGGATTTATATAAAGCAGTCGGTCTTTATCCTTGTCATAAACAAGGGGGGCACCAGGTACACTTTGTTATTTTATTAATTTTAATTTTATTTTCGCAGATTGCTTCGGCTGATCGTGAGGTGTGCTTGGACTCGCCCAGTAACGATAACACCATGGAGAAACCGGTGGGGCTCTGGCCATGTCATGGTCAGGGCGGTAATCAGGTAACCAACACCAAACAAAAAAAAAATCTTAATTAATTTTCTTTTAAAAATTTTTTTTTATTAATATCTGTCAAAATGTAAGTAATTGAGGTTAAGTAATTTTTAAACGTCACTTAATGTTGCCAACCTTTAAAAAATAAAAAAATTTGACAGGTGTTATAAAAAAACTAAATTTTCTTCTAATTGTAAATATTCTTCGTTAAAACTAAAAATATTTTCAGATTCCCGGCGGATTTTATGATAAGTTAATTCATCGTTTTTCTATGGTGGTGGTTACCTATTTATTTAATTTTTAATTTTATTATTTTAATTACTGGGTGGTGTTCAAAGTGCATTGTAAATATTTTGTCATCATTTTTAATTAAAATCTAATTTCGATTTCTTTTAAACTTAGTATTGGATGTTGAGTAAATTCGGGGAAATACGAAGAGACGAAGCTTGCTTGGACTACAGCGGGAAAGATGTTATTTTGTATCCGTGCCACGGCTCCAAAGGAAATCAATATTGGGAGTACGATCCGGACACGAAATTATTAAAACACGGGAGCAGTGATAAGTGCTTGGGAATTAATCAAGGCAAAGATAAGCTGGTGATGGAGCATTGCGACGAGGAGTTAACCCACTTGCGTTGGACGTTGGAGAATTACGACTCCTCGAAATTGTGATTAAACAAAATGAATAGACTGAATTCGGAATGATCTCCGAGAATGGATTTAAAATTTAGTGGCATTCCAGTTATTCGTTTCTTATTAATGAAATATGCTCAATGTAAAATGTAAACATTCCCTTTTTTATTTTTTTAATTGTTGGTTTTTATTTATTTAAAAAAATTAAACTAAACATATCTTTTTTAAAATGTACATATCTAAAACAAAAAGAAAAATAATTTTAAAGTTACATAAATAATAATAAATCTGTATTATTCGATTTCGTCAATTAATAGTATTTAAAATAACATAACTAAGTTGCCATAAATAGGCCAAAACGAGAAAAAATCAATTTCTTTTTCTAAGGATGTAAGGATTAAAAAGAACAGGTTTTATTAATTAATTTATTTATTGTTCAAACCTGTTTTTTTGATCTTAATCCCTACACCCCCAATATCGAAATGTGCCTTATTTTTTTTCTTTGTAAATAAAGTGTTAATTATAATTAATTCAATGTTTTATTCACTCATTCATTCGATTTACAATAAAACTAATTATAATTTAATTTAGCCCCAAAAAGTATTAAAAAATATCGATTTTGATCACAAGACTCGTTTTTAAATTAATTTTAAATAATAAGCGTACTTTTTGCCACAACTAGTATCTAGAAATAACGATTTCATCACTAGTATTTGTTTGACACTACTTTATTTTTTTTTTTAAACAATTAAATTTATTAAATTGCCACCGTTGCTAAAAGTACCGTTATATCATCTGGTTTACCACCTAAAAAAATTAATTAATTAACTTATTTATGAAATAAAATAACGTAACAAATACCTATTGTATTAATACCATTAGCAAAAGCACTCTCAGCGAAAGGAGATATAAAAGTTTCATCAAACGATAAATTCCTTGCCATCCAAGCTATCGAATTCGCTACGGTTTGTAATCGACTTGGACATCTTTCACCTTGAACCTAAAAATAATAAATTATTTCATGTGAATTCACTTAAGATGCAATAAAAAAAAATACGTTTCCATGAAAGCCATTTTGTCATATAATTTGATCCGTAAAATCCAAGATGGCCGAAAACAAATGTTTCGCAAATATTGAGATAGATAATTAAAAAAGCTACAAATTTGTATATTTGCATTGTTTATCATGAATCGTGCGAAAGTGCGAAATGAATGAACCCACATGTCGAAATATATTAATTTTTATAAAACCAAGATGGCCGAAATCAAAATTATTAATTAGCGCCATCTATAATTTTAAATTTTGTAAACGATATAGAGTGTGGTACATCAAACGATACATCAAATTAGATTAAAATTTTCTGATTATTCCAAAAATCTTATTGTTTTTAATACTTTATTAAAAATATTAATATTATCATTCAAGATGGCCGAAAACAAATTATTCGTGATTAATGCTGATAGATGAATACTTATAATGATAGATAATTAAAAAAGCTATAAAATGAGCCCAAACATCGACATATCTAGGTTTAAATACACCTAAGATATCATGGTTTTTATAAAATCAAGATGGCCGAAAACAAAACACTAATTAATTGTGTCATTTATATGTTTAAAAGTTAATTTTGTGATGGATATAGGGTGTGATACATCAAAATAGGTTAAAATTTTCCGATCTTTACGAAAATCTCATTATTTTTGATGTGTTTTGAACATTTATGATATCCTTTTGAAATTTTTTTATAATAAAAATATTTTAATTAACTGCATTCATATATTGCAAGTTATATAAAATTCCCGGTATAATCATAATAAATAAAATTAAATGACTTACTTTAACGAGTTCATTAATTAAAATAGTTTGAGGTAAATTATCAAAAACGCCATCGGTGGCTAAAAGGATAACATCACCATCTTCGACGTGGAAATTATCGGTAATCGCCGAATCCGGTTGATCAGAAAGAACATCTTCTTGGTGTCCAGGTGGTGGCAGTGACAATTGGAAGGGGGTATTAAAATAATGTTGTTGCTCTTCCGATTTTCGCACAACTCTCCCATTCCTCACCACCATATAACCACTATCACCGATATTCGCGGTGTATAAGCGACTATTTTCGCGATTAAGCACCACCACGCAAGCCGTACTACTCCCTAAAAACACAAAAAAAAAACAAAAATGAAATTTAAAAATTTTCCGATTAAATCAAATTTACCCATAATCGGTTTTTTATGATACAACAACTCCAGGTAGCTTTTTGCTAATAAATCCGATGGATTTGTTGCGTTAAAAGATCCGATCCTCACCAATCTTTCGCATGTTTTCATTAGATTTAGCGAAAATTCGCCCGGATTAATCCCGTAAGCTCTCCATCCTCCAACTCCGTCAGCTACTCCTAAAAAAACAAATTAATTTATTTCAATAACAAAGCGATAATTAAAAGACAAACAGAAAATAATTAGAACGCAAATAACTTTCGAATAAATGCTTTAATTACAAAAATACAAAGAATAAAAATTAGGAATCAAACGTCATTTATGATAATAATTTTCTAAGCATAACCTCAACAACAACAAAATTAAAACGAAAATTAACTTAATTATTATTATTAATAATTTATTTTTAAATATTAAGATTTGACGTTTTAAATGACATATTAAGTGACATTAAATGTCAAAATAAAATTTTTTTTTCTAATATGAAGATAGCAACCAATAGCAACAAAACAACAAAACGTTTGATTAGGAATAATTAATTTAAAAACTGATTATGGACCAATTTAAATTTATTACTTTTATTATTACGTAATTACCTAAAACGTCAGCTTTTTGATGTTTAACCGAAAACCAAGCGTCATCTCCGAATTGTCCCTTAACGAGTTTTTCAATTTTCTTCTGTTTGGAAAATCCGCAAACCGCCGAAACTAACCTAGCGTTTGAGGGTTGATGAGAGGGCCTCGTTGGGTCTGTTGATGAAGCGGAGGCGGACGTCGAAGCGTTAACACCGCTCCAAAGCACCCTAGAGATTAATCTTCCCGTGGTCCACCAGAGTGTGTGCATTATACTTTTTTTAACCAAATTTTTGCATATTTTTTCTATTAATCGAATTTAAATTAATTTTTTCCCCTTTCAATTTGTATTTTGAGGTTAGTTCGTCTCTCTCTTGGTGAGGTAACAACAACTCACGTGTTCGCTCCTTTACATTACCACAAACGTTCTTCAACTATAATTTTTATTTACTCTATTTTATTTCGTCTACATTAAAACTAATTAATCTTTCGCACCACAAAAAAAACATGCACACCACCAACGGCAGTCAATCTATGAATGTCACGGGATCTGTCAAAAAATTAGTGCGGAACAAGGCGCGCTGATCATCTAAATTAGGTCGAAATAATTTTTATTATCTACTTACGCCATCTATTTATCAATAGTAAAATTATAATTTTATAAAAATAATTACCATTAATAAATTAATAATATCAAATTTTGCTTCATTAATTTTAATTTAATATTAATTAATTTTTTTAAATTCTAATTTAGTTTAATCATTAACATTTTTATTGTTTAAATTACAGGAATCTGTAAATTTTTTTTAACATAACCTCTTAAAATAATAATGACTGTAAAATTAAAGGTTATCAAACATTAATTTTTAATAATAAAATTTCGTAATAATCCTTTATTTAAAGCCAAAAATAAATTTAAATAAAACTTTTTGGATCCATTCCAGGTAAAGTCACAAGATTTGCTTTCACGTGATTAAATTATTTGCCAAAAATTCTTAACAAAGTTTTAATAAAATTTTATAAGACAAGGAAAAAGGATCTAAGCAAGATAAAGTCCGTGGAAATGAAGTTTCTAAGAGCGCCCATGCGGTGTACCAAATTGGATAATATCAGAAACGAAGATATTAGAAAGCAACTGGAAATTTTTGCAGTTAACGATAACATTAATGGTCTGAAGGATAAGTACAGGTCAAAGCCGTTAATTAGACGACGAATAAAGTTTTAAACGAGATTTCATTTTAACGCGGCAATAAATCAATCAATTATAATTCCCACGAGGATTAAACACTGGTAATTATTGACCCCCAACCAAAATTTCTAATCAAGGTTAAATAAATATTTACTTAAATTAAATCACGAGCGTGCTTCTTCAATATCTTCTTCACTTGAACATCAAAATATTTTGATGGACTCTAAAGCGATTAATAATCAATAAAAAATGTTTTTTTTTTAATTGAAACAATCCAATTTGAGTCATAATGTCTTATTCGTGCATAAAATAAAGAATTAAAGTGTTGATAACCATCAAACATGCACTCGACGAGGATGTAATTGTAATTTGATTGATTTTTGAGCACAAAAGAGTGATTTAAATACACCATTTCCGGTTGTTGTTGGGTACGCACGTAACCGGAAGTTGAAGCGACACAAAAAGAGTTTTCATTCTCATTTTATCTAAAACCACCGAAATGATCGATAAACCGCAAGAAATATCGTTAAAAACTTGCAAATTAAAATTTTGTTCAGATCAATTGCAAAATTTGAATTATTTGTTTCGAAAAAAAATCGAAAATCATTTAGAAATCTTCGGTAAGTTAACTTCGACATTTTTTTTAAATAAAAATATGTTTCTTTTAGACCAAAAATTGATTCATAAAAAATCCGTGGCGGAACGATTCGTTCAAAGACTAATTTGCGGCGTTGGGATGTTGGACGATCGATTTGCAACGAAATATTTGATAAGTTTAGACGAGGATTTTAACGAAAATCAGGCGAAAATGACGTATTTATTTCGAATCGATGCGTTATCGACGCCGGTTTTGTACCCGGACGATAAAAAACTCGATTACTTTTTGGTTGAAGACGACGATCTGCATCCGGGATTCGGCAAAATTCAATTAAAAGACGATATGATGAAGGAATGGGGCGAATTTGTTAATTTAAATCATTTTTTGAGACGGTAAACTTAATTTTTAATCAAAAATCTTTTAAAATGAATCCAAAAACGATCTGTCATGTTGACATAATGACAGTTGGTAACATTAACAGGGAAATTCATTCGTGTCACTTTGACGTTTAAACTTTCGTTATTCAAAAAGATGAAATTAAATTTTTTATATTAATTCCTTCAAATATAAATAATTATAGCGAATATGTGAAAAAAAAAGGTGGATTTATTCCCCATGTTTAAGTTTGATGTTAAATTTATAACAATAATATAACTGTATATTGTAACCCCATCTATTATCGAACACATCTAAGTGTGTGTGTGCGTTGCGTGACAGGTGACAGTTGATGTAATGAAGAATCGTTTTATTTACTTTTTTCCACTTACATCATCATATTTATTAATTAATAAAAATTAATGGTGGAAAGGAATCATGGTATCACAAAACACAATCACTTTATAATTTGTGAACATCAAAAAGTGAATTTTGAAATCATGTTATGAACAAATTCCAAGATTCTTCCAATTATAACCTTTTCTGTCACTTTTGGTGATTTTCATTTCCCATTTTTTGAGTTGGTATTATTTTTGACATCTAAATGTTTATGATAGCTTAATATTTAAACATTTTCATGTTTTTAATTAATATTAAGTTTTATTACTCGTCCTTAACATTTAATTCAATCATTAATTTAATAATCGATGTCGTTTAGAACCATAAATTTCAAATCTGTTTTGGAAGTTTATGATGATTTTTAGTTCTTTTTTTCAGTTGGTATTACTTTTGACAACTAAATTTGACAGCAAATTTTATTTAAACAATTTAATTTTATATTAAAATTAAATTTTCTTTTTCAGCGATAAAATCCAATCGAAAATAGTGGAATTATTAGCAAAAGCAGCATCGAAAACCGACCTAACCAACATCGATGAATCAATTTTGTGCGGATCCCCCGGAAAAATTGTTTCTCCATCGATTTTAAACAAAATCCTCCACTCCCCATCACAAAACCACCTTTATTTTGGCTCGGAAAAGAATTTCCCGCACACGAAAGATTTCCGAATCGCAATTGTGGATGAACCGGAAGGAATTCGGATACATTTGGAGTTTTTATCTCCAATTTTAAACAATCAAATTTTAGATATCCGAGTTTTAGTGGGAATTAACCTCGATTTTTGGCCGAAAAAAAGTGATTTTCCTTTACGAGTTTCTTTGGCACACACCGATTGTTTATTGTATCATTTATCGGCGAAAAGTGGGATGTTCCTCGTTGGATTTGGCGTTCACTCCTCATCATGGCAAATTCGCTTTCCAGCGGCCGAAGAAATCATTTTGGATCATTATGATGAAATGAGTACGGTTAAAATGGTTTTAAAAGTGATTTCGTTGATTTTAATCGAAATTAACGAGAGATACTATGAAAATAAGTTTTTTGGTTACTACGTTGTTAAAAGTATGGTTTTTTATGAGTTGGAAAATGATGATTCATATCCAACGATGTCGATTGTGAGGTGGGGACCCGTCTTTTTATCGACGATTGTTTTGAGGGTTCTTGATAAATTGATTAAGTTGATTCGGAGCGGGTTTTGCCCCAATTATTTTTTTGGGCGGTGTAATTTAATTTTTAACCCTGGGCATTTAAGCGATGAAGATTATTTTATGGAATCGTGCAAAATCCAAGAATATTTAACACGATTATTCGATGAATCATTAAAATTGTTTAATAACTCGGATTATTTAAGGATGATTGAGTCGATTAGAATCGAAATGGTCTTAATCGATAAATGGAGAGGGGTAATCCGTAAAATGTCGCCGCCAAAATCAACGAGAGCCAGGAGATTTTTAACTAACTTTAAAAGGAGCTCAATTTTTGCGCAATACACTCAAAAACAAATGGAATATATCGGGATGGTTTTAAAGAATGTCTTGGAAGTTAAAAAAAAATTGTGGAGGAACGAAAAATTTGCGAAAAAAGTGTTAACCCGCGACGATTTAACTGAAGATGTCGTTTATGTTTTAGTTTTAATTTTAGATCAAGCCAAAAATGTTTATTTAAAGAATTTAAAATCAAATAACGAAAAAATAAAATCAAACTTTTCATCGTCAACGAATAAATTGGTCCGATTCGTCCGGAAAGACATCGAGATAAATTACGAGACCATCACAGACGACGTTGAAATGGTAAAAATACTCCTAAAATGGCTCTACAAGGCGATGGATCAAAGCAAAAAATATTTCGCCCCGATTTTGAGGCCGTATCTAAACTCACTTTTTAATAACTCCCATGAAATATCTTGGCACATTGAAGAATTAACAAAAAAATTAAACATTGAAGATGAATTAGAATCAATGGGGATTTTCACCACGTTGGTGAATCAAAAAAGAATCACCCCAGCAAGTGGGGTTATCAACGGATACCAAAAAAAATGGAATTGGGCTAAAAACATCGTTGATTTATTACAAAATAATAATAAATTAAAATTAATCTTCATCCCAAAAAGAGGGGAAGTTTTAAATTATTTGATAACAACTCAAAATCAAAAAAATCGAAAGGATATATTCGAACACCAACAAAGCGATTTAATCGAAAATAAATCGATTTTTTCTAATTACCTCGATAATATTAATCAAAACAAAATTTTAGACCCAAATCAACCGTTACACAACACCCTAAAAAATAATTCCCCCCTAAAATTAATTTTTAATAAAATTCATAGAAATGGTTATCACCGTTGTGCGGGGGACATATTTAGAACGTTAATAACAATGCATAAATCCCACGTTTTAATCGATATCTTAGTTAATAATTATACCAACCAAGAAAATAGTGTTAAATTAATCGATTATATCAAAAAAATAAAATGTGGGATTGAATCGAAACGAAATAACGCAGAAGAAAATCGATTGTGGTCACAAACGTTACCGAAATTTGAGAAAAATAAAGTCTTGATTTACGACGAAAATGATAAAAAGAAATTTAAGGAGAAATATACGTTAATTCGGGAGGATTTCGATACTAAGGATAAAGTTGTGTTGAAATTTTTGAATGATACTTCGTTATTGGGGAGTTGTAGAGCTGCGAGATTAAAGGATACGAAAAGTATTTTGTATATCGAAGAAAGTTTTAAATTAAATTAATTTCAAATCTTTTTTTTAATTCATTACCTGCATTTAGTTAATTCCGTACTTAATATTTTTTGGATACGAAACTGCAAAAAAGAATCCTTGATGTATTCTAATTATTAGAAGCAAATTATCTTACCAAGTTTCATTTCTTAACGCTTCAAAGCAACCTAGAAAAAAGATTTCAAATATTACAATTTAAATTAGTCGTAAATATAACCAAACTTTATTTTATTATTTTTGACATTTCGACTACCGCCATCCGAATTGGGTAATAAAAATTTATAATTTAAATCAATTTATTATTAAAAATTAATTTTTTCAAATTTTATCATTAATTAATTTTCGTTAAAAATAATTAATATTTACTAAAAAATTTTATTCTTACGTAAAAATTTAACTGCCATCTATGATCAGAAATACATACCATATACAAAACCATCTTAATTTTACCAATTTTTCATCTTCTCAATCGTTTCGAAATATTCCATTAATATCTACTTTTAATTTCGTTTCTAATTAAATTTTCGATTTTATCAATCTTTTAAATAATATCGGTAATAAATTATTGCCGATCAATTTTACTTTGTTGATGACCAACTCCATTCTTGATTCTTTTTCGTGTTTCATTCTGTAACTGATGAAGTCTTTAAACAAATTATAATCGAGTTTCCTAATGATCGATTATTTAAATAATATTGTTTAATAAAAACACAAATTTTTACATAAACTTAAGATCAATCTTCTTAGTAAAAATTTTTATTCACTTTATTAATCTAATTTATTAATTTGTTGTTAATTTTATTGTATTATTTTAATTATTTCTATTTTTCTATATTTAGTCTTTTAAAATTTTTTATAGTTTATAGCGCCATCTTTTCGTGTAAGCTTTTTTTTGTAGATGGCGATAATTTTCAAAAATGTAATAAAATTTAAATAAAAATATAAATATTTAATAAATGTTGTTAATATTATTTTGATTGTATTTATTTCCTAAATTAATTAAAAAAAAATGATGAAATTAAATATTTATTAAAAGTTATTTGAAACTAGCAATTAGGTGTGATTAATAGGTAAAGGGGCTTGAAGGAGAAAGAACGGGTTTTGTATAAACCCCGTGGTCCAGAATACGACACAACATCCCCTTTGAATCAATGGGGGTTGTTGGCGACCGCGCAGTAGCCCTTTGAAAATCCTACGGGGAGGTGCAACTCCGTTTTATTCACACGATTTCGCTCTCCATCCCCGCATTTGTAACGTTTTATCTCAATAAATCACGATTTTGTTCCCATAGAAAACGCGGGTTTTTATGGGAAATTAAACCCGATGAAAATGAGGGATTCACCAAGAAAAATAATGAAGAAAAAAATAAAAATGGTGTTGATTATTAATTGAAATTTAAAAAATAGGTAAAAATAACGATTGTTTTTATTAAAATTGAATGTTTTTGGATATTTTAGAAATAGCGAGATGAACTTGTCGCATCAAGATATGACTCTAACAGGTCCTAATGCAACTCGACCACCGGAAATTTACCGATTCGTACCCGGAATGACTCAAAAACCACAACCGGATAATATTATAACTCGAACCACATCATCCCCAGGGAAGATATTTAATGGAACCGGATTTTACATCGAAGATGATACAGAAATTGGTAAGTTATTATTTAATTATTAATTTTGATTATCTATTTCTTGTGATTTATAGGATTTAATGATCTTCAAACGTTATTTTTGGCATGTTTCGCGACGATAACCCCCCTAATTTTGACGGTTATAACAGGATTTGCAATAAGGTAAAAAAGGTGGTGTAACAGAATTTGTTGATGCCTCACACAAATTTTTATCTTAAATTTATGACTAAAAACGTGATAAATTTCTTTTAGGTCGTTGTGGAGGCGCTACTCGAAAAGAAGCGCCGATAAATTATATTCGGATGCGGTCCGGAACGAAAGCAGCGTTGAGAGTGTTTCTCAACCACTTCATACTCATCTTTTTAATAATGATAAGGTAAAATTAAAAAAATTAAAAAAATAATACATTTTCTTTAAATCGAGTTATTATCCAACCCAAAATACATCGATGTAATTAAGGTTGCTTATACAACGAGATAAAAAATACATTTTTTTGATTCGATGTTTATGTTTAAAAGTGAGTATCTCAATTTACTAATTTTGGATGTGTTAACACTTCATACTTATCTTTTCAATAATGATAAGGTAAAATTAGGAAAAACTATAAAATAAATTTTTAATTGAATTAGTATGCAACCCAAAATATATCATTTTGTATGTCATGTAATTAAGGTTGCCTATATAACGAGATGAAAAATTATTTTTTATTTTTGATTCAATTTTGATGTTTAAACGTGAGAGTATCCCGATTTACCAATTATAGATTTGTTAACACTTCGTACCCATCCTTTTAATAACGATAAGGTGAAATTAAAAAGTATTTGTAATTGGATTAGTATGCAACCCAAAATTCATCAATGCAATTAGGGTTGCCTGTATTATGAGAAAGGAAATATATTTTTTTTTATTCGAATTTGATGTTTAAATGTGATAGTATCCGGATTTACCAATTTTGGGTATCCTCCAAGTGTTACAGCGTCTTCACTTTTTCATGTCATTTTTAGAATTAATTTTTTTTCCACTTTTGGTTTTGTTACTTTTTCGGATGTAATTGGAGACTGAGACGGTGTCGGATGACGTTTTTGGGTGCAACGATCTTCTTCTTCGCCCGAATCTATAAAGTTAAAATTTTGTGCCAAAAAAATGATTTAATTGTTGCAGTGGCGTATCAAATTTAATTAATTGTTTTTAGCACCTGCTTATTTTATTTTTTTTTTTTGAGTAATTAGCATTCGAAATCGTTATTGCGAGGAAAAGATGAAGAAAAAAAGTTGGGGGGGGTTCTTTTGCATCTGCATCTGCCGCCTTTTGGTGTAAAGAGAAATCCTGTTCTTCGACCTACATTTTTATATGACGGTTTAAGAGGTTTTTTTGGACAATTTTTCAGTTAGAAAAGAAATGATACATTTTTTGTTTCATGAGAAATTGAGAAACACTTTTTTTTGGGAACAAATTTTTTTTGATACGCCACTGGTTTTTTTTGGTTGCCAAATTGCATTCTTCTGCCGATTGCATTTGGCGAGAGGTCCTTGCCCGGACATTCACTCCCAAATTTCGCCAACTCGCGTTCCCCCCATCTTAATTTTTCCCCTCTTCGCCTCTCCATCTTCGTAAAAAAGAAGTTCGTTGCTATCCGAAAAACGTCGTAACCCACCCTTTCTTTCTAACTTAACCCGGCGCAAGTTAGGAGCGACAAGGATCGCGTTTGTCGAAGAAGAAGAAGAAGCCAAAAAGGCAAGAGCGGAAATATGCCGAGGGACGAGAAACTTTGGGTAAAAAAATCAAAAAAACTTTAAAAAAAGCACAAAAAAGAAGGTGCGCGGAGAAACTCGCCCCCTCTCCAAATGAACGTAAAAGGGGGACCACTTCCCCACTAGAAATTCATTTGTTATCGCCTCAACTCTTTTTTTATTTAAAAACGAAAAATAAATAAAGACGAATTAAGTTTTTTTTTGAATTAATAAAGGAAATTGTAATTTTTTAATATTAAAATTCAACTCGTTAACTATCGAAAATCGAAAATAAAACCGATAGAGGTCGCGCGGGTTAAATTTCCCCCCACCTCTAAAAATCGAAAATCGCCTTCTTCCATCTTTAAAAATCTTCTCTTCCCCCCTAATTTTCTTTCTCTCTCTAACGAAATTGCTGCACCGCCGAAAAAGTTGGTTTGGCCCGGTGACTTTGGGAAAGTCAAACTGCGCACGAGTAACGAATTACGTCACAAGAATGCTCGCGAAAGCTTTCGTCGCGTTAGAAAGAGACGAAAGTATCCAAGGGATGCGCGATTTGAAAAAAATGCAACGACGGAGTGAATAAACTCGGGCGCGGTGACGGTTGTTTTTAAAACGACTAAACCGGGACGTTTGTCGCAGATATCTAAGTATTCGCATAGACCACTTAGATCGGAATTAAATTTATTTTTTTCGCATAAACAGGACCGGATTAAAAACAAATAAAATTAAAAAAAAAAAACATAAAACGCCCCCCGATTCTTCTTTTTTGCAAGGGGGAAGCACAAATACCGTTATGTCCTTTATGTAAAGGTTGTAGCCTATCATTACAGCAAAGAAGAAGAGAAGGAGGATTCAGGGTGCACCCGCTCGATGATTGATTGTTGGGTAGGAACCGCGCGCGGTCAAAAACCCCACATTTTGCGTTTGTTTCCAAAAGAACAGTTACATCACATTATTATACCCCTCAAACATTTTTCTTCAAATTAAAAAAAAAATCGAAAAAAAAAATTTTTTTTAGTTACCCCCAAAAAAAATTTTTTTTTAAATCCCTAATTATAACAGTTTTAACGGTTTTAATGTTAAAAAAACGAAGAATTGAGGTCGATTCATTCCGTCTCAAGGTCATTGGCGGCGCGCGGTCGCTTTTGTTTCGACGGGGCGTTTGTTTGCGTTAGTCAACCGTTTTCGCCAACTACGATGTCGACCGCGGGGCCACGGTCTCTCTTTCGAATGCCAGACGAATGATTGTTTCATAGAGACGCGTCATCTTTTTCGCTCTACTAGGTCATTGACGCGTCTATGACTCGATATGACGTCATCACCACACAATTTTAAAAAAATCAATAAAATCAACGAAATCGTTTAATTGAAATGCTTTTTTTCTGTTGCTTTTAGAGTACCGAAACTCATCTAACGATCGAAACGGCAGAGGAGATTTGCGAAACTGCGACGACTACCACGAAAAATTCGCTTCAAAACGCGAAAACGAATCATTCGAACACCAACGGAAGCATCATCACGATGACGTTAAAGAATAACCATCTTATTGTGGAAACTGAAGAAAGAAACGTAATCTACGTTAAAAATGTTTTAAAACGAGTCCAAACTTGATGGGGTTATCTTTAAAAACTACCGAGATATGAAGGTTTTAAGAAATGATGATCGTCGATTGTTTTTTTGTATTTTAGGTTATATCGCTGCCATTCTTTGAGATAACTCCATCGAGTTTGGGTTTATTTTAAAGGATTTTTTATTCTCTGCATGAATTTTATGTCAAAATAAATCTTCCTTCTACGCTAAAGTTCATCATAGTAACCCTGGATGATCATAATCTTTTCCTCTATCAACCAGTCTTTCTAAAGAAGGAATCCTGTTAGTTTATCTATTAGTACACCTTTCCAAGATGTTATCTGTAAAAATGCTTTGTGTGCTAATAAGCTCTTCTAGTAGAAGACTAGATTCTGCTGACATAAGTTACATATTGCTGGTATAAGATTAGATACAGCTGACAGAAGCTAGATATTGCTGTTAGAAGACTAAATACAGCCGGCAGAAGCTAGATACAGCTGATAGACGACTACGTACATTTTGTATAAAACTAAATACTGCTGATAGAAGCTAAACATTGCTGGCAAACTGGATCCTCTTCATTGAAGCCTATAGACTTATCATTTTAAATGTCCAAATTAATCTTTCAATAACGTCTTTATTAAACAATGCGAAAATAACTAATTTCTTTTTAATTTTAGGATCTTGAAGAAGATAGCAGAGCGACTAAAATGAAATATTCGCCAAGTGCAAGAGATGGCGTTTTCGTGGTGGAAGTACAACAAGGTGTGAGAAGAAGTCCCGGTTCGGGAAATCTTCCGGTGATTGCCGAATCGGATCAAACAGCTTTAATACACGATCCCCCATCGAAGTACGACGAAGAAGACGAAGAAGATTACTTGGATTATCCGGAAACGACTTCGCCCGTCAACACAGAAAACCTAATTCATAATCAAACCGGTTTGACACAGTCGAATCAAAGTCTCTCGGAGTTTTCTTACGTTTATACGAATCAAGTTGAGTATACAAATGGTGGCAGCGACGGAGGGATTAAAATAAAAAAGCCAGAAAAAAATACAAAGCCAAAAATAACGTCGGCTATCTTTAAAAGTATCGATAGCATGAAAAGTTTTGAAATGCTTTCGGATGATTTGTTAACGGAGTTGATTATGCCTAATAATTCGAAGGGGTCTTCAAGGGATGATGACGATTCTATACAGGAAGAACAAAATAGGTTGGGAAATTACGATCCTAATGTTCCTGCGACAATTAGCGAAACTGATAAATAAATTTTATCGTTATGTACACTGTGTAAATCTTTTAAAACAAATTAGATTTAAGGGAAAGCTTTGTATATTCAAAAAAAATTAATAATAATGTTGGCTTATTAAAAATCAAAAAATTTAATTCAGTTTAAGTAAAAATTTGATATAACGGACTAAAACACTGTTATAAGAACTAACATTAGACCTAGAACTAGAAACATTCTGGTTTAGCCGAACGTCTGTTAAGACGGCTAAAACAGAATGTTTCTAGTTGTAGGTGTAGTGTTAGTTCCACTTTTAGTTCAATAAAAATATACTTCAGAAAGTCTTCAAAAAGGAATTAGGTTGCATTAGGGTACGTTCGACAACGTCAAAATTAAAAGAAAAATCATTGACGTAATTTTTTGGAATTAAGAAACGATTTATATCATAAATGTAAGATAAAAGATGTTATTTTCAATATCATATAAAAATTGCTGAGTTAATAATAAAAACTTGTAGAGAAAATATATTAGGATACGTTCGAAAACGTCAAAATGTAATAAAATCTCATTGATTTTATTTTTTGGAGTTAAAAACCGATTTATATCACAAATTGAAGATTAAAGGCGATATTTTAAGATGAGATATAAAAATTGCCGTATTGATGGTAATGATTTGTAAAGAACAGTTATTTAAAAGGAGTTAAGTTGAATTAGGATACGTTCGAAAACGTGAAAATTAAAAAAAATCTCGTTGAGTTAATTTTTAGGAGTTAAAAAACGATTTATATCACAAATTGAAGATAAAAGATTCTATTTTCAATATCATATAAAAATTGCTGAATTAATAACAAAAATTTGTAGAGAACAAGTCGTTAAAAAGTATTACGTCGAATTAGGATACGTTCGTAAACGTCAAAATTTAATAAAGTTGCATTGATTTTATTTTTTGGAATTAAAAACCGATTTACATCATAAATTAAAGATAAAAGATTCTATTTTCAATATCATATTAAAATTGCTGACTTAATAATAAAAATTTGTAGAGAAAAAGTGATTAAAAAGGAATTACGTCGAATTAGGATACGTTCAAAAACGACAAAATTTAAAAAAAAAAATTTTTTGGTGTTAAGACACAATTTATATCAAAAATTGAAGATAATAGATGATAATGTAAGATGTGATATAAAAATTACCGTTAATGAAATAAATTTGTAAAGAAAAGTTATTTAAAATTATGTTGAATTAGGTTATGTTCGAAACGTCAAAATTGTGATTTAGTCGAAGTCCGTTATATTGAGGTTTTACTGTAATTTTTTAATAAAACAATAAATTTAAAAAATTAATTATTAGTTAATTAATTAATAAAATAAAATGAGTCAATTAATTTTTGATGATGGTTGGAAATGAGTTTTGGTAATACATATTTCTGATACGCCAAAAGACCAAAAAGAAATATATCAAGAAAAATTTTTTTCGTTAATTTTTTAAGGTGCATCGCGATGTACTTTTTTTAGTCCTTAGCTTCTAGCAAAGATATTTGGCAGTTGGAAACCAGTTCTGGTCATCAGTCGGGTTCAAGGTCCTGATAGGTCTCGTTCTTTTACTTCCCCCCACCTTCAAAAAATCGCCGAGACTCCAGAACGTTTAAAAAAAAAATGTGATAACGTTTCAATTATACAGGGTCATTCAAAAAAAAAACAACTTTTGAATTACCCTGTATATTATATATATACATATATACATTGAGAGAATATAAAAATTAAGTTCGAATAATTTTTTAAGCCGTCCTTTTCTTATAGATACAAAATAGATGATTTATTGAGATAATTTCAGACGGTTTTTAATAATTAAGTTGAATTTTCTTTTGTATGTAGATACAAGTTAGTTATAATCGCACTATTATCTGTGAGCAAATAAATGAATTCAAACTTTAATGCAATTTGATTTTTCCACCTTCATTATCCATAAATATATTTACTTTGTTGAGTTGTCATACAACTATAGATTTTTCCGTCAAACCATTTTATATGGAAAAAGAGAGAAAAGTGAGATAGAGGGAGAGAATTCCCGGGCAACGTTGTTAAAAATCTAATAATGATTCACTGCGCAGTTGTATTAGTTGTGTCGGGGATTTTAAAAGCGAGGCGTGGTTTTCGTTCTGCTCCCCCCGCGCGCGCGAGAAGGGGGGCTTTACCCCTTTGCAAAAACGCCGCGCGCTTTTCCCCGGGACGCGGCGCGGGGGTGGTTTAAAAAACGCCCCGAACGGCGCCGCGTGTATGCAGATGTATTGATGTTTCTATTTCGGATTTTAATTGTATCTATCTTTTTCGCGAACCCCCGTCGACTCTCTCGCGCTTTCGCCCCCCCGGAAAATCAAACCGGAATATTAGCCGTTTTGAAAATGTTGGAAACGAAAGCGATTTTTTTTGCGTTCTCGTACACACGGTCAACGAAAGTGTGCGGATAAAAAAAAATACGAGAGCCGATGTGCACGTGTTTTCGCTTTCGCTTTCCGCCTCGTGGTGTTTTCGATTTCAACCCCCCGCGAACGAACGACCTTGGAAAAAAAAAACTACGAGTTTGCACTCCATCCCCCGCAACAAAATTTTTTTACATCCATACAAAAATTGATTCATTTTAAAATCACATTATTTTATATCATATCTCAGTAATTCTTAAGATATGAATAGAAAGATTTTGCTAGAACTGTTTATAATTAGCTCGATGATTTAATACTCTTTATTGAAACTAAGGTTAAAAATAATTGATATCTCGAAAATTACTAAGAGTTAAGAAATGACTCTTTTTGAGGTTATAAAATAATGTTTGAGGTTTAGGTTATACTAAATTACAAGCTTCCAGGGCCACCATCTTATTTTATAAACATTTTTAAAAATGACTGATATGAAATTGATGTTTCTTAAAAGTGTGGTTAGAAAAAAATTATTTTCTCCGAAACCGTTAAGAATTAAGAAATGAAACTTTTTGAGGTTATAAAGAAACGTTTGAGATTTGGTTCTAGCAAATTTCAAGCTTCCAGTGTGACCACCTTATTTATAAAAAAATTTAAAATGTCATATGTGGTCTCCATTAAAAAAGCTTTAGAAACAAGGCCAAACACGATGGAGTTATCTTAAAAACCACGGAGATACGATTATTTTAAAAAATAACGATCGTTAATTGTTTTTTTAGCTTTTCAATGACATCTCAATCATTTTTTGAGATTACCCCATCATGTTTGGGCTCATTTTAGCCGATTATTTACTTTCTACCAGAATTTCGAATAAAAATTAGTTATAACTTGAAGTAAATTGAAAAATTCAAAAAATAAAGAAATTTTTAATAAATTCATAATCTCCATTAAAAATGCTTTAAAACAAGGCCAAACACGATGTGGTTATCTAAAAAACTACGTAGATAGGACGATTTTAAAATATAACGATCGTCAACTGTTTTTTTTAGTTTTTTGATGATATATCATTTATTTTTCGAGATGTCCCCATCGTGTTTGAGCTCATTTTAATCGATTTTTTACTTTCTACCAGAATTTCGAATAAAAATTTGTTATAACTTGTTTTTCAAATAAATTGAAAAATTCAAAATATAAAAAAACTTTTATAAATTCATAGTCTCCATTAAAAATGCTTTAAAAGAAGCCCAAACACGATGTGGTTATTTTAAAAACCACGCAGATACGACGATTTTAAAAATAACGATCGTCAACTGTTTCTTTTAGTTTTTTGATGATATCTCATTTATTTTTTGAGATTGCCCGATCGTGTTTGGGCTCATTTTAACCGATTTTTTACTTTCTACCAGAATTTCGAATAAAAATGAGTTATAACTTGTTTTTCAAGTAAATTGAAAAATTCAAAAAATAAAGAAATTTTTAATAAATTCATAATCTCCATTAATAATGCTTTAAAACAAGGCCAAACACGATGTGGTTATCTAAAAAACTACGTAGATACGATTATTTTAAAAAATTACGATCGTCAATTGTTTTTTAAAGTTTTTCGTTGATATCTCAGTCATTTTTTAAGATAACCCCATGGTGTTTGGGCTCATTTTAAAGGATTTATTATTCGCTATTTGAAAATCAATAAATTTTTTTATGTTAGTTTGTAAAGATTTCTAAAGATTCTTAAGAGTAAATCTAAGAGTAATCTTTGTATAGTAAATCCTGCCGGATGGGAGGTATCGTTAGGTTGGGTAAACAACAAAAGTAAATTTTTTTCGTCGAAGTTCGCATATAGAATTTTAATTTTAGTTTGGGGAGCGCGTTGCTGGCAAATATTTTTAAATTCGGGCTGTTTAGCGGTCGATGCAGTAGCAGTGAACGAACGAACTATGCACTCGTTGCCGGATCGTATATTTTTTTTGCGAGAAGAGAGGTTCACTTTTCAAACGGGCCGCGCAAAAATAGCAACTCGGTCATGGAAAGGGGGGGCGCGAATTGCCGCATGACCCGAAAAGAAAGTGAAATGACCGATATTTTTTTTTAACTTAAAAATATCAATTCCGATTGTCATCTGATGTTTTGTAATTTCTTTTAGGAAAATTTTATTTGAATTAAGAAATTTGGCGTCGCGGATGTTGCGAAATAAATTGAGATCTTTTCACATTGTTAGCTCGCCCACGAAAATCGAAATTTTTCGAAAGTAGTGTCAATTGCATTTGCAAGCTGCACACCGCTTTGAGCCAACCTCGACCTTAAACCATCGAAGCAAAAGGCTCAAAAATTAACTCACTTCTTCATCTCCGTCTTATAAGTGTAAGAGAAGAGAAAGAAACCGATAATTCCGAACAAGTTGCTTCTCCTGCTGCTACTTTTCGGAGAAAGTTGATCGCCAAAAACCTAATGGATACCAATTCTTTACTTTTTGGGAGAGTTTTGGGCTTATTTTTTAAATTGCGACCCGAATTAAATAAGAAGAAATCGAGGATATTAACGTACTTTTTTGTGCAGAAATTGTACTACTACCCCAATTGTTGGGGGGCTCACGAGTGCTAGGAGAGGTGAAGGGGTGGAAAAACCACCCCGCGCTCCACCACCCGAAATAAAATCCACATTTTAAAGCGGCATATTCATATCGATCGAAAGTTTTTAACGTTCTCTCCCCCTTCTCTCTCTCTCTCCATAATTCTAAAAACCACCCTCAAACGAGACGCCCCCTTTTACGTCACTCTCTCTCCTCCTTCTTTTACCCTGTGCCTCCCTTTTCTAATGCGTAATAACTTTTCATTTCCCCCCACTTTTTTTTATATAAAAATGAAAAATCGTTAATAATCACGATAAAAAATCATTTTTTTTGTTTAAAATTTATTTTATAATTTGAAAAATCTTCATTTGCGGGGATAAAAGGGACGAAATATTTGATGCCGAACGAGTGGAGATGTTTTATTTCGAGATTGCGAGGGGAGCTATGCGAAATTAAGGTCTCTATAGCTACGGAGGGTCGCCGGAAACTAGGGGGGGTCGATGTACACCTTTATTTCGGTATTCCGATGATGTTTTTAAATTAAAACTTTCCTCCGAAACGGATTATTTATTTCGGCAAAAATAATATTGACCCCGTTTCCGCGACGATGATAATCTTTTAAATAATAAATAGCGAAGAGTTGAAGTTATTCGGAACGATGGTTATCGTGAAATAATAACAAAAGGAGCCTGAAAACCGCGATGAAAAGCGTTGGGTTGCATTCGAAAACGATGTCCGCAAAAGTAGCAATAAAATCGGGTCTACAATGTGTTGACCGGCGTCGTCGTCGACGACGACGATGATGAATATTTATTTATGATACTATTTGTCTAAGGTCATTTGACCTTAACCACAATGTCGACGTGGCACTGAGACGGGGGGGGGAAACATTGAAGAACGAAGAAGTGGGGGATCTTGGTTTTGTTTTGATTAAACAATAGAACTAAGTGTTTTTTCTTTTTTGATAACAAAATAAAATTAAGTTAAATTTTATCGTGCTGTAGGTTAGGAGAATTTTTTATTATTATTTCGCATAGTTAGCCGCAGATACCAGCAGCCCCAATCTAATAACAATGAGCGTTGATAAAAAATGTATATTTGTAACGCGTTATCTCATTGCTGTTTGTTTCGCGAATCGCGCCCGCTGATAACCGCAGAGAGAGCAAAAAAAATATTCTAGAAAAAAAACTTCACGAACAATTTCTAATCATAAAAAAAAATCTTAAAAGAAACATAAAATAATTAATCAATGACCCAATTAATCAAATAAAATCCTACTTAGCAAACAAAAAGAACCTCAATAAAACAAATTTTTTTAAAAAAATGCTGAGATATCATAATAACCTTTCCCAACGTATTGTGTGTTATCTCGTAAGCGGTAACACGCGGATTTGATTTTTTTAAAATGCGCAATTTCTATTTTTGGGACGGCCCGAGATTATCAAAAGAAGCGAAAAATGGCCGAAAGATTATCTATTTATTTATTATTGGTGTATAATAAAAGAGAGATGCGAAAAGATCCCGAAAATCCGTTACCCGACGTTTTCAGAACGATGAGAAGGATTCGCCCGCACAACCTAACGACTTCGGGATTACAGGAAAACAAATGACGATCAACAGGTAGGGGTCGCCTCACATTCTCGAGAAAACCTCCTTTGTGAACGAGAATATCATCTAACAAGGTCGATTTTAAACGGAAAAAAAATTACGGAAATCAAATTAATTCGAATCGGATTCATAATCTACGCGAAAAATCCTTTGAAATGAACCCAAACACCATAGGATTATCTCCAAAAATAACTGAGATGCGACAGTTTTAAAAACGACGATAGTCGATTGTTTTTTTAATTTTTTTTGGGCATCTCGGTTAATTTTTGAGATAACCCCATCGAGTTTGGAGTCATTTTAAAGGATTTTTCGTGTAGATTAAGAATTTTTAATCATTTCTATACCTTAATTATCAAGTTTTACCGCGAAATTGAAAATTACATATTTTTAAATTAAAAGAATTTTTTTTTGTAATTATTAGAAACAGTTGTTGATGACAAAGAATTTAAAATAATAACTAGACCGTGAAATGTCTAGACGTCCGTCTACCTTTTGTATAAACTTGAACGTAGTCGTTGTGCGTCCAAAAAATTGCTAATAGGACGTTGTCGAGGGCAATGCACCTCTCGTTTGGTTCGTGTTCGCGAAAATATTTCATAACAAAATATTTTTTGCGAAGCCACTCTCTTCCCAGCCGTTTCTTTTTCCAAACGAACCGGGGGGGATGTCCGGGGACGGAGGATTACTCCAAATAGACAGATCAGGAATCGAAAACAATCCAACTTATTTTAAGATGGTTCTAAAAGTACAAAATAAAATAAGTTAAAAATCATTAAATGTTTAAAAATTTTTATAAAATGAAATAGTTTTGACTAAAATAAAACCGATTTTTTTTTTAAATCAAAAGAAAAATTGTTTTTATTCCGGTTCTGTAACAAGCAACAAGTTCATGGACCCCTGGCACTGCAATTCGGCTTGGCCCGTCTGCTAGGAACGCATGGTTGCACTTCAGGCCGGACTATGGGGGCCCCGCTTATTCCCCCCTCCCACCGCCGCCGCCCATCCGTTCGTTCGCGGCCCCGAAATTGCAAGCCCCCGGTTTTTCGGGCAACAACATCCGTTCGTTATCGCACGACGCGCCGCGAGACCGAGACGAATAGGTTAAGTCGCCCGAACTTGCTAGAAACCGCACCGAACCTCACTGATTGGCTTCGGGTCCCCCTTTTATTTTATTTTTTGCCCCACGTATCCCCCGAGTCTCTTCACCTTCTTCTTCGAAATTCGTTCTTCACAAAGAAAAAGGTGAAGGGACTCGAAAAATGTCTATACCAGCGAAATTAAAAATTAGATTTTAGTTATCGTTGAATTAGAATTTCTCTTTTGACCGAGAATGTACACAAATCCGGGGAAAGCTGGGGGTGTGAGGAGGTTCGTTGAGAGGAAGAACTGGGGGAAACTTCAAAAACTTAAATTTTCGCATAAGAATGTACAGCTCTGCTTAGTTACACAAAACAAAAATCAATAAGGCCTAGCAAGAGCGCGAGATTCCGCGCTCCAAGAGAGAGAGAGAGATAAATTCAGCCCTTTTCTTCTTTCTCTTTCTCCAGCCAACTACATTTTAAAATGTATATAGATATAGAGAAAGAATATTTATGAAAACCACCCAGCTTTCATTCCCTCCTTTTCATATACATTTCTCCATCTTTATCTCTCCCTTTCAATTCATCCCCCCACCGCAACTTTTTTTCTTTCCTTTTCTATATGAAGCTAAAAATTACACCGCCAACGTAAAACTGTCGAAATTATATCGCTATCCTTCCGACATTTTTGATGTTTCTTTCTTGGTTTTTCCCGAAACGAGACGGAAACATGAAAGAGAATAAGGGGGTCAAAGGGGGTGGGAGTTTTCCGGGTTGAGTTGTCCCTGTTTATCGGAAAAGCGACCGTCCGAAATGAATTTATTTATTTCCCCGTCTGTCTTCGTATCGATCTTGAGCCGGTTTTCAGCCATATTTTCGATTGGATTTATTACTCGATACTCAAGACATTCGAAGAGGGATGATAGAAAGAGAAAGAGGAAGCATCTAGTAGCAGATTAACGGGAAGAAATCGTAGGAGGCCTTGAGACTGCGAGTTTCCGGGTCGGCCCGCTCCGGGTTTCGCCCCGGGAGAAAGCGAAAGTTAATGAAAAATAGTGCGGAAAACTGGGGAGATGGTTGGGGGCGAGAGGAAAAGGGGGTTGGTCGAGTTGCTGCGTACGGCCGGAATCATCCCCGTTTTTCCCCTCTCGTTCCGAGCGCGCCTCTTGACGACGTCTAACCCCATCATATTTGTATCTCCTTTTTTTAATGACGCCCCTCTCTGTCAGAGAACCCCCGGAAAAATCAATAGAATCCGCGGCCTACTCGTTACAATTTTATAATTAGCCGAAGCTTTTCAATTTTAATACAAAACAAAAATTTTCAACCGGAACCAACAATTTATTCACGTGCTAACGCTATTTCCGATATTATCCCAGCTTGATTTCCTTTCCAAATAACACTTAACGAAAGAAAAAGTTCTCATTCAATTCATTTAACGAGAATGAATCAGTTTTCCACGTGCAAAAAATTGCCACTTAAATTTTATTACTTGAAATTTAGAAATTAACAAATTAAATTTATATTTTGAATTGATTTGAGCCATTTTAACACAGACCAATCTGCTTTTTCTATTTTTTGGTAAGTTTGAAACACTTTCTAAAGACGCCAAATAATTTTTTTAACTCATTATGTATCCTCGAGTTATTTCTAGTTGATTAGAATCATTTTGATCAACACCAATCAACTTTTCTGGAAATCATTCCTTTTAACTTTCTTTAGCTTATTCGTTCTTATGAGCTAATAAGATGTTTTTAATCGATTTGAAGTATTTTGACACATACACAAAACGTTTTTTGTATTTTTTGGTATCTTCGAAACAACTCAAAAATCATCTATATCAACATACTTAATTTTTTTATAATGGTTTAGTATCCTAGTGTTGTTTCTAATCGATTAGAACAATTTTGATTAATACCAATCAGATTTTTCTATTTTCTGGTATGCTGGAAACACTTTTTAAACCCACCAACAAAAATTTTTGCATCTAATCATCGTTATTTTTAGTTGATTAGAACAATTTTGACATACACCAATCAATTTTTCCCAAAATTCAAAATTTTTTGAATTTTCTGGAAAACTTTCCTTTCATTATGTTTCCAACGAAATAAAACAATTTTGACACTTACCAATAAGCCTTTTCTGTTTCGTGGTGTCTTAGTAACAAATTCAAAAATCTTCTAAATCGATTTCTTTAATTCTTTCTCGATGATTATGATCTGTGGAATATTTTTACTTGATTAGAACTGTTTTGATCAGCTTTTACCATATTGTAACATAACCTGAAAGTAACAAAAATTGACTAAATTTAAAAAATGTTATTAAAATTTCTTAATGTGGATAAAAAATGCTTTAAAATGACACCAAACACGGTTATATTATATTTAAAAACAATTGAGATGTAAATTGTATTAAAAATTGTATTAGTATTAAAAAAAATGAAGACCGTAATTTTTAAAATTGTGATTTCTCAATGGTTTTTTGAGATAACTCCGTCGTGTTTGGGTTCATTTTAAAGGATTTTTAATTTTGTACAAGAATTTGGTGTGTTTAAATGGAATTATTATGAAGGATTTTGGGTGTGCTCAAAAATGATAACCGATAGTGGTGTGAGCAAAACAATTCGCTGGACTTTACAAAAAGAACTTGTTCTAAACAACCCCGCGCAGACGGATTCCTTCCAGATATAATAGGGCGGTTGGTTCTCCTTCATTGTCCTTTTGCAGAAACCAGCTCCGGCTTCTATGAGATCATGAACGGACTCTAGTGGAATGAAGAAAAAAAATCAGCAATAGGGGAGCCTCTCATAATAGTTCCGTGCGAAATCTCTTCTCTCTCTCTCCGTAACCAACTCTTTTGGTTATTGTGCGCGGTCGACCTTAGGTCACGACCCTTTATCGCGGCCCTTCGCAAGACCAACCACGTGAATTTTTTTCTTTTTGCAAATTTCGACCATCTTCAATTCGAATTTAGCGATTTCTTTTTATTTGGATAACCTTCAAATAAATATATATTTTTTAACCCAATGTAATATCTGTCTGGAGCGATTTTTTTATTAGTTTTGCTTATCCGCGATGAATTGCACCATTCACGGAACGAAAGCGCGCGACTCATCGAGTGTCCGTAACAATTTTTTTTATCAAAAGTCAATAACAGAGAAAACTAACAGACCGATGCCATTATTTGAAAAAAAAAAATAAAATAAAATAACGTCTCCGCTTTTTTTTATTTATCAAACGATGTAAGTGTAAATAGAAAGAAGGAAGATTGTGAAATTTTTTTTGATCCTTCATTTTTAACGATAAGAAAACGTTTTTTTTATATTTATCGATATGGACTAGTAAGAACTAAAGTGATTTTTTTATTTTGTATTTATCGTTTTGGCTTAAAATATAAATATCTAACGCGTTATAGACGTTAACATTCGCGAAAAAGGGTATCTAAATTTAGGTGCACTTGACCTTGCCAACGAACAAAACTATTCATTACTTTCGCTTTTATTTTTAAAAGTCGCATCTCTTGGCATAAAAATCTATTCGAATTTTTCCAACGTTTAATGTTTTTTTTAAATAAAAAATAAGAATATATAAATTTAATTTTAAATTAAAATTTAAATTTAAATAAGAAAGGTGTTTTTTACACCTGGCCCTGGTGCAAATACCAACTAAAACCACCAACCTTAATCATCATCATCTAAAGATCGAGTTGTTGCTGGTTCGACAGTTCGTTTGGTAATAAGAACCAGTGTGTGCCAAAAAATTTTTTTGGTACCGGGTGCATCAACCTCTCCGTGGGGTCCGGATTTCAATGAAGAAACAAGATGACCAAAAAATTTTTTGGGTTGGGGTAGGGGCTGCGTGCAACCGCTGCAGCAGGAGGAAGATAAAGATGGAAAATTGCATTTGAAGGGTGGATGAAGAGAGAGATCCTGCTGCGGACGTGTCCGTTTCTCGTCGCAAAATTCGGGACTTTGCGGGGCCGCCTTCGTCTCCGGTCGTTGCGAAAAAGGGGGCCCCACACCCTTCCCCTGGCCGCAACAACAGCAGCAGCAGCAAGCAGCACACAGGTAGAGGCACCTATGAATTTGCAAACTCAATAAAAAAGCGGTCCTACCACTTTGGGCCTTTTGGAACTTTTAAGGACCATTGTGGTGTTAGAGTATTACTAGACCATCGTGGGGTTTAGACGTTTAGTGTGCATGTGCTCTCCTCCGGTTGGGGTACTCCCAGATGATCCTGCTGAAGACATCTCATCTGAAGAATTTCTCTTCATCAATATGAAGACGATAAGGATTTTTAAAAATTTTTAGAAAAATAAGAAATCATTTTTCTACCATTTTTTCAACCCGGAATATTTTTATTTATTTATTTTTAATTTTAATTTATTATTTTTTTGGATATTTTCGTTATTAAGGTAAGTTCTTTTTTGATTATTTTTTATTAAAAATTATTTTATCAATTTTTATTTCTTTTTCATCAATTTTAAAAAGTAATACATAAAAATTTACAAAAACCTTTTTAATTAAAAAATAACATTAATATAAATAAATTTTTATTTTATATCATTAACGATTATTATCTTTTGGCGTTTAAAACGGTTTCAAAACGTGGTGCATAAAAGGAGTGCGTTTCTTACAATTAACGGTTTTTTAGAAAGCACACGAACTTCCCCGCAAATTTCTCCCCCTCCGTCTCTTATTCTCGTTACTCCGGGTTTCTCCGGGACAGTTCCGGTCAGACAGACGCAACCGGTAAAAGAAGTCTGAGCCAAAATCAAATTTTTGACCTTAATCTTAAAAAAAATGTCAAAATTAATTTTTGCTAATAATTACTTTCGTATTGATTTTATTTGAAAGCCACTATTTTAAAACCCACCCCGATTACTACTTATGCAAAATACGCATTGCGGAGTAATGAAATTCGGGGGGAGTTTTTTGGGGGGTGGTTGGTTTTGCCTCCCGTTTTTTGCATAATGGTATTGATTCGCGCGCGGGGGGAAAGCATTTGGCATAAAACACGCGGCCAGGGCGCAAATTTTCACAGAAGAGGGACAACAAAACGGACCTCCCCGCGTTCCCTCATAGTCCGCGGGGGGACGGATGCTGTTGTAGGTATTTTTACGAAACTAATCCACACCCTCGTTTTGCCGGGGCCCCCTTCCGCACCTACGCCTCCCCCGCGGGCCGATTCGCGTTCCGCCATTGGACCCGGCGTTCCTCTCTTGATGTACAACCGCGCGTTGGACACAATACACATGGAGATTAAACGTAATAACACTTAAAAAAATCAATACTCGGTCTGCCTCATTTGGGGGGTTACTATTCAAAAAACCACCCCCAACCCACTTACACAAACGATCCCCCGTTATATTTTATGGAATTTTATATATGTATTAATAATGCAATTTTATCTTTTAAAAAAATGTAAAATAATTAATAATAATATCTTATTTTGAAGTCAATAATAAATGATTTTGAGAAAATGTCAAAAAACAATTGGTAAAATTTAAAAAAATTAATTAATAATTCTTAATCGTCATTAAAAATGCTTTAAAATGACTCCAAACATGACTAGGTTATCTTTAAAAATGGCCAAGATACAACCGAGTCAAAAAAAACAATAGACGATTGTTATTTCTTAAAATAATCCTATTTCGGGAGTTTAAAGAGATAATTGTATCGAATTTGGGGTCATTTTAAAGGATTATTAATTTTCTACAGAAATAATCTATTTTTAAAATAATAATAAATAATTTTGAGAAAATGTCGAAAAAACAAATGATCAAATTTTAAAAAATTCATAAGAAAGTTTTAATGGCGATTAAAAATGCTTTAAAATAACACCAAACACGGCTTGGTTGGCCTTAAAAATCACCACAATACAACAGAGTCAAAAAAAAAATAATAGACGATCGTTATTTTTTAAAATAACCGTATTTCGGGAGTTTATAGAGATAATTGTATCGAGTTTGGGTTCATTTTAAAGGATTTTTAATTTTCTACAAAAATAACTTATTTTTAAAATAATAATAAATGATATTCAGAAAATGTGAAAAAGCAAATGATAAAATTGTAAAAAATGAATTAAAAATTCTTAATCGCCATTAAAAATGATTTAAAATAATTTTAAAATGACGCTGTATCGGGTGGTTTTAAATACAAATATATTGAGTTTGGACTCATTTTAAAGGATTTTTGATTTTCTACGAGATTATGAAAGATTTAATAACGTTATAGAATTGAATGTTAATGAAAAATTAAGGAATTAGCAATCAAATTTTAATTAGTTATTTTACAACGAAAAAAAGAAATGGTTGCGTTCCGGATCATTTTAAAAAACAATGGTATTTCGAAAACAATGCCTCTTATAAACACAGAAAAGTCACAAACTCCAATGATCTAATAATCTCAATAGTGTAGTTGGCGTATAAACCAAATCGTCTTTAAAAAAAATCGTTGATAACATTGTAAACGTTCGATTTTAACAACTTATAGAAAACAACGGAAGCAGAAAGAATTACTTTTTGTGTTGGTTTAACTCCCCCGATTTAAAAAAAATAATAATTTTTTTTTGAGATAAAAAAATAATAATATAATAGATTTAGATATAGATAGGTTGCACTCGGTTGAAAGAAAAAAGAGAAAAAAAACTCGTTCACAGCCATAAAAATAGATTTTTTTTAGGCGTCACACAAATTTTTTTTTATCAGTGTAAATAGCGATAGCGCCCCCGCCCCCTCGGTGCCCCCGTCAAATTGGGAGAGCGAGAAAACTATGCTTGCAATTTTTTTTTGATTTTGGTCCATCTGGAAGATGTACATATGGTTCAAGTCCACTATAACAGATAAGATATGTGATAATAAAAAAAAACCTATAAACATAATATGAATTTATAAAAAATTGCACATAGTGTTTGTACGGACCGGGTACAATCTCTACTTCTTTTCAGTTTTTTTTCGTTACTTAGAAATTCGTTAATCGTTTAACAAATTTTTTTTCGTAATTATTCTTAATATTTTTTTGGTTATTATCGTCGCGTAATAAGTTCTTGTGTACCAATTAACAACATCAGTCGACGATTTGTAACCCTGCCGCCAACTAATACAGATTAATCGAAAATGTTGAAAATGTTTCAATGAAGGTGAGTATTAAACATTTTTTTTGATTATGTAAATCGACGTAATAAGTTTCTTTGTTTCCCACCAAAAATTAAGAAGATAACACAAAACACTTCTGTTTATATCGGATTTTTCTCTCGCCTTATCTTTATATCTTTCTGATCTAGGACTATAATAAAAAAAAATTATCTCTAATAATTCCTAATTACTCCCACCCAATTATTTTTTTTATTTTTCATTCTATATTACACGTCATTATTATAAAAAAACAACTTTAAATAAAAAAAAAATATTTAAAAAAAGATTTATCCTCAAACTCTTTCTTTTTCTTTCAAGCGAATTTTATCTACCAGTTATCTGTTGCAGAAACAACCTTGAACTTAAATTTAGACAAAAGTAGCCGGAGCAAAAATTTCGGGCCTCACGATATTGTCTCTATCGCAAAGTACTTGACAGTAACAAAAAAAATTATTTCTTGGATAGTTGATTATATCCAAAGACGTCCTCGTTTTATCAGAAACAGTTTATTAAAAAAATAAAACATTATCTCGTTCGCTTTGCATTTTTAATTTGCATTAAATTCAAATCGCGTCTTAAATAGAACGCTACAATTTTATTATTAATTTCATTTAATTCTCCTTTAAAACAAATCTAATTAAGCCAACTAAGAATTTATTACCAAGGTTACAGTAGTTTGAAGCGCTCTCATTGGTTAATAACTGGATTTATCTATCAGATAATTTCATAAAGTAAGTGGGGTTACAAATCAGATAATTTTAAAAAGTTGGTGGTGTAAAAATCAAATCATCAGATTTTGTAGTTTTTAACTTGTAATAAGTTAACATAATCTTGGTATATTATGGTGTTAGAATATTTTTTCTCACTCAAGATTTCTTCTCCTTTCTGTTTCTGCACCCAAACATATCCTTAGCATCTGTCTAATTCTCCCATCTTCCTTTAAATCTCGCAGCTTACATTCCTGTGAAATAGTTGTTTCGGAAATGTACATTATAATCTCTGCTTCTTGATGTACTCTGAGAGAATTGAATTCTTGTAGTAGCTCTATAGTTACTGGTTATATCTAGTTATCTAAATGTTATTATTCATACACAGTGGTTGCAATGCTTCTCAGGATTTTCCTCTCGAAGACGTCTACGTTCTTTGCAATTTTCTGAATTAGTGTCCAAGTTATATGTACCACAGCTATATGTTATTTCAGGGCTTAAAGCTGTCCTTCGTGTCATCATTCACGAATCTGCCTGATTTAGTCCAAGTCAACCCAACCTAACCATTTTCTTGCGATGGAGTGTAGAAAAATTCTTTATGCACTAACACATTACCCTGGTCGGATATGCGCTTGATGACATAAAGAAAATCTGATCCAACCGGGAGTGTGGGACTCCTCTGGCGACAGGGATTATTTCATTACTGCAAGACTACCGTGGTGAAATATGTTCTTAGTGTTCTGTTCTTACCACCCTTTCTCTTTCCGCAGATACACTTTATGAAAGTGCTTGCCTTAGAAAGTCTATTACAGTAGTACCTCGTGGTCCAACCAGCATACAAGCGATACTCTGCACGGCGACTGCTTCAGCTGGATTACTTAATTGTTGAAATGGGTTTGCCACCTTCAAAGCAACACTCATCTGATGTTATTTTTTTTATCTGTTCTCTTTGAGAAAACTATAACTTTCACATCTTTAATTAACATTGATGTCCAGCCTTTATATTGAAGCCATCTGTCTTGCCACCGATTCATCGTTTCCTCATGATTTCCTTCGATCTGTGTGCCCTTATTTATTTTTAAAAACAACTTAACCCAATCGTAAGTAATTCCAAACCAAGTCACTACATCAACATAAGCCTAATCTATCCCTAATGTAAATCAATGGCAAGTAATTCAACTTTAAAGTTAGACATTGTAATTTAAACTTGAAGTGTGGTTGTTTCGGGTTGCTATGGAAACCTAGCACGTCCACAAAGCGATTCAAGCTGACTCCAAAGCGGGCCAATACATCTCTAAAGAATCTGACGCCATAACGTAAGACTACCGAATCTGAAAGAAACTTATTTGGAAAGTAACTCAACTCCAATACAAGCAAATGCAACCCCAAAATAAGTGAAGCCAACCCAACCCATCAAGCTCAAGCCATCAAACCCAAGCCAATTTCAAATAAAGTTTCAAATCTCCAAAATAAGTCAGTCACAAAGTACTACAAAGCAAGCGAATTCAATGTCAAAGCAATGCAACCCCAAAGCAAGCCAACCATGCAGCAAACCAACACAACGCATTGTAATCTGTTGAACACATATACTCGTCTTTTAATGTATCCATGTATAATTTTTAATGAAAAAATCATTTTGAGATTAAATCAAAACTAATTTTTGTAATAAATTGATTTTGATTTCCCTGTAAATAATACAATAAATTGTAAATGACAATTCATGACATTTTTTTATGTTTATTTTATTTAATAACATCAAATAACATATCATATTTTAATAAGTTTATATTTCAAAGAGTTTATAGCGAAATGAAATTATTTATTAATGAATACGGTTCTGTATTTTTCAATCTGTTTATGCAAAATCCCGAAAAAACGTTGCACACATTCACACACACACACACACACAGAGATATAAAAGAGTGTATTAGCTCCTGGTGCCTCGCTCGCTGGCGTAAACAAGTCCGTAAAAAACAAATTTTGACAAACCAAATTAGAAGTGTTTTTAAAATAACGCGATCGTGGTCAATGCACTCATCGTCCGCCAAACCAAGCATTTCGCGAGGATTTCGGACAAAACGTCTGCACCAGACTAAATACACTTTCAATTCTCAGAAGGGAACATCAAGATAACAAACGCTAATGTAAGATTTTTTTTAAGAAAAAAAATTAAAATAAGAATTTAATTTTAAGAAATAATTTTTATGATTACTTTTATATATATTTTTTTCGTAATCTACACTACACCTAAACAATATTTTTTTTTATCAGCGACATTAAGCAGTGTTAATAATTTATCAGCACCGATAAGGGATACATCTGCTGTATTTTTATAGTTCGAGATAGATTGTTTAGGTGCATAACCTGATCTACACGAATTCTACAAAAAAAAATTAAATCCGAGCGAATAAAGAGAAGAAGACGGAGTGTGTTTGTCCCGAAAAACTTTACAACGTGTTGTTAGAGAGCCAGTGTAGTCAACTCAGCCTCACGTGTTCTAACATGCACGTTGTGATTTCTTAAAGTTTAATTCGACAACCTTTTTCTTAATTAATAAGGTATTTATATCGTTTCTCTTATTCTATTATCTATAATGATAAGATTTTTTTATTAAATTAAATAGAAATTTAAGTGTGTCATATAAATGATTTCAAAATCCCCCAAAAAAAATGGGACAACAAACCGAAATAAAAAAGAAAAAACACCCCTGAAACGGGGGGGTGTTTCGTTATCCCCCCTTTTCCCACCGAGCCGCGGATTCTAACCGGGAGGCTGGCAAATAAAGATGAAAACATTGCAGCTTTTATTGCGGTATTGATTATAAAATCGATAAAATATGGCCCCGCCGCCAGTGCCACCACCCCCCGTCCCCTTATCGCCCCCCGTTTCTCCTTACCGCCGGAGACCTACGGAAAAATAGATTCGCGCTTCCGGCACGGCGAGGGAGACCGAGGGAACGCCGCGCCGCGAGCACCCTCGGCCCGCTCTACACCCCCCGCGACATCCCTCTTTTCCTAGCTAGGTTACGAGGGGGTGGTGGAGAATTAAAATGTCCATGCGCCAGAAACGTAGCGACGGTGGGTACCTCAGAAGAACGTAATGATTTTTTGGGAGGGTTTGAAATTTTGAAATGAGTTTAGATTTTAATAATCCCATTGAATAAATTAAATAAATTTAAATTATTGATATAAAAATCTTGTGGGAAACGAAAAATCCTTTGTAATGAGCCCAAACTCGATGGGGTTACCTCAAAAAATAATCGAGATATCCAGGAAAAAGAAAATTAAACAGATGAGGAACGTTATTTTTTAAAACGTCATATCTCGCTTGTTTTTGAAAATAACCTCATCGAGTTTGGATTCGTTTTAAAGGATTTTTCACGGAGATTAACAAAATAATAAAAAAAATTTTGTTGTTAATGATTAATTTATTAATTTTATTTAAATTTTTGTGTTATAGTTGGGGGTGGGAAGGTTTCATTGGAGTTTTTTGAAAAAAAAAAATTAAAGTGGGGGAAGCGGTTTGACGCGCGGGCTATCGTCGGCGGCGTCGGCGTTAAGGGGGCGCCCGCCGTCGGTGGCGTCGCGACGCGCCGATCGCACCGCCCCGCCGTTTTGACATTTTTAATTGTGAGCCTCTACTCTTTATATTCTGCGCATTTTCATGCCCTCGCGCTCCCGTCGGCGGCGGCGAAAGAGGGGGTTGCACGCACTATTTTTTAGTGCCGGCTTATTACAGCAGATGTCTCATGGCCATGTACCAATAAAGAATAAGCGCCGCTCCGAGTCCGAACCCGCCGAAAAAAAGTTCGCGCCGAGTCCGTTTGAATTTTTAATATTATTCAGTCGCGGTCGCACCACCGCACGCGATACATCTCCGTCATTTTTTTTTTTAAACAAAACAAATAGAAACAATTCTAAAAACAAAAAAGAAAAAAAAAAAAAACAATTTATTTTTTTTTGGAGGGGATTTCCCAAAATCGCGTAATTTTTTTGATCAAGTGCGTTAATAAGTGTAATTTTTTTCATCATATTTTTGAATTTGACGTGAATTCGCGCCGAAGTGATTTTCGAACCGGCGCCTGCTGCGACGCTGCCCGACACGTACTGAAACCAAAACCCGCTGCTCCTGGACGCGTCCCGAGAACGAAAGTGCACCCAAAGAACACGGCGCATATGCTATTTTCCTGCGACCGAACAGGACACCACCCTAAAGGGATAAATGCGTCTCTTATTATCACTCAAAGAAAATAGAAAAAAACAACCCCCGAATCACCCGAATCCACCATCATCATTAAAATGTTATTAACAACTAAATAAATTAATAAAGAAAATATTCACTCAGGTAATAATTAAAAAAATGAATTTAAAAAAAATTATTTTTTTGATTTTTCACCCCAATTTCGTCGGAACGTTATTTTTCTCCATCTCTTTATCGTCCTTTTCTAAGAATCAATAAGAGAAGTAGTCTAGAAAAATTCGTACACAAATAATTTCTCCCCACTCAACACCATCTATTATAAAAATTACAAACTAAATCAACATCATTTAAATTTATCCACTCTAATCACTTCATTTAGTAGTTATGAAAACCAAAACAACATCTATGTGTTATTTCTAAATCGTTCTAGTAGGAAGTCCTAAAAAATTAACCAAAAAAATTATTATTTACGTTAATTCCTTTTGTTACAGGTAATTAACATTTTACAATGGTTGATACGCAGCATTTTTGTCTCCGTTGGAACAACTACCAGAGTAGCATCACATCTGCCTTCGAGAACTTACGCGATGACGAGGACTTTGTCGATGTGACTCTCGCGTGTGATGGTAAAAGCTTGAAAGCTCATCGCGTGGTTTTATCAGCTTGCAGTCCCTACTTTAGAGAACTACTTAAGGTAATAATAATTCATAAAAAAAATATTTTTTAAAAAAACATCATTAAAAACATCTTAATTATATTTTGACCAAATTCTCTTTGATTTCTGATAAAATTAGTTTATAGTGGGTAAACAAGTGGATTATTAAAGTTCAAGTGGAATAAACCAGTAATGGTAAACTATGTGTTAATTGAGTTTATACACGTTTTAATAATCAACATCAATATTTTTGTTTATCAAATTAATTTCTTTTCAAATATTTTTATAAATTTTTTTTTGAAATATTTATTCCAGTCCACACCATGCAAACATCCTGTGATTGTTCTACAAGACGTCGCATGGACGGACTTGCACGCGCTCGTCGAGTTCATATACCACGGGGAAGTAAACGTTCATCAACGTTCTTTATCATCGTTTTTGAAAACGGCGGAAGTGCTAAGAGTTAGCGGGCTAACACAACAACATGGAGAAGATAAAGACCAGGTAAATTAACAAATTTCAATATAAAAAGAATAGTAATCTAATAAAATATAGTATGTGATAACGTTTTTAATTAAGAGATGGCGCTTTTTATAATGAACCACTTCCGGTTATGCAATTTGATTGAAACATTAAATCTTCAACATTAAAAAAAATTACACTTCAATGCTTGTGTCATTAAATCAGTCTTTTTGTTGTAATAAATCGGATACTTACACCAAATTAAATTAAATTTATTAACCCCTGATTTAAAGAAGGGAGGTTATATTCCACCAACATTTTCTTTCATTAATTTCGGGAGCAAAAATATTTTCCTATAACCTAAAACCATATTAAATAAGTACTTTGGATATCCGAAAACGTATCTTCATAAATCTTACCATCCAATTAAACATTTTTTTGTAAAATTTCACAAGTTAGGGAAGAAACGCGACTGGTGGTTTTTAAACGTCAAAATGACAACTTAATATGGGTAGTCACCGCTAGATGGGGTTGGCAACTGTTTAAAGAAAATAAAATTAATTTATTTAGTTATTATATAAACATTAATAAAATCAGTTCACTTACCAGCTTTACGTTGTAATAAATCGCCCCAATTTCAAATATTAATTGTTTATATATTTAAAATCGACGATTTAAGAAGTGAGGTTATGTTCTACTTAAATTTTTTTCATTAATTTCTGAAGAAAAGTCTTCTTTCAAAACCTAAAACCCTATTAAATAAGCACTTTGGATATCCAAAAACGTATCTTGATAAATCTTACCGTCCAATTACATTTTTTTTCGGAAAATTTCACAACTTTAGGAACAAACGCAACTGGTGGATTTTTAAACGTCAAAGTGATAACTTAATATGAGAGATCACCACTAGATGGGGTTTGCAATTGTTTAAAGATTAAATTAATTAAAACAAAATTGATTTACGATCAATTAAAATTTAAAAAAAAACTGAATTTGCTTTTCTTTTAATCGATTACGTTTAATTTATCACCTAATGATATAAGAAATTAGTTTGTTTCGATAAAAATTTCTTTGATTAATTTCGAGAAGAAAACTCTTTTTGTAGAACCTAAAATCACATAAAATAAATGATTTGCGTGTTAAAAAATAAATTTTGATGGGATTTTTGGTTCAAATTATCTTTTATTTGCAATTTTTTTAACCGTTGTATTTCTTGAAATACATATTCTTGAAAAAGAATTTCTCTTTAAATTTAAAGTCGTTAATAATGCCTTTGATCACTTTGTCATAGTATGAACATTAAAATACAACTTGTGATTGATCAAAAAGAAAATGCTATAAATAAGTCGGAACTTAAATGATGTCAAAAATGACATCTCATGGACCATACGTTTCTCAAATACTATCGCCTCAGTTGTTGGTGTTCTATAAGCATCAATAGGCCTTCTTAAAGTTATCTTTTAAGCGTTTCAAAAAGAAGCGGGCACAATAGGTAGTCAAACTCTCCTGAAAAGTCATCAAACATCACTTCAGTTCTAGTTGCTCACTCATCTAAAATGAAAAAAGAGTATGAAAAATTACTTATATGCTTACTTTGCAATATAATAATAATCATTAATCCTATTTTCTTCAAGAATTTGTTAGCTTCATTGATTCAAACGTATTCCATTTGATAAGTGACAATATCGACATAACCTCATAAAAAAATCAATCTTAAATCAAAACCAAGCAAATAAAATAAAAGTTTTTTGGAAACTTTTAATAAAAATTACATTAAAATTGCGCCAAAAACTATATTAACGAAATATTTTTTAATTATTGTTGGTAATAATTATTGATTAAATTATTGATATTAATTTATTCTAAAAGTTAAATATTATCTTTTTCTTTGTTTTAGTTGGCTCAAGTACAAAGTTTGGTTCGAGCTCATCACCAAACGCCCCCCACAAATCATCACTACCACCCAATTTTCCCAGAAAAACTAGAAGATTCCCTGTTTACATCCCCATCATCACCACCCCACGGTGCGACCGTAAATCAATTATTACGTCAGGCCGCGTTACAACAAAATAGAAGTAATCGTCGTATATCATCAGTGACGTCAAACGCCGTTGATAATGATAACCACACAAAACGTTTACGTCCCGATTACCATCATCATTTACTCTCGTCCGCGCCGAATAATAATAATAACTTAAATAACATTACGAACAACAATAACAATAATAACAACGAGTTAAACCTATCTGGACATCAAACGCAGGCTCCGCCGCCACAAACGCAACCGACCGATTTCTCGCCGAGCGCTATGAAAAATTCTCCATTAAATTTGAACGTTCAAAAAGATACCGTGGAAGGAAACGGGATCGGTGGTCAAGAAAACGAAAACGGGCCATGCTCTCCGAGTCCAACAAGCGGGACAACAACAACGGGTGGGATTTCTGATACAGTCAAATCCGAACCCATGGAATTATTGTGCGGATCAACACAAGAAAATAGTAACGACTCAGAACATCACACAACGGATAATGGACCAACGAGTAATTTACCAACGGGACCCCATAGCGGAAGCAGCGGTGGAGGTGACCACGAAGACCACGATAGTTCAATTGGGCCATATTTAACTCCGGCCGAAAGTAAATTATTTGCTACAGCAGCGGGAAGTTTTAATTTTAGTATGGCTGCGTTAGCAGCGGACCCTACAGGACTTGGAGGTAAGGATTTTTAACATGGGCGTCGGAATGAAATAGTAAATTAATTAAATAATTTATTTTAAATTTTTGTCTCCATCTATCGGGGAATAGCTTAAGTTGGGTTTCAAGATTAATTAATTTTAAGTTTTTTTTTAAATACGTGTTAATTAAGAAAAAAGGGGGTGAGATTTTATTAATTTTAGTTTGTTAATTAATTTATTAAAATTAATAATTATAGTTTGTTTTAAAAATTAATTAAATTCGATTTTTGACGTTTCTGAGGTTATGTTATTGGGGTTGTCAACCGGATTGTCAAATTAGGTTTGATTTGGTGGTGTTAAATAATTGTTGAATTCTTTGATTTCCGACGCCCATGATGAGTTCTTTTCGGACTAAGACTGTCGATGGTCAACTGCTTCTAAATCGAAGTACTCTTATTTCCAGGTTTGAACCAATCGCTCGGAGGAAACGCGGATACTCTGGCTGGTACATCTCAAGGTAGGTGTTTTTTGATTTTTTTAATAATTTGAGAGAGAAAATCTATTTGTTTTTTAATTAAATTAAAGTTATAATAGATTTTTTTTAATCGGGAAAAGAAATTTTGAAGAACTACATCGGGTCGAGTTCTTTAACGTTTTTTTTCTTATTTTTTTGGTTTCTTCTCCAAAGTCTAACTAACAATGAGTTGACTCAAATTGATTGTTTTATTAATAAGAATTGTTGGTTAGACTTGATTAAAAAAATGGAAACGTCGCCTTAAAGATCTTTAAGGTGGACTTGTCTACTTAAAAATCCATACTATACACATCAAAATCTCAAAAATTAATGACGATTAATTTAATTTTAAAATTAATTTTATTATTTTTTTATTAACGGAAACGTAATGTGTCTGCAAATGTCGGTTCGGTAAAAATTACCCCTATTTTGCCTTCTTCTTCATTCAAAAAATGGGAATAACAAGCAAATAGTTCCTTGATATTATTATCTAATAATTTAATTATGATTATTTTGTTAGGCCATCAATTGTATTTTTAAGTATCAAGCGATTTTTGAGTAAAAAATTTATTTTTATTTTTTTTAATTATTTTTTATCCGCAGCAATTTGTTATAATTATTAATTTTATATCATTTTGCTGCTTTTAAATAATAATTCGCGTCGAAAACAAGGTTTAGCAAAAATTTTACTTCAAAATCCCTCGTTAATTAATTAATTTAATAAAACATTTTTATCTTAATTATTTTTTGTAGTATGGTTTATTAAGTACAAAATTTACCTTCTCTTATTCGCAAGTAAAATTTCAGCTAAATCAACGAGATTTATTTCATTATGAATATATTACTTGCTTTCTATGTTACACCTCCATCTGTTTTTACGCTAGTTTTATCTCTTTTTATTGATTGAAATAGTATAAATTTATTTTTTGTTTATTTTTTAAGAATAAAAAGCAAAAAATCGATGTACGGATATAGTTTTTTTTTAAATTGTGGTTTTTTATTCCCATCTTTTTTTTTGTAACAATAATTTTGAGTTCTCTTTATTTTTTTGGAATTGAATCTAATATATTATGGATTTTTAAGTAAGCTAGGTGGGAAAATTTCAGAATTTCATACATTTAAATCTTATCTGAACTTTTCCTAAATAAAATCAAACGAAAAGAACCGAAAATACCCCAAAAAAGAAAAATTATTTTGAAACTAATAACGTTATTATTATTTTTTTTATTATTATCCTCAATGTCGTATTTGCGGAATGTCTTAACAGAGATGTGTTGTGTTTGTTCCTTGATTTGTCCCTTGTTGTTTTTTTTTAGTTTTTTTTATTTTATTTTATTTTTTTTAGTTTTTTATGTGTTTTGTCTTTCGAATTTCGAGTTAAAAAACATAAATCTCAATAATTTTTTTTTAAATAACAATAATAAGCAACATTTAAAAAGGGAAAAGCCAAAGTGTCGCAATTTAAGCATAAATACCACGGACATATATAGATAGATGCGTTTGTCAGAGAAAAAAAATTAATTTATTTTTTTTCAAAATTTCCCCGGGATCCAAAATTTGAACTGACGATGCAACTAATATCTGTACATCGGTTTTTTGTTTTTTCTTTAACTTTTTTATAATTTTATTTTTTTTAAATAGGAATTTAAGATATATTTTTTTTCTAATTTAATCCGATGTTATTTATTACGAAAAAAAGGTAATCTGTAGCGTAATACTTTCTGTGGCGTTTTATTCGAAACATAAGAATGTGTAATCAATGCGTTGTAGGGTATTTAAACATTTCATTCAAAATTTCTCCAAAACAGGAAAATTTAGTAATATTTTAAGTCATTAATTAGCAAGATGCAAAAACAATTATGTGTAAAAGACGTTTACATCCTTTAAAATAAACTTTCGTTTAAAAATTTTAACTTTAATTTTTTAATATTTGTAATCCACGCTAAAAAAACCTTTAAAATGAGTCCAAACACGAAGGGGTTATCTCGAAAAACAACGGATATCAGAAAAACTAATCAATGACGTGAAGTTGGCTACGAATTAAAAATTAAATATCTCCCTCGTTTCTTGAGATGACATCGTCGTGTTTGGCTTTATTTCAAAGGATTTTTAATAAAGATTAAATTAAGATTAAAAAATTTACAAAATTAAAGTTGACAACTAGAAGTTGACATCATTACATTTTTAAAATGAACCATGTTTATAGTTGTTTTAACGGGAATTTAAAATTCGGTTATAAATGTCAAATTTAGTTTTGTGATTTTCTTAATCTTTACGAAAGATCCTTTAAAATGAGCCCAACTGGTGGAGGTTTGGTTTATCTCAAAAAATGGCTGAGTTACACAAAAAATAATAAATTTGTAATCAAATGAAGTTGGCGACGAATTAAAAATATTAATATCTCATATATTTTTGAAAATAACCCCATCGTGTTTGGATTTATTTGAAAGGATTTTTCATGGAGGTTAAGAAAATTACAAAATTTAAGTTGACGTTGACAACCAGAAGTTGACATTTCGTTAATTTTTGAAAATAAATGTACCATGTTTGTACTCGTTTTAAAAGGAATTTTATGGGGATTTAAAATACGATGGGAAAATTAAATGTTGACAACTTCAATTTTTTGATTTTTTTAATTTGCATTAAAAATTCTTTAAAATGAGTCCAAACACGACTAATTTTTCTTAAAAAACAATCGAGTTACATCAAAAAATTGATTAATTTAGTAATAACATGAAGTTGGCAACTTATTAAAAATATTAATATTTAAGCCGCTTTTTGAGATAACTCTTTCGTGTTTGGACGCATTTTAAAGTATTTTTAATGAAGATTTAGAAAACATTAAAAGTAAATTTGACATTGACAAGCGGAAGTAACCCAAATTTCGATTATTTAAACAAATAAATATATCATGTTTATATTCAATTCAAAGAGAATTTTACGGAAAAAATTAATTAAAATGTTTTTAATAAATTTGGGCAACTTCCGGTTATAAACGTCAAAATAAATTTTGTGATTTTCGCAATATTTATTAAAAATCCTTTAAAATAACTCCAAACACGACTAATTTATATCAAAAAACCGAGTTACAACAAAAAATTATTAAATTAGTAATAATATGAAGTTGACAACTTATTACAATTGTTAATATTTCGGTTAATTTTGGAGATAATCCCATCGTGTTTGGATTTATTTTAAAGGATTTTTCACTAAGAATAAGAAAATCATAAAAGTGAGGTTGAAGTTGACAACCGAAAGTAACCTGCATCCCGGTTATTATAAAAAATAAATATATCATGTTTATACTCATGTAAAAAGGAATTTTGTGGGGACTTTGAATTTGATGAGAAAATTTAAAAAAAAAACGATTTTATATATTGATTTTCTTAATTTTTGTAGAAACTCGAGATTGTCAAACTCGGTCAAACTTTTTTTACACTATTAAAAATGATATATAATTTTTTTAATGACTTAAAATATTAAACGCAACACAATGAAAAGAGTAAATAATAAATATTTATACTATAAATATGTAAGGGCTGGTTTAGGAAGTTTTTCGAAGTTCGAGTTAGTCGAGATCGTAAAGTAATTAAAAATAATAATAAAAATGAGAGACTGAGATTGATTTGAGAGGGTGATGAGATACGCGCCGTGGCCATAGAGGGGGCTAATGCGCGTTTCTGCCGCCAGGTGTCGACGAATTTCGGTGCCAGCCGTGCAACAAAAGTTTGTCATCGCTGACCAGGCTGAAGAGGCACATTCAGAACGTGCACATGAGGCCGTCTCGCGAACCAGTCTGCAACATTTGCAAGCGCGTCTACAGCAGCCTGAATTCCCTTCGGAACCACAAAAGCATCTACCACAGGAACGTCAAGAACGTTAAGAACGACGAGATCGTCGCTCCGCACTCGTTCTACCTGTGAGGGGGGGCGACCACCACCCAACGAAAACATTACAAACAAATTATTCATAAACAAAAACGATGATGGTCATTGTTGCATTGTAACTATTTTTCTCGAATTATCATAGTAATATTACTTCTTTAACGATACTAAACTCTTTTAGTTTGGCGTCGTTTTAACATAAAAATATTCCTGTACCATAAAAAAAGTTAATGATGGTATACATACGTTCCTAATTATTCAAATTTATATTTTAAAAAAAAGTTATTAAAGAGACACCCTATTTTTATTTAATTATTAAATTAAGAATTAAAAAAATGAAGGGGGTTGGCAAAGAACTTTTTGGTATCGAATTAAAGACACGATCAATACGATTAATAATGATGTACAGGTTTTGTGATGATGATGATGATGATGATGATGATGAGGGGGCTAATACTCGTTGTGTTGTTCCCGGTGCTCAGTGACGAGACGCCTTGGCCTGCCACTTCCCCTATCGGCGAGCCATCGCTGCGACGTCTGCGGAAAACTCCTCAGCACCAAGCTGACCCTGAAGCGGCACAAGGAACAACAGCACCTTCAGCCGCTTAACGCGGCTGTCTGCACGCTGTGTCACAAAGTGTTCAGGACGCTCAATTCGCTCAACAACCATCGGAGCATTTATCACCGGAGGCAGAAGTACGGAACTTCCTCAAATACCACCTCCAACAACATCATCGGCCCTCCAACAACAGCAGACGCCAATTAAGTTGACAGTTTTTAAAACAAAATTGAAAACGGAACGATTCAATCGAAATCGTGTTTTAGCCCCCTCTATTTAATTAAAAAATAAATTCAATTCAAATTATATATATTTATATTTGTGTATATAAATATATATAAATTAATTATTTAAGGACGCGATTCTTTAAATAATTTTTTACTAAATGAATCTCAAAAAGCGCGTTTTAGATGCCAAAAAGTTTTTTGAACCGAAACTTTTTTCTTTTAATTTTTTTGTTTTTTTAATTTTTTTAATTTTTTGATTTCGGCAATTTCTTTTTTTTTTAATTTTGTAAATTTTTATACATTCAACAAAAAAAAATTTGTGCAACAAAAATT